GTTCATTTTTGAGTGTGTTATTCAAATTATCAATAATATACAGACTCTATGTATTTAAAGTTTCTGGAAATTACGATTTTAAAATTTTGTGAATTTTTGATGATGAATGGAAAGCTTAGCTAAAATTCAAAATTATCTTGGGTGCCAACTTTTATCAGTTTTGAGGGTTTTCTAGGTCATCAGCTCCCAAAAATCCAAAACTCTACAAAAGAGAAAATAAACCCAACCGCGAGTCTATTTTTCTTTCTCTAAATTAACAAATCACATAAACCAACATCAGAAGTAGCACAAAGCAAAGAAAAAATATTTTAATATTTAACGGTTAATAATTTTGTCATCACGACATGCTGTACACCATGATATTACTACTTATATTTAATTCAAATTTGATACAATGACTCAGACAGAAGCTGAATGTTTCGTATTGATTTAAAACAAATGCTTAATGAATGTGAAAATAGCAGATATTCCGTTATTCCTGGAATATACTCAATTAGTTTGGCTTTATCTCACCCACATTGAGTCAAACCTTTCATTATAGAGTATAATATATTAAATTACGTAAAGATACATGATGACAATGCTGAGAATCATTGTGGAAATGTAGAATTTATGTGGTTTGGAAGTTGATGAGGTGTGAGAACTAATAGAAGCTTGTATATGTCAAAGTATGGAGCTGAGGGAAGATACTGATGATTGTTGGATTCAAATTTCTTCTATTTGTAGGATAGCAAGAATTCTTAAAGCTTAAGGTTGTAGTTTAGTATCTGAGTTATTTTTGGCTATAGCACCTTGCCATGGTCGTACCACCTCATCCTCTACAGACATCAGTACATTCTAATCGAGTCCACATCCACAAATAAACCTTAATGTCGCGTAATAAAATTAAAATAGAATTTCTCTGATGAAAATTAGATATAAATTCATTGCTACGCTTACTATTTCTGCAGATATATATAAAAAGTCATATATAATCTCACAACTAGCGCAAAAAAATTGAAAATATACATAAATTTACTTCCCTGAATGTAGGTCATCTCTCGCTCACATTGAATTTTTATTATCAAAAATACGCTCATTAGCTTCAAAGAATTTCGAGGCAGTTGATATAAATTTTGCGTACATATGAACTAGATTGTCTCGGAATTTTTTGTTTTTCTTCTTACACCTTGTTTTGACAAAATCTTTAGTGCGCATCTTTAAGTCCTAAACAAGATTTTTTTTTTGGTACGCAAATTATACAATATTATTAAGTAGATGTTTATTCTTCATTTTAGTATAAATATTTACAACAAAGTTAATCATGAATAAGTCGCAATTCACTAAATGGCGATGTTTTTTTCTCCTTGAAAGCTCTATGCGCTTTAACTTTTTCCCATACATATATTCCTTGATTAGATCATATGTCACTTTTTTTACACAAAATAAGGAACATACGAGAAGAATAGAAATGCGTAATTGACTGACGATATTTATTTACTTCTAAATTTTTTGTTGTGTCAACAGCTAGTATATTATGTACGGCATTTGATAACGAACAGCAAGCACAACAATATTTTTTTTGATAAGATAAATACGTGTATGTTCTATTGGTGAACAAACAAGGGGCCTTGAATTTCATGATATAACGATATTGCGTCCATATGAACATGAAATATATAGGTTAAGTTTAGCAGACATAAGAGGTAAAAAGAAAATTAAAAGTAGAAGAAAATGTTGGTGTCTAGAGAATTTCATGTGGATATTGGGGTTTGTGATGATAGATTTGGGGAGGTATTGATGTGAATTTACTAATTTTGAGGTTATGTTTAAGATTTTGGGATTTTTATGAAATGTTTAAGTTTGGTCAAGCTTTTTACGAGCGTTATAGACTTTAGGAAGGTATATCAATGCATGGTAGTAAGGATAAGGCTGATGCTACCAAGTTTTGAGGTTATATCAGAGATTTTAAAAGTTTTCCTATCTTTTGAGAGTCCACAGTGATGAGACAAGCATCCATACATCAAAATATATCATACATGACGTTGCAACCTTCACTTAATCCCTATAAAGCTCAACAAAATCCCTCCGAAAAAAGCACAATAGCAATTTATTAAAAACAAAAATGGATATCGACACACGAGGCGAACCTATTATCGGCCATAAAAAAATTATTTTCTACTTTTTTCTACTGTTATTATTTTCATGTGACATTCACTTGCTCGTGTCCTCTAAAAAAAGGCATGAATAATATGACATATGTAGGAATGAATTATAGAATAGTACTTCCACTATGAAATGTTTAGTCATTCGATTAGGTAATAGTCTGATTGTTGGAAATTATCACTTTAATAATAATATTATCACGTGTAAGCAGGGCTTTCGTACGAAGGTCAAGCTCGTGTGTAGAGAAAATGTGCACAGCACTACAACTACATTGTCTTATGCTAATAATCACATTTGAGTTGAATAATTAATGATCTAATATCAATTCATTCTGTTAGCTTTTGGTGCACGCGTTCGATTATAACGATCATCGCCATTAATAATCATGCACGACATCTGCCCATAATCAGATCCACACAAAAAAGAAAAATTACTTATTAGTTTGAAAACAACAACAGCAGAGCGAGCGAGAAAAGAAAACATTGAATCAAGTTTCACTACATGTGACTCATTGCTGTTTTGTATTCGCAATAAAAACGTCAGTAAGGTATGGAAAAATAAGAAGAGAAAAAAAAATTGTTTTTTGTACTTTCGTTGTTGCTTGTTATGTTTTATTTTATTTTGGGGGTCGAAAGGGAAAAAAAAAAATCTGAGAAAGAGGAAGGAAAAAAAACGAGGCGGAAAAATCAAGTTCACGTGTTCCATTCGAAAATCTCATTGCTTAGCTTATCCACATTACCTCACGAACAGAGAAAATATTTCGTTACATGTGTTATTATTTTAGGCTCCACACGCGCATTGTAAGGAGAAATTTATACTTATTTGACCGATAAGGTGATTTTTTTTTATATTTTTGTTTGTTATTTGTTTTGTGAGATTCGAGATTTTTTTGTGAGATTTGGTGATGACGAAGTGTTTGCCGACGAAATTGATGTTTTTTTGGGGATTTTTTATATTATTTTGTTTTGATGATATTGGACTTTGTCACTAGTGTTGACTCTCATTACATTTCATAAATCATTGATAAATCATCAACCGTCAAAAATTCAAAAATAAAGCATCCGTTGATATTGATTTTCACCTCGACTACACTTGAAAATAGAAATTGCAAGTTCATAGCAGCTCACGTTTATGTTTTCGTGACTTTTTGCGTCATCTAATCGGAAAGAACGCAAATTCACATGTCCAAGGATCCAAAAATAAATTTCCTAGTATGATTTACAGTAAATTGAGACATTAAAAATTATAAATTTGGAACAATAAAATATTCAGCACTAAAATCGAGCCTCTAATTGATCAAGTAGTTGCGCGTGTAAGCGATAATATGTGAGATTCTCACTTTGTATGACCTTTCGATTATAATAATAATATAAAAAAAAAAACATTTTGTAATTCCTCATAATAGAAACTAGTGTTCCAAGCGCATTCCTGTTAAGTTATTGCAAACAAAAAAAAAAATCACGTTGCATGATGATTTGTTTACTCCGTACGTATCGTGTCATAATAAGCGATTGAACAAATATTTTTGTTCTATTTCATCCCTAATCCAAGCAGTGAACTTACATAAAATAAAATAAAATTGCTAAGGTGACGTCGATCCACAATTGTGAGTGAGGCTGAATCCAAAAAATTGTGACTATATAATCGCAAAGTCATATGGGCAATTCCACGGATTGATTTTTTCAAAAATTTCGTGTTTGAGATCATTTTTCTCTTAATTAGGCAATCTAGACAGTCCAACGACTGTGCATACTTATGTAAAACGCCGAGTTCTATCTTCTGGATGTTACTGCTTCTTTCTATATGCATTAATTAAGCAAATATTTGATTTTTCGCGAGCGTTGCACTATTTCAAAATATGGAATTCTGATTTTAAAATTAGTTTTTTTTTACCTTTTAAATATCTAGACAAATATTGAATGTTTTTTTCCTGTACAACCTGAATTGCTTTATGATTCTGTAAAGTCTTTGTAGCCGTTAAGTCACTTATTAATCAGAAAAATAGAATTTTGTAAAACATGTATTGAAATAGTGCAACGAAAAGCGTCTCCTCAAAATTTTAGTAAAATTTGAACTTTTAAAATACGTTATAGTTAATTCAATAAAATTTAAGGTGATTGTTTACGATTTTTGAGTGTGAGAAAGATTAGGAAAAAAAAGTGTTAAAAGATAACTAAATAAAGACGAAAACAAGTTAATTTATAAGTTTATGGTTTTGAGCAAGATTTATAAAATATGTAGAATAATCGAATTTGTTTGTTTCTCAAGTTTTTATTATTCCAAAATCTAACGGTTTTTTGAAATTCAAATCTACAAGTAGAAAAAGAATTACAATTTGCTTTTTCTGAAATTCCACTCATCTGTGGAATTGCCCATATGTTTCGTCCATGAAAACGTGGATCATGAAACGTGAAGAACGTGAAAACGAATTATGTGAACAATTTTTCATTCTCCTTCTTCCATTCCGCCCAACCTTATTCCTTTTCAACTGTTGTTATACAATCGGACTGAAAATAATAATAATTTTCCAATTACATCAGCTCACATTCCAATGCAACGTTCGACGCTACGACTTGATTTCAAATTGAATATTAAGAACCTTCCAATCAGTGTCATTACTGATTTCGGAGCAGGAAGATCTTGACGGAATAAAATAAATTTTATTTTTTCGTGTCTTGAATATTTTTTTATAAATGAAAATAAAAATTTCTTGACTCAAGTCACAAGCTGAACCTTGTCGTGTAGATTCAATTAAAATTATTTTTACAAAAAATAAAAAAATGTAAATTTTAATTAACTTTATGTAACAAAACTTAAATTAATTAACACAATTTTTTTTATTTTTTTATTTCTAGAAATGTTCTTATCGAGATTTGGATATTGTGTAAAACTTTATAGCACATAACATAGATTCAGAAAGAGAATAATTAACATCAATCTAATTAGAAACGCATGTTATGGTGATGGTGACTGAGCTTCATCATCAGGAAAGTGGATCACCAACACTCGGTGGAGCCATAAATAAAAGAAATAATATCGATTCAAATTCGATGATTAATTCGTGTCATTACACAAACGGTAAGTTCTTATTTTTATTTGTAACTGGATTTTGTGGTGTTAAGTGCTATGATGAATTTTTTCACATCGGAATATTGAGTTTATTGGTGCATACTGGAGCTGAGTAGTGCAAATATCTGTGGATTTAATTGAGATAATAGTGCAGTGTCAATTATTAAAGTAAAAATCTGTTAAAATAAATTCAAATTTTAAACATGGATAAAAGATAATTAATTTGAATTTTTCAAAACCGTTGAAATTTAAATTTTACAAAACCATGTTCAACAATTTTATCAATGTCAGTTTTTGATGTTAAAGAAATTCCACAATCAGTTTCAACACTTCTATCCGGTAGAAATGCACTTTTTGAAACAAATTTCCACAAACTTTCTTTTCGCTTCGACATTATTTTTTATGTGACAAGCTTGATGTGAAAATTTCCTCTGTCACTGAATTCTTCCTGCCGACAAAAAAATTAATGCCAATCAAAACTAATTTTTTTACTTATTTCCAACAGATTCACAATCATCAGTTTTAATGATGAGATCATCATCAATGAGTCCAACAATGTCCCAAATGAGTGACGACCAATCACATTCACATTCACCAGGACCCTATGATGTCCAAGGTATGAAGCGCAAAGACATCTTCACACAACGCAAACAGCGTGAATTCATACCCGATGCAAAGAAAGATGACAGTTATTGGGATAGACGTCGTCGCAACAATGAAGCAGCCAAGGTAAATTAAAATATCATATTTTATGGACTTCAAGTTATCTAATTTGCGAAATTTTGCATTTATTTTTCTTTCTTTCTGCAGAGATCACGTGAAAAGCGACGATTCAATGATATGGTACTTGAGCAGAGGGTCATTGAATTGACAAAAGAGAATCATATTTTAAAAGCACAACTCGACGCTATAAAAGACAAATACAACATAAGTGGAGAGAATTTAGTGAGTGTCGATCAAATATTAGCAACACTCCCAACAAGCGAGCAGGTCCTGAGTATTACAAAGCGTCTGAAACCTAATGCACATTCAAATGGCACAAATTATGATGGAAGTATGGAACGAGACATTACAACACCAAAACCATCAATAACACCAGTAAATTATGGACGTGAGCATCAATATGAGAATTCTCAGCCACAACACATAATATACAGTCGGCAGAGTCAGGGTAGTCCATTTGATGGACATAGTGAGCATGTACAGCAGTTGGCACCACCACAGCTAACGCCGCCAATTATACGCGTCTCACCAAATCCTCATTCGTCCGTACCACAACAACAGCAGCAGCAACAAGTTCCTCCAGTGATTACAACTCTGTTTAAGCCATTGCACCAAACAACAACTGTACAACAGCAACAACCTTCACCTCAGCAACCACATCATCAACCTCATGATTTACATAAATTTATTTTATTGAATAAGAATGGTGAATCACTTAATCTTAATAATAATACAAGTAATAATAATATAACTACAACTTCAACTCCAACAACAACAACAACAATTGATAAGGATAAGATAGTTAAGCAAGTTACAAATGGTGTCACTGTGATTAATAATAGTAGTAGTATCAATAATAGAACTGAAAAGATGGTTGTTGATAATGAGGCAAATGTAATAATCAGCAGTAGTAAGCCACAACGTGAGCCAGTCTATCCACATATTCAATTGACGAAATTCTTAACAAGTTCAGTCAAATCGAGCTACATACCGCACCATACATTCAGTCATCATCATCATCATCATGTCCCACACCTAAATCACTATAATTCACATCATCTTAATAATCATGAGATGGAGACAAGTAGCGTACTCAATTTGTCACGACGAACGATAAGTAATGGTAGTGGAAGTGATATTGGAAATGATAATGAAGTAGAGCATTTCGGTACAAATGAGTATTATAATGATTATGCAAATCATGGTGGTGGAAGTAATGGAAATCAAAGCGATAGAAGTAGTACAGTTGATGATGGTGAACATGATCATGATATTGAGCATACGTCAAATGGAAGTGCCGCTAGTAATATCTCAATGGATAATAATTGCTTGCCATTAAAGTTACGTCACAAGACACATTTCCTTGGTGAAAAGGAGTCGGCTGCAACAGCATTATTGGCTTTACATAATATTAAGCAGGAGCCAAGTGCTGCATCACATTCACCTGTTTGGGATAATGAGAATTCGTCTGATGAACGTGACTCGGGTATTAGTATTGAGCATCGTGAAGTTAATCCTGAATGGTCGAATATTCAACGAAAGATTATTGTTAATGCAACGGCAGCTCCTGAGAATTTCGAACAGTTCAATACACTTATTGTTAGCAGTGATCAACGATCTGGTACTGATAGTAATATCCATTTAAAGACACATCTTGCTAGATTAGAGTCTGAAATCAGTACAATTAAAAATATGATGATTCTTGGCAACACCGGCAACAGTGCTCCAATTAATGCATAAATCACACACATCCTTAATTCTATGTTATTGTATAACTGAAATTCCCCTTCTTTTATTTTATCACTGAATTATCAAAAAATAATTAATTATTGAATTTGATAATAATCGATGTATTTTTTATGAAAATATTGTTTTCTATTTTGCGGTTAAACTGCAGTAAAAAAATTCTATTATACTATTGTATGTATAACATAATTTCTAATTAGTTTATAAAATCAAATTGAACAGGAGTGGATGAGATAGGAACTTAATTGAGGAATGCAGGATTTTTTTTGAAAATTTTCAAAATTTAACGAAGTTTTTTGAATTTTTGAACGTTTGCAGTTTCAATTTTAAACTTTTGAAAGTTTAAAGTTTGTACTTTAAAGCTCAAAATTTGAACTTTAACTGCTTTTATGATCAAATTTTGAAATTCGACGACTTTTAAAATTCAAATTTTGAAAGTTTTCAAAAAATCCCAACGACAATAATTTTAAAAATTTGAAAAACGTTATGAAAAAAATTTGATTTGATTTTTAAAACTGATGAATTTAAAGAAGACTCAGCAGGAAAAACTTTTCAGAATGTTTCTAGGGAAATTTTAGGACTTATTTAGGGAATTTAGGCTATTATTTAAGGAATTTGAATTAGGAATGAAAAGAAATTTTCTGAAAATTGAATTTTTTCGAAACCAGTTAACACAATCGTTGTTTATATTGCATTTTAATAGCAACTAGTAGCTTGAAAATTCACCTTTTGAGTCTCAACAATAATAAAATTTGTAACAAAGTTACTGAATGAATGAAAAAAAAAACTTATCAATTAATGGGAAGCAAAGAAGAAATAAAAAGTAAGCTCGAAAGAAAAATTTTATAAGGATATTTGAGGATAAAGAAGAGAAATTTTATAAATTATGAATGAATATATTATATATATACAAATTATATATTTTTTATTAAGAAAGACTTTCAAAGGCATAACACTAATATAATTAATACTTTTTTCTGTTGATATAAGCCTTTAAAAAACTATTTTATTACTTGTACATTTTTAAAAAAAAAATGATGAAAAAAAATTTTTGCAACAGAATTAAGCACTTTTAAGAGACACGTGGATAGAGATATACAATATACATATATTTTTATTTATTATGTAATTAAAAAATAATTATAAATTAAATTTAAAAAAAAAACCTCAACTTGTTTTTCAAGAATGAACAGAAAATAATTAAAGGATATATATTATATACTTGAATTGATGAATTTTACAAGATTGATTGAGAAACATTTTGACTATTATTGACTTTTTTTTGCTTTGATTATAAGACACATGATAAAATTATGGAAAATAAATATGTTTTTATTGTAATAAGATTTGATGAAATTTGTAAGTTATGTTAAAAAAACAAAAAATGTCGAGTTTCAGTATCAATATTAAATGATTATTAAAAACTTCTGTAATTTTATTATGGAAACAAAACCATAAAAAATTAGTTCTGGACTTTTTACTTACCTTTTCCTATTTTTGTTTGAGTTTCAGGTTGATTCATTGCAGATTAAATTTGATTTTTTTAAAGTTTCGAGTCATCTAATAATGATTTACATCAAAAGACTTGTTAAAGATTCTTATTGATCAGCAATATGAATATGAAAATGTATGAACTACACTGTGAGATCAAGAAGATCAAGAGATCAAGAACAAGAAGCTTTGAACAATTAAACACCAAAAAATCGAATAAATCCTCAAATTCTTCTAAAATCTTTGATTTTAGTCTTATCATACATCGAGAGATGTGAATTTTTGCTGATGAGAAAGATAAAGCTTATGTAAATATAAAGCTTATATTATTGTCTTAGTGCGGCGTGAACTCAATTGTTCACATATTTTTGATTTTAACCTTTTGTTTAAATAATCAAAAACTAATAAATTGAAATTTAAAAAAAAATCAAAACTAACAATTAAATTCTGCTCTAGAAAGTTCGCAAATACGACTATTTATATCCCTTTTATTCATTTATCTACCCTTTATTTAAAAATTCTAGTTTCCTAATTTCAAACCTAGTAACTACCTTCAAAAAACTTTAACAACATTTTCATTTCTATAGCTCTAAATATAGAAACAATTGCATCGCTAGAATTATTGTCATAAAAGTGAAAATTGCATTTTACACAACAAATTAATATTGCCAAGATACTTTTACTTTTAGCGTTTAAGCAATAAAAAGAAAAACTTATTTTAGAATAGCTGAACAAATGAAAAAGTAGGTGAAGAGTTTCCCATTAATTTCAATGATTGTTTCTGTCATTTCATCAATTTATTTTTCGTTGTGTAAGCACAGTGGAAATTATTCAGAAAATTATTTCGTTTCATAAGATCAAGAACATGTCCTAAAAATACATTTCAGATTGTTACCGATGAAATCGTGAATTTTTATGTACACGTGTCCTTTAATGAAATTGTTTATTTAACGGTAAAAGTCACGTTTTTAAGTACAAAGTCGGAATCAAGGAATATTTTCGGAATGTTTTCATTTTGTAGTACTTACAGGAACTTGACAGAAAATTGAATTGGTGATTTTCCAAGCTATTTTTAAATTTGAATTTTTTGATTTTCGATTTTTCAACTTGTCTGGAATTTCTACGATTTCGGATCTTAATAATTCACGTGGATGTTAATTTTACGTTTTTAAAAATTCTTTGAATTAAATACTTTTCTATTTTGGAATTATCATGAATTAAATCTAATTACGGACCGGAAAAATCAGGAAACCCAACATAGAAAAGCTTTTGTAGAGGCGTAGTAAGAAAATCGTGGGAAGAAAAATTATTTTAGCAGCAATTTTAATTTTTAAAATGAAACCTGACATAAGCATTGCAAGAATGGGTCGATCGTTTACTATTAAATGTCATTAGAGTGAATACAGCTGGATATGTTGACTGGGAATCAAAAAACTCCGTGCTCCTTTTGAGTTCAAATTATTAGTCAAAATTCAAAAACAAAAGCATTCGACTTAATATCAAATTTCTTGAGTCCTAACATAAGTTGCCACAGAAAATCAAGATATCTCAATTCTAATATGTCAGAAATCCTAGTAAATGAAACCCATTTATTGAACACGTGAAATAGTTTACATAATTTTCCTAGTAAAATGTATTTAAAAGTATGAATAACAACTTTGTAGTTTCAATATTCAATCAGAATATTTTTATTGCAAATTTATATCAATTATTATATATAAATATAGATTTAATAAGTTATTCAGGGTCTGGTTGTCTTTGTTGAAGTTTTGCTTGCTTGAATTTTATTAAAAAAAAAATGTTTTATTTCCAATTCAAGTCGAATCATCGATAATTAGCCCATGATTCTATTATATGAGCCAATAATGTACAACCTTAGTGAATTGCTAGTTTTTTGTCTTTTCTGTTTCTCACAAAACATAACTAAGGTCGTTCACAAATTTATAAAACACTGACATCATTTTCTAAACAACCTTAAAGCTCTAATCCTTATTCCTTTAACAAAAATTCCCTGTATTTCAGCTTTAAATCCAACAAAGACACCATCCAATTAGAAAATAAATAAATAGAGTTGGTAACGTAAGTAGTTCAGATAAAAATAAATATAATTCAAATAACATTAATTAAAATAAACTATGAGTGTCATACGACTTTAACAATTTCATTAGATAAACCTTCAACCACAATACTTTTAGATTTCAAGCCTAGTTTTCCATCAATTCCACCATCTGGGAGTAGGAAGGTATCATTAGGATGCCATTCGGGCTGCGCAAATTCTCTCAAATTACTATTACTATCGCTCAAGTCTTTTAGTGAAAATAACCCGAGATTTTTTGTTTTTCCGTGGCGTGCAAAAACGTGGAACTAAAATTAGAACATACGAAAATATAATGAGACGTAATTTTCTTTTATATAATTTTTCTTTCATCATCGTTAATTTCTATGACCTATTTATTTATAATTTCTATGCTTGTATTTTTAGCTGTTCTCATATGACTACTTACATCTCCTGAATCATCAATTAAATAGCCACAAATCAATGTCCAATGAGCTTTATGACCATTGAGCATACATGGTGAATGATTCTTGTCAGCATCATAAGGTACTAACAGCATAGAATGTTGTCTTAATTTCTCTTTGATAAAATCGGAATTTAAAACTCCTTCGAAAAGGTAGGAACGAATTCGGTCAGGAAATTTTACATTTGCCACACTCAAATTGTCATTTAAAAGCTGCAGGAGCCAATTTGCAGAAAACATTTCACCATTTCTAGAAAATTGAAGCTTTATTGCTTTCTGAAGTAATTCATCAGCTGTCGGCAATCCACAGAAAAGCATTGACAGAGCACACAATCCACAGGTTGGTCCTAAAATAAACCATACATTTTTAGATTGTACTAAAATCATTTTCAAGTTCAAAGAATCTACCAGTTTGTAAAATTGGATCAACTCTCATGTAGCTGCACTCTTTTGGAGATGAATCAAGACTAGTTCTTGCAAAGAAGCATGCTCGTTGGACCTCAGGATCTTTAATGGCCCATAAACACACTCTAAATTCAACTCGATTTGAGATAAATTTATTATTATTTGGATCAATGAAAGTAGATTTAATAAAGCAGGAAATGGGAGGAAGCGGTGGTGCTGGTGGAATTGTTGGCATTTTTACTAATTGACTAATTATCTATTACTTAATTCCTCTATCACTATTTTATCATATTTAATTTTAAATTTCTTCTGTCTATAAAAAAAAAATCTTTATTTTGATTCTCTATGTAAAAATAAGTTACGTACGTAAAACGGAGCAGGGCAAATGGTTTTGAATGCTTATGAATTTTAAAAGTTCGTTAATTAAATTGAAAGGTTTGAATTATTTTAAGGAAATTTTATCAAACAAATGAGGTCTAGTCAATAATACCTTTGATGAATTTTAATAAATTTAATAGGGGGGGGGGTCGTTACATAACAAATGAAGAAGCCCTTTTGTCAACAATGTAAAATGTTCAGCCCTGCTTTTTATATTATTCCAGATTATTTATATTTAAACATTTATTGTCATGCAAATTTGCAGACTTTTCTAGTTTTTCAGCACTATAAATTTCCTAGATTTCCTGTCCATCTTAATTACTTTCATTTTTAACTTGAAGACGATTAAAGTTTAGACAATGATTTCAAAACTATTCTTATTAGCTGCTACATCACAATTGGTGTCATCACTAAGTCATGGAAGCTATGGTGATCACGAGTCATCATCTAATTTACATACTTTCTTTCCATCATATGATGCTGCTTTTGCCGAAATTGGACGATATTGTAGGCTTAAAATCTTCAAAATAATTATTAATCTCATTGTCGTTTATAGATGGCCAAGTCAATGACTGGAAATACAGGAAAGTTTACTTCATCTCTAAATACTTTAAATCGAGTTGGGCTGAAGCAAAAGCAATTTGTAGATCATTTGATCTTGAACTGGCAACATTTGAAAACTTAGTAGAGTTCACAAACTTCCAGAAAATATTAAAAGCAGCAAATCCTTTCCCACCAAATATTGACATGGTTCATGTGGACGGAATGACACCGAATACTGGCTCAACAACAGATTGGTATTGGACAAATTCAGGAGTTAAAATCCCTTACACTTTACAATGGAATCCAGGTCAGCCAGATAATGCCGGTGGTCAAGAAGCTTGTTTAACAATTCGGAAGTATGGTGGCGATTATGCTTTCAATGACTACTTCTGTTCAGAAAGAACAACATACTTTATATGCCAGAAAACTGAATTGTTTCATGAAGAAATTTGATAATTTTGTAGTTCTGAACAAGGATACGGAACTTATCAACTGACTAAATCATTTCTGAACATTTTGATAAGTTCTACATTCTTGGTTCCAAACATATCCAATAGCTGATAATAAAGATATGAGCATAATAAACCCGACTTACTAATTTATATGAAAATGCCATTTAAATTTATTCGTAGCTTTGCATAATTAACATAATAGACCTTTAATTTAATAGGCATAGGATGTGTTAATTTCCTGAGAATTGTCCAAATACTGATAAACAAGCTCAGTCAACACCGGAATCTTCCACAAATCAGTCACAAAAAAATGATGACAAAAATATTAATACTGATTTTAGCATTAAACACAGTTCAAGTGCTAGGTAATATTAAAGCATTAAAAAAGATTTTAGCAGTCTTAATGGATTAAATATTTTACACGATTAGGAACATGCGATTCAACAGAGTGTGCATCAGTTCCAATTCATTATCAAGATCTTGGTTGCAAGCCAATATTAAAAGATGGTGAATGTTGCCCAAGCAGGTGAATTACTTACCTACACATAGATACATTTCATTGATGAGCATGAATAACATATTAAAGACCTTGAAATTCAATTAACCTTTTTGACTCTCATTTTATTTTCATTCTGCAACATTATAGCTTCGATTGTACACATTTAGATGCACAGGATGAGTCAAAGTGTCATCTTAGGGGAACTGTTTTTGATCAAGGTGACAAAGTTGATCGAAGTCAGTTGCGATCTGCTTGCATTGGAGCAGCAGTCTGTAGCTTGGGAGGGAAATTCATTTATGCTCATCTAGATTGTGCTGAATATTTTGGAGGAATATTAAAGCCTGGATGTGTTCGACAATATTCAAATGATAAATGTTGTTCAGTTGGATCTGTTTGTGGTAATGTATAGAACTTCATTGAACTTAAATTTTGGGATGAAATGAGGACGCGTTAGGATCTTTTATTTAAAAAATGCGCTTTATCATTACTATTAAAACTTTTCTTACTTGTGCCTTACTACATATGGATATAAAAATACTTTTTTTGTTTATCAGGTGACGAAGCATTAAAATTAGCAACTTGTGATTTTGAGGGAAAAACCTATAAAGAAGGACAACGAATGTATCCAGCTAATAATAACTGCTTTAAATGTCTATGTACAAATGACTTTCAGAACAAACCGGTCGAACAGAACAAAGATTGTGTACGAAACGAATGCAACTTGGAATTATTAGCAATAGACAATATCAGAAATAAATGTGCGCCTGTATATCATCCAGACTCATGCTGTCCCAATAATTGGGCGTGTCCAAAAAACGATGACTCAATCATTCCTGGAAATAATCCGAAAGGCAACACAAGTCCAAAGTGTAAATTTGGAAGTTTAGAGCTTAATATTGGCGATGTTCTGTCTACAAAAGAGAAAAATTGCTTCAAATGTTCATGCAATGTTCCGCCAATGCTTGACTGTAATTTTACACCTGATTGCTAATTCTTTGTTGATTCTGTTGCTTATTCCGATGAGTAACTTATTTGGATTATATAACTTTACTCACGTTGGTGGATCTTCTTGGATTTTTGATTATTTTCATTGCTAATTAAATGAGTTTATTGTTTCTGGTTGTTTGGGTTAATTAGAGCTAATAAAAGTGTCTGTTTATGGATTAACTTGGAATTTTTTGATATGTTGTATTCATTTGATGATGACTAAAGTGGTTGAATGATGATGTCGTTCTTTGTCCCTAATCGAGAATGTATGAAACCAGAGTTGGATCTTACTCCCGGATCGGGTATATTAGAGACTTCTACCTCCACAATCTTCTAATGAATTTTTTTGTAAGTTACTGAACCTGACCAAGTCCCTGTATGCCCTGCTCTTCTCATATTAGCCTAATCTAGTAGTTCACGTGGCTACGGCAATAAAGGCATATGCCAATATGGGAAACATGTCCACTGAATGTAAGGCATCATTAATCGCTCGCATTATATGCTCCTCAAAAGATCCACTAAACCAAGTATTTCATTTTCAGTTCACCTTAATTCCTTTCAAAACAGATTTGTTCTCATTATGAATCACAGCCATAATCGATCATCCAATTGTTACGTACTCAACCAAAAATCAATCAGAATTCGCAGCAAGTGAAGAAAGAAGGCAGAGAAAGAACGGTAATGTTAATTTTAGCAAGTCATTATCCATGTGAGAGGTCCAAAAAAATTTCTTTAAACTTCACATGAATTTACGTCATTCAACTTTCATGAATTCATAATCAGAATAAATCTCTTCGATCAAGCAGTTCAACAATCAACATCAGCACAAGTAAGAAGAAGAAAAAGTTGGAATTTCTCGGAATAAAGAGAAGTAGCAAGTCAGCAGACTAACGTCATAAAAAAGTAATTATAAAAATTTGTTAATTGATTTGTTACATTCAATGGATGATGAAGCTATTCTTTATGGAAATTAATCTTTAAAATAATTATTTTAGATGTGAGTTGTGGTGCTATTCTGGTTGACTTTGAACAATATAGCGCATTTGGGTTCCAATGAAATGATTTGCAATTTAAAGTTTGAGATGTTTTCCTAGAAATTATGATTTAAAGATTGAATAAATTATTGGAACTAGTTTTGTTGTTTTTAATTTTGCTATGAATCTATTAATAAGTAGAATTATAATCTAGTTTGATTTATAAGAATAAGTTTGAAATAAAAGAGATTCGGATGAATTTTTTCGAAATTGGAAATTCCAGTTTAAGAGTTGATTGTTCTTTTCATTTCAAAGCTTAAGAACCAGAATCTGTGTAAAAAGAAAAACAAACGGTTTTCAAAAATTTGAATAAAGTATTTACTGTCCAAAACGTCCAAAAATTTATCAACAAGTTCAAAAATTTGTCAAAAAAATTCAATTAAATCCAGGGACCAAAATGAATGAAAAAAAAAATTGAAAATTTGTGTGAATATGAAATCTGTGATGAAAAACATAATACCAAATGTATTAATAATGCTAAATAATAAGAACAAGAGATAGAATAGATTAGTTTTGCTTAAAAAACTTGCATAAAAACATTTTATACGTCATTTTTTGCTTTACGTGATGAAATCCTACGTAAAAATGATTCTTACGTGATAAAATTTTACGTAATAATTTACGTAGATGAAAAAAATCATAATTTTTTTCATCATCAAAAATAATGATGTTTTTCATCACAGATTTTTTTCATTCATTTTGGTCCCTGATTAAATCAAAAAATTCAAAAAATCAACAAAGAAATACAAAAAGTTCAAAATACCTAAAATGCAGCTAAACTTCCATTTAATCCTCAAAAAAAATGCTAAAAACTTAATCACACCTCAATATTATCAACAAATCTATTTAATCAATAAAAACTGCACTTAGATCTCACAAGATTATAGCACAAAGTTCATAATTGCAGTCAACAATAATTCAATAAACAGCACAACAAAGTATAGGAAAATCACCAGTTGACATTAAGCACTAATTTGCATTCGAAAGTAATCATTCAGCATGTGTCAAAGTTCTTAATAATATCGTAGAAGAGATTTCACTAATGAACAATAAAAAATAATAATTAATGACGCAAAAAAAAGCTTAAATACACAACCAGACAGTGGGTCATGCGTCATACCAACCTTCAAATCATGTACATTGACTGTTTATTGACATCGTTTTCGTACGTTTCTTTTATTTTCGGCAAAATTGGTGCTCTTAGTATCTAATTGTAGGATGGCTAAGCTAATTATGGGCCGTTCAACTTTGTTGAATTTGATATTACATCATTATAACTAGATATCTCAATGGAAAGGCTAACTAAGCAAGCAGAACTTCCTGAGCCTCCACACGACAACCCTGAATTACAAATCACTTGGCTGATAATTGTATTTGAATCACACATATGCACTTGTTGGTATTTAGCATTAGAATTAATTACAATAGCAGCAATTAGACAAGCTTTTGTTTTTTTCCTCGATGCTTCAGCAACAAAAAAAAAAGTTGAATGAAATTAAAATTGCTGATGTGCGTGAATGGAAAAATTCTAGATTCCCGTGAACTCACATTAACATTAAATAATTTATCTATATCATGGAATTCCCTACATAATACGCCTTCGCAAAGAAGTGCATTAATATATTAATTGATAAAAATTGTTCATAAATATTTGCAACGAGACTGCTTTATAGACAGCTAGATTTTTGAGCAGAATGAGGTTATGAATGCTTCATTTTGGGTGTACGAGTGAGCTAGTTGCTAAAATCTTGACAAAAAATTCAAAATTTTGTTAAAAAATTCAAATTTAGAAAATTCGTAAATTCAAATTTAAAAACCGGTTGAAAATTAAAATTCTCAAAATCCCTTAAAATAAATCTTCATAAAATCTTTGTTCTGCTTCAATTAAACTCGCAAATTATTTTGGATAATTCCAAGAAGCTATAACAATACAAACAATGACTAATCATAAAAATCTCGGCCGGCTTAAATGCGCCCAAAAAAGCCCAGAGTAAAAAAGATATATTTTTATCACATCATATTTTACGTAAACGATAACCCTTGTGAGCTTAATGTTTATACACGAAAAAAAAATAAATAAAACAAAACAAAAGAAGAAAAAAATGAGAAGGAGAGAGCAAGCAAAGCATTTAATAAAATAATGATATGCCATGAATCACCTCTGTTAGCTGAATAAAGCTGAGAATCGGCCAGTTTAGTATATAAGTCGATAATTTTAGAGTTTTCACATCAGTTTCTTTCCATTCGCTGTTGTGTTAAAGCTGACGATACAAATTTAATATTTTCTTCTCATTTTTTTCATTTTTGAGGTAAAGTTTTTTATATTTTAATTATCCCCACCACATTTTGGCAGTAAAATAAGTGCAAGACATGAATTAAAAAATTGTTCAAGTGTGCGCCGAGTGAGAAAAGTTAAAAATCGACATTTTATGTAACGCACAATAAGAAATTCGTGTTAGATAATCAACTGATAAAATGAAGACATTAAAATTGAGTCACTAGCGTAGATATGAAAAGTGAGAGCTGACTTGATACACGCGATGCTGCTTTGTGCACGCATTGAAGTTTTTTGTTGTGCTTTACAATTTTATTTGTTTTTTAATGTTCAGAATTTTTTTGATTCTTGGTTCTGATGATTAAGTTAATTCTGTTCAATTTAATTTACCCTTTAAAATTATAAAAAGCACGAACAAGTTTAATTGCTCTTTTATTGGTTTCAATCATCTGTAATATCCTGACTGACTTTATCGATAATCTTTAGAATCAAGCAACTAATTGAGATTAGCACTGAACTCTCACAAATCACAGATAAATTATAATTGCAGGCTTATTAGAACCGTTATGATATTAATGTCTGTACTTGCATTGATTAGTTTAACTGATCATTAGAACTGATTGACTAGTTTGTGGCTGAGATTTTAATTGATTTGTTTTTGAGTAATTTTCAAAGTTATGATAGGTTAGATTTGATGATTCATTATTTATTTCTGAGATTTTAAGTTTGAGTTTAGAATCTCAACTGGATCTGTATGAATTTTTGAAATTCAACAAAAGATTTGATTTTGGAACTTTTAAACCAGTGATAAACTTAAAGATTGTGACTTTATTCATTCATTTCAACATATTTTTAGCGTCCTATTTATGTAATGCGAACCACTTAATCAGCAGCAGTTACATCCTTAATATTAACTCATTGGTTGTGATAAAATGAAAAGTTTTTTTTTATTCGAAAATTACATCAGAGAAAAGTAAATTTCAGTACTATGATGTAAATCATGTTGTGTTCCATATCAGTTTACATAATTCAAATCTAATGCATAATGGAAATGGAAAAATGAAATCTCGGGCATATTGGTTTAAGATCAAATAAGATAGTTTGTGTACTTCAGATAACTTTAAAAAATATATAAATCTACACTGAACAAGTCAAATTAATATTCAATTCAGGTTTCTTTCAAACAATTTGAAACAATGGTTTAAAATCTTAATAAATCTTTCTGATATTGTCAATTATTGTCTGAATAACTGATTATTCATTCAGTTCGTTCAATTCAATTTAAACAAATCTTCTTATTTGTCAATAATTTTTCTGTTAAGTTTCAAACCTGGAAAATTTTTAGTTGAATATTGCATGCAACTAGGTTTATCTTCAGATAATTTCAATTCTGTACAAATAAAGGATCGCTTATTAGCAACACACCTATCTCAATAGTCTAGCCTTCATATTTAAGTACGAAAAGAAAATCTGAAGTTTTATTGCTTTTACAAACACTCGCTAAGTACGTGTTGAAGATGTTCTGCTGTTGAAGCCAAAAGAGATTTTTGATAATTCTATAGATTCTTAGTGGAACTAGCTCCCTGCTTAATTCAATAATTGCTATTATTAATCTCAACTATACTTAAATGTGTTTGGCAACTAGAAGCAACTAGTTAAGTTTTTCAAAAAATCTCAAATATATAATCTCATCGTGCCAAACGAGGAACTTACATTCGCTCAACAACATTCAGCACAACTCAAATAATTCAAGTTCAATGCGGTGTAGAAAGTAATAAAATTGAATTGATAATTACACAACTTGAATGTCAAATAATCAAGTTCAACCAGTGAAATAAAAAACAAACTTCAAAACCACTGTTGACGTAAAAGAACCGCAAATGTTGCTTAAAAGTTTTAAATTGAATTGTCAACCATAAGATGATTAGCGTGTCCCTTACTTTTCTCACTCATGCGTCACGTTCTTGACCTGAGAATCATCTAGAAAAAGTCATTAAAATATTTATATTTATTTTTTCAATTATAGACATTAAAAACTCTTAGTTCATCATGAAACTTGTACTTGTTGCCGTTTGCTTAATTTTCGGAGTCGTTAGTGCTCAAAAATACACAACCAAATATGACAACATCAACTTAGATGACATCTTGAAATCCGAAAGATTGTTGAACAACTACTTCAACTGTCTTATGGAAAAAGGAAAGTGCACACCTGATGGCAATGAATTGAAACGTACATTGCCTGATGCTCTTAAGACAGATTGCTCAAAATGTAAGTTCTTGACTCTAACGGATATTTGAGTTTTGAATACAAATTTTTGAAATTCAAATTTCAAATGATCGTTATTTATTAAATTAATCTAAATTTAACGAAAAACATCATTTTCTGAACTTCCAGGCAGTGAAAAGCAAAAGGCTGGCACAGAACGAGTCCTCCGTTTCTTGATCGAAAAGAAGCCAAATCAATACGCTGAATTGCAAAAGAAGTACGATCCAGAGGGTATCTACTACTCAAAGTACGAGAAGGAAGCTGAAACTCGTGGCATCAAAGTCTAAATTTTCTTCAAAAAGAATGCTTCAGTAATGAGGATTTTTTTTTAATTTTTCCATAACTTATTTTTCATTGATCAATGAAAACAAACCTTATTGTGATTTTTTCCCTTTAATTTTTATACATAAATTATAGATAGTGATTTGACTATTTTTTATGCGACTATAAGTTTCGAAACAAATAAAAAGACCACAAAAGTATTTTTTCTTAAAAAACTTTAAAAAATGCATTTTCTTTGTGTCTCAAATGAAAGTAAAACCTTTTATTTTGCGGTTTTAGAAAGTCACTGGTCATGCCTTTCATCCATTTATGCCAGATTAATCATATTCAAACTGATTCAAACCAATTTAAATGTCAAGATTGGATTAGGAAGTGACGGTTAACTGATTGCTAATGATTAGTCATTTGACTGCAACGGTGTTTTTTTATGGACATGTGTATTTGATTTAGGACTGAACTGCTTAATCGCACGTATCAAATCACAAAAAAATTGGATTGAAGCAGATTTGGTTACTTTCTCGATGCAAGTAAATGACTTATTAACTTCTTATTCGCATCTATTAACCTCAATGCAGAATCTCAGTTTTGGAATTTTGAATAAAATTTGAATAATTTTCAAGGGGTGGGCATAATTGGATATTTTAGTGATATCAAAAGAAAAAAAAATCATAAAAATTCAAATGTTTGAAAACTGTTTATATTTAAATGTAAAAATGTAAAAATTTAAATTTTTGAAACCAGTTAAAATTTAAAATTTTTAAATGCCGTTATTCCTTGAAAATTTTCATTGTAATTTCATTCAAAACACAAAGAAATGAATAAAAAATCGCTACAAATTAAAATATTCAACATCAAAATGGAAATAGGACACGTACGACTGCAATAAAATCCATTTTTATGTTTTATTTATTTCTATCTAATCTACATATTCATATTCACTTCTATCGCAATACCAATTTTTAAGTGAGAATTGTTTATAAACAAATAGAGACAAGATATTTCATATGTTTACCGGCCATGTCCACAATACATCGTCAACACAAACTCGATAAATGTTGCAATGAAAAGAAAAGAGAAGGAAAAAAATGCTATTGACTCATGCAGACGTCAATGATTGCGTAAAGTTTACATATTAGTGCAAACGAAAGTGCAAGTATTGCGAATGCGAGGACAAGAAAGAAAAATAAAGAAAAGACATAAGTGTCTTATGCAAAATTGAGATGAATTTATGTGAATCTACATAGATTGGAGTTTGTAGTGAGACTTTGATTAGATTAAGATATGATGTATAGTACACTTATTAATGTCACTAGTGAGCTACTTTTTCACGACTTTCTCAATAATTCTTTTGACATTTTCACTCAATCTGATAACTCTTTAAACAAGCAAACAGCTAATAATATTAATTACGCTAATTAAGATCCTTATCAAACAATTTGTCATATTAACCAGCACATCATGATATCATCATTCAAATCTATCAACAAACAAAGCCTTAGCACCGATTTTGACATTTAGATCTTGAGTTTAATTTTCTAGGTCTCTGGATTTCCCCAAATTTCAAAACTCTCGCATGTAGATTATTCACAAAGTCGAGTAAATAAATCAACAACTTTTGAATGTTTAAAGCGAAAACAAACTTTTTTTTTACCGGGGACATTAAAAGAAAATTAAATAAAGTCATACACATGAGTATAGAGGCTAGCTTTGATGATCAAGTAAGACTGAGTAGATAATTAACAGCTAATGCATTAAAATAAATAAATTGAAGGTCTGTAAACAACATCGAATTGTAGACTCAATCAATAAAGTATAGTGACAATAATTGTGTTCTATCATCACACTGGGAAGTTTATTGCTATGGCTGTTGTTTATTCAAAAGGTTTAAAAGCGTTGTTAATTGTGGAGTGTGAAACATTAAATTTGTCAAACTCGTTGAAATTTAAATTTTTAAAAAAGTTAAATTTTGGGATTTTAAAGCCGTTAAATTTTGAATCTAGTTTTTATAACTTTGCAAATAAATTTCCAATAATTGCGCTTATATTATCCATATCCGTGGACTTTGTCAACATTTCTTCAGTTCAACAAGTTGATAAATATTGGAGAGACTTTTGCCAGCCATAAAAAATGTATGCTCACAAAAATACTGGATAAATATTTAACCTTAAGTCTCTTAAGTCTCTGCAAACGACATTATATCGAGAAATATGAGCAAATTGTTAAGGGCAAAAAAGGAGGATCAATTTGCATTGAGTACAGTCTATAAGTAATCAACAATACATTCATCATGCTCATTTTCTTATCATCTATAAAGAGGCGTTGATCTGAAGAATTTATACTCTCTGATGTACTTGACGTTATCGTCACATTTTTCCTTTTCTGTGCCATAAAAAATTTATACAAAGCCGCGATTTGCTCTCTTAAAAAAGTCGATTCGTTAACTTATGAATCTCAGTTTTGTTCGCATCGTTGCATTAATAAGTCGACTCTCAAAAGTTTAAACAAAAAATTAAATAAAAAATTATGGAAAAAATTTGCATAATTTTTGTGTTGATGCAATTTGCATTTCTTGCAACTGCCGATGACTGTGATAAGACTAAATGTCCAGAGATTCCTAAACACTATGAAGAAATGGGATGTGAAGCTGTTAAGGATGAACATGGGTGCTGTATTGTTAGGTGAATTTAATTGTCCTTGACATCGATTTTTATATTTTCAAGTTTAAATCAAAAAATAATATTTAAATTTAAATTTAAATCAATTTTATTTTAAAACCAGTCTTATCTCTCAGAACTGGATGATTCGCGATCGTTTACCTTTTACGCTTGACTCGACTTTAATGATGCTTTAATTTTAATGTTTTATTTGCCACTTTTAAATGGGTTTTTATATTATTAAGCATCGCTCATCTCACAAATTTTACAAGTAAATCCGGCAATAATTTATTCCACAGTTTATTGTTTACAAACAAAACGAATCGTAACAACTTTATTATGAGCAATCATACATGTTTCCTACAAATGATGAGGTCAAAAGTTGAATTTAAATCGCTTGCGTAATCAAATTAATTTACATTTGTTTGCAAACATTGTGAAGTCAAATGTTTAAGATCAGAATCAGTTCCTTAGAATTTATGATTTTAAAGTTTGAAATGTATTATTGTATATAAATTTGTGAAAACGACAATCAATTAGACAGGACACACTTATGAATGCCAAATTGAACAAAGTTTCCGAAAATGTTAAAACAAATAGAAAAAATAATTCTTTACTTTTTAACAAAAAACATTTTTGACACCTTTCGTAGCCTACAAATTAATGAATTTAACTTTAATTTTTGCAATAGAAATTCCCGTCGTAGCTTGACATTGAATTTAAAGCAGATAGTAAAGTCATATGTTTTAACTCTAAGCTCTAATTTATGTAAATTTAAACGAACTCATCATCTTGAATTTTAATTTATTTTTCCTTCTTTCACATATGAAGTTTTAAGTGTTTAGACATAAAGACTCGAGATGCGAATAAGTGCTATTATAAGGATGATGTATATGAGCTAAGAGAGAACCTTAAAGAGTCACAATTGGCTGGAACGTGCAGCGGTAGTTGTTTCTGTAGTGAACCGAGAGGTGGACGACCTGCTGAGTTTGTTTGCGCGCACATTGACTGTCCAGAATTTTTCCATGACCATGATCCATCAAAGAAATGTATCAGACAATATGATAATAAGCATTGTTGTGCAATCAAGTCCGTATGTGGTAAGTAAAGTGACTATTCTAGTAGAATCAAGTGTAATTTCAATCTTCTGACAACTCTTAATAGACAACGAAACAGCTACACTAAGTACATGTGAATTTGAAGGCTCAACGTTCCACGAAGGTCAAAAAATGTATCCAAAAGATCTATGTTATAGTTGTTTCTGCACAAAAGACTACAATAGTTCAATTCCTATCGAAGAAAATCCAAGTTGCAACAGAATTGACTGTGGAATAACTTTAAGGAACACTGGACGTTTGTCTGAAGGATGTATTCCAGTTTATTACAAGAAAGAGACTTGCTGCCCGATTGGCTGGCGTTGTCCAGGAGAAAAACATCAACAGCCAAATGCAAACTTTAAGAATCTCAGCAAAAGTGAACCGACATGTAAATTTGGCAAGATGGAATTTAATATTGGCGATAAACTTCCATCAGATGATGAAAGCTGTCAAGAATGTTTTTGCAGTGTCCCACCAATGTTACATTGTATTGAGAAATGTTAACAGTTCCCATGAATAATTTGAGACGACGTCAACTTGTCTAGTAGAGAAAGAAAGACGAAGTAAAAGGAAAAAAGGATAACAAATTTAAGTTGCTAGGTAGAAAAGGTTAAGTTAACAATTTCTTAAGAAAAATCATCTATTGTTAAAAAGAACAAAAGAAGAAGCAGCAAAAAAGACTTAATTTATTGTGTAAGTTGAAGAAAGGACCTTACACGCCTTCATTCTTAAGAGATTCTTCGCATTCGATTAGGCTATTCACTATTTTTTTGTGCAGATATAAAAAAAAATTTATAAAAATTCAATGAAAGAAATTTTCATTCACACTTTGTACAAAAATTGAATTCTTGAAACCACAATGCCAATAAATTATCCTTTTTTATATAAAACTGATATTTATTTCTTTGTTCCTCCTTTTCTGACCATTCGATCGATCAAATGTAAGTGAAAGGCAGAAAGTCCTTTTCGTAAAATTCACAATAAATATAGAGAAAGAAGAAAGATTCACCACCAAAGACGATTTAATTTCGCTATTGAGAATTGCCTGTGCAAAATTATGACTTAATAGATGTAGAGATGCTATCTATCTTTGTGTCTATGAAGATTCTCATAGATTGGGGATTTGCTGAAATTTGTTCTCGTTTAAGAAGTGAATTTATATATTGAATTAGAGTATATGAATGCAAGTCTTCGAAATTAAGGTTCAACTTGTTTACATTTAGACTTTTTCAACTGGATATTGCTTAAACCTGAATAAACAGAAGTAGTTTGACCAAAAATTATGTGTTAATTTAATGAAACATTAGGTTTTCATTAAAAGTATGAAAATTTACAAATACAATCGAACTGCAATTAATTTAAATCGATTACAGTTGGACTGCACTACTTACTTTGTTTTGTTACCAAAAACAGCAAGAATATTGTTCTAATAATTAAGTTAAAGTTAATTTTTATAGATGTTTACTCTTCAAATTCTGAAAGTCAAAACTTAAACACGGGGAGTGAAACTTCTTAAAGTTTCTAATTTAAAAATTAATGTAAACGTTAAATTTAATTAATATCATTTTGCACTATTTAATTAACAATAGCCCAGCAAATAATTCCCAAAAATCCCGTCGCATCCCAAATAATTCTCAAATTACAATAGAATTTTTCTGTAATAGCCAATTTTTTTGGCAATAAATATTTTTGACAAAGATTGTCATCTCTATATCACTAGAGTACAATTTTATATTCTTATACCTTTTATATAGCTGCTATCCATTCACAAAAGGATGAATTGAAGAAGGAGAAAAAAAAGTCAATAAGAAAAGAATGAAAATTTCTTCTATTTGCAAAAAAATAAATATGAGAATTTAACAATGCAATTCCATGCAGTATAGATTTCATATAATTATTACTGTATGATGATGATCTATTTTAGAACATCCAAATCTCTCTCTGTGGTCAGGTTAAATTGCAAATATTTAAACAAACAACAAACAAGAACAAGAAAAAGACACAGTTTTGATGCTCATGGGAAAAATTTTTGTAGGGAATTGGGTTACGAATGCATAAAATGTAGACAACAGTGTGTAATAGAACAAACACAACAAGGGGTATTTACTTAACAAATTTATTTCCTCATGCCACCCGTAGAGTGTTTTGCAGTACTGATTCTCAAATTGTATAATTGTAATTATCTACACTTAGGTTTGAAGACAAATAGGCAAATATTTAATGTTTTTTCGGTTTTGGGTACGCAATGAATCTTTAATTGCATTTGACTTTAAAATTTTAATATATTGCATTGAGCTATTAGGTCAAATAAATGTGAATTTGCTCAATTGAATAGCAGTGCAAATAAAATCGTCTATTATCTAAGTGATATATTCACTTAACAGTAGGGTTCGCCCACATGCACATACATGCGCATGCATGCGCATATGTCTGCATATATGCAAATTTACATGCGCATGTATGTGCAAGAAATTAGTCCAAAATCAACCAGTAAAGTAGCGCTTGACCTAGTCAAATCATAATTTTTTTGGACCAAGTTTGCCTCATTTATAAAAGAAATCGAATACCCAACAAATGTCATTGGAAAGCTCGAGGGAGACGATGCACCTCTTTCATCCGTTTATCACTACTTTGGCGATATGTACCAGAAGTTTGAAGGCAATGTGGATATTCAGGTGAAAATAAAGAACTGTAAAGAACAGACTCAACTTTTTGTACACATCTAGTATGGGACTAGCATACTTATTGACTCCTAGACATGCTGTGATAGGATATTTTTTTGAGGACGATAAAATTGACATTATTAGTTCGGTAGAGGAGTTTTCATCTGGCTTATCTTCGGAAATTGCTTGTAAGGCACAAGAACAAATCATATCGTTTGTTGAAGAAATGTCCATGCTTCCGCAGAAAAAAAGAGTTTTCTTGTTTAAAATGTCAGTAGGAAACTATTGGAATATCATTGGAAAGGAAAAGTATCCAGAACTATCCAAAATAGCACAGCCGATTAGTGATATGATTTGTTCTTCAGCTACTGCAGAAAGAGTGTGGTCAACGTTTGGATTCATACATTCGCGACTAAGGAATAGATTAACAAATGAACGAGTAAAAGAACTTGTTTTTATATACACAAATAGTGTACTCTTAGATACGTTTGATAAAAACGATTACATTGCAGAGGATGGAGCTTTTCTAAGTGCAGTGGAATGAGAGGAACTAATTGATGATTAGGTTAACGTTTAACGTTTGATTATTATTTTTGTTAATATGAATAGTCATTATTTTTGCTAAAATAATTGAAACATTCAAATTATTACGCCCAGTGCAACATTAGAATATAGCTTATATAACAGTTTTTGGCATGAATGCGCATGTATGCGCATATTTTAACATGCACATGCATGTGCATGTCATGTCGGCGAACCCTACTTAACAGTCAATAAAGATGTATAGGAAATTAAGTGAGATAATGTGTAATAATACTTACTGGCAATTAGTTCCACTGTTGATTGTTTAAAGAGCACGATAAATTTTCGGTGATGTGATAATTAAATTTTGACTTTTTTGGAAGTATATTCAAGGTTTGCTTAGATTTGCACATTTTAAAATTATATAAAATTTCAAAGCATACTTAAGGCAATATTTGGCTTCATAATAAATGTTCAGGCATTAGCTTATTCTACTGAAAGAAGTAGAGCTAGATCAGTCCACAAACTATCCCTTGGAACAGAGAATTGTCTCAATCAAAAACATCGCAGATGTGCTGTTAAGATTCTTTATATCTATTCATTGAAAAGTTCTATTCTAAAAGCATTTTATTCAATAAATCAACTGTTCGTACGATATTCTACCCAAGAATACGCGTGGATAAAGGTTTTCATTCTTTAGCATTCTTTATATCAAAATTATGCACTATTCTTATTGTTCTGTGCAATTAAATGATGACTTCCTCTCATCCTTACAATAACTTCTCAATTGAGACTATCGAGAATAGCAAAATATTCTGCAATTGTCCAAGCTACTCAATTGTCACATCAACAACATGAATCAACAAATAAACAACCTCATTGTACATGAATTGGCAATAGCTTCACAATCATGTAGGTTGCAAAAAAAATATTGCAATAATTTAATGAAATCTCAATAAAAGGAAGAATTTAAGGCTAAGAAGTAACTTCCACAGGAAGAACGCCCAGGTTGCTGAATCGATCAATTAGCTTCAATTTCAATTCGACTAAAATAGTGCCTTTTTTTAAGGATCTAGGAGTTCTTTATTGATTTATCAAAATTTCGAGTCGTGCTTCACATTCAATTGAGTAACAATAAGTAGATGTGTATACAATTTTATGACTTCTTACTTCTTTTTTTTCATAAAATTTTATTTCTAATTGTTGACTTCTTCATTGTTGCACAAGAATTGTATATTCTATCCTTCGGTACTTCCGTTCTGCTTGTTCCTTTTTTCTATGGAATAAAAAAAGAGTCTTTTTTTTTGTTTACAAAAAGGATGTTTTGACAAGAAAAGTGGATCATTACATTCAATTTCATTATATCTTGTTGCTATATCTATTAGGACATTAAAATGAATGCTAAAGGTACAGAAAAAGTGATCTATCAATCAAAATTTACATCCTTTTTATAGCAAAATGAATCTTTGAGCATTTTTTATATTAAATCTAATATTTGTCATCATAAAGGATGATTGATATCCGCGTAGAATTATGAGAGGAAGATTTAATTCCAATTAATTGAAGTTGTAAGGTAGTTTGAGGGCTTTAATGTTTACTTTTCACATTGAATGGATGGGAAATCTTTTTATTGACAAAGGATCTCAAAGAAATTTTAAGTTGAATTTCAGAATTTGATAAATCAGCTCATGAATGACCTACCCGGAAATCAAAAATCAAACTCCAATTCAATCTAAACCTTCTCAAAACATCCATTTTGTGCACACAACCATAAAGAATCATAAATAAATAAATTCAATAAGTCACGACATCATGTTGAGGTTTTTTTTACCATTGAATTTAAAAAATTTCTGCAACTGCACTCAACAGAAGCATAAGACCATGTATCAATTTTTCAGTCACTCTCTCATAAAGTGGGAAAGAAACCTTCGAATAAAAAAAAAAATATTATTTTCGGTCGAGGGAATGGCGAAGGGTAGTTTATGCTTTTATTGTTATTAATGGCTTCTCATTTCGTATACATAGAACGTATTGCACTGTGGATATTTCAAGTTCCTCTTCTGCTATTGTGTGCATAAAAATATGTATAAAAATAAAATAAAACTTATATAGGGATGGTAAAGTGAAAACAAATGGCAGTTGATGCTTATGTAGATGATGAAGAGAAAACCATTAACATTCACAGTTATTGCGTTTGCATTTTATTGAATCAAATGCGCCCCTTTATTGAGATTATCATTCCTTGAATTTTCAGTTTATTGGTTGCCAGGCATTTGACTGGATCTTACTGAATCTACAAAAAAATTAAATGAGTTTGTTGTGTATTAAGGTACCAAAAAAGGAACAAAAATTTGAGTATAATTCAATCTTCCGATAATAAAGAATGGGATTTGAACCCAGACTTTCACAAATCAGTAATATTAGAATTCCTATAATTAACATATTAGGTCAAAATAAACATTTACTCAAGTTGACAAAAATATCTACATATAATGAGACAACCTAGCTGAGTTGCATTGTCCGTTTCAGTGCAAGGAAGAAAAAACTACTTATCAAAATCTGGCAATACCATAAATTTTTAAAAATTGACAAAAACAGTAAGTCAAGCAACAGCAGCAGCAAGCAGCAACCGCACTGATAGAGCAAAAAAACCACAAAGAACGAATTTCAATTTCATAAAACATAATATTAAGAGGGTCGACGGTATGAATGACTTTGTCTATGAATTATTGAATTATTGCCATTTCATAGGCCACAAACAAAAGACATGCAATACATTTGCTCATTTTTTTCTATTTCACATATTTTATTATTCTGGAAAGAGATGCGTTGAAAGACTGACTAAGGGATGACTTCATCCATACATCCACAAACTGCTGATATTCTTGTCTGTTGCAACAATCTCACATTTGCGGCATTTAAATTGTGTGTTTAAGGCAAGAGATTGTGTGGAAGGGAATAATCAAATGCATGCGATGAGAAAAAAAGGCCTGTGGAAAGGCATTGTCGAGGGTTTTCTTTGCCGTTACACATAAATATTCTTATGGATGAAGAGAGAAAATGGAAAAAAAATCATGATTATGCGAAAAACGCAATTTCGCATGACAGCAAGGGGTTGAAAGAAGGTTTTATTGAATTTTCCAAAAGAATCTCATAAATATGGACGAAAAATTTTTCTGGGGGATGAAATTGGTAGAGGAAAATTTATGACTTATTTGTTACTTTATGCTCATGTGTTTTGATTTGTTCATTTTATTCAGAAACCAGGAGTTAAGTTATTAAAAAATGATGACTAAGCTGAATTTTGGAGTTATTAAATTTTATTATTTTTTGTTTTCAAAAGGATTATTGACTTATTCTGGTTAAATCTAATAATTTTGCAATCGATTTTAAAGGTTATGTCTAGTAATAATTGAATTTGGAGTTTTTAAGTAGATTTCATCAAACAAGTCAATGTTTGGAAAACTCAATGATTCAGATTTGAAAAAAGTGTTTAAAATTTCCTTGTGCACAATATTTTTCTTACACATTAGAAAATTGAAAGATTTTGTTGATTTCTTTTGATTTGATTCTTTTAGCATCTTCTACATAATTTTCATTAATTGCTCAAAAAATCAGTCCTTAATATAAAGGATAAACATGATTTTTTTAACCAAAATTATGTAAAAGTTTATAAAAAAATATTGTGCATGTCCAAATTTTGTATGAAAATTTATGTAAACTTTGAACGCAAATATCTCGAAAACGGCATGACCATATTAGTATGGGGGATAGATTTAAGCTTAAATAATTGATTTTTATAGGTTTCAGAGAGGTCTTTGGAAGACTTTTTAACTTATGAATAGTTTAAGTTTTGTAAAAATACTCAGATTTCAATTGCATTTTTAAGACTTAATAAGCAGTTTTCTGTTAATTTGGTAGTTTTAACATGCAAATCTAAGCTTAACTTAGCAAACAACAGCTAGCAAGATATGGAAATAACAACTTAAATTCTAAATTTAAGCTGATTTTAGCTTTCCACAATGATTCAGATTCGGAAAAAATGTTCAAAAATTCAAAAATAACATGTTAATTAAACTTCATCTTTTAAATGCCAGATTAAAGATCTTAACTTAAGGCATATTCAGTGAAAATATCTCGTTTCAATTTGAAGTCTTACTCCAGAAATCTTTAATTTATTTTCAACAAAAATTTGTTTACAATTTGTATATGAAAAAAAAACTTTGATTTTCTCTACTTTAAATTGTTATTTCCATATCTTGCTAGCTGTTGTTTGCTAAGTTAAGCTTAGATTTGCATATTAAAACTATAAAATCAAAAGAAAACTGCTTATTAAGTCTTAAAAATGCAATTAAAATCTGAGTATTTTTGCAAAACTTAAATTATTCATAAGTTAAAAAGTCTTCCAAAAACCTCTCTGAAACCTTTATAAATTAATTATTTATGCTTAAATCTATCTCCCATACTAATATAGTCATGCCGTTACATGCCGTTTTCGAGATATTTGCGTTCAAAGTTTACATAAATTTTCATACAAAATTTGGACATGCACAATATTTTTTGAAAAACTTTTACATACTTTTGCTAAAAAAATCATGTTTATCCTTTATATTATGGACTGAGTTTTTGAGCAATTAATGAAAATTATGTAGAAGATGCTAAAAGAATCAAATCAAAAGAAATCAACAAAAACTTTCAATTTTCTAATGTAAGATCTGGTAAGTTTAGTTTTAAATCGATTCTACTTCCAAAAACAACACTTAGCAATTGAAACCAATTTTTTAAGTCCTAAAATACAACAGAAAAATTCAATTCGCAACTCATTGAACTAATTTCAATCCATAAATCAACCTTCATCCCTTAAAAAATTATATCCCAATCTTTTCCATCCACAAAAATTTTCTAAAACATTAAAATATCTTTAATCTCAAATTAGAGAGCAAAAAAAATGTTTCGCAATAAATTTTGCCTCAAAATTCATCGACTAGAAGCCATAAAAAGATATTCCATAATATCGAAGTTCAGCTGCAACATGATGTATCAAACACAACAAACACGATCGAGGATATAACAATAGAGAGAAGAAGGAGCAAAGAGAATTCAAGAGGGAGGGTTGGCCTTTCGATTCTTTCATTTTTTTATATTGTATAGGCTGAATGAGGGTTTCATCGAGGACAAAAAAAGAAGAAATAGAATTTCGTGCCACATACACACAACAACAATGATATTGTAGAGAAAGGGCACAGTGAGGGAAGAAACCTTAAAATAAGGGATGCAAGAACAGATTCTCATTCAGTTTGCAACAAAATATCAAAGTGAAAGGAAGCTTCAAAATATTTTTAATTTTGAGAAAATTTTTATTTTTTTTTTTTGTGAAAATAATTTAATTTGTGGATTACAAAAATGACAGCAAAAGCAGCACAACCACCTCAAACATATTCAAGAACAATCTTCAGACCTTGGGATACAAAGGCTGAAAAATCACAAAGTGCTAATATGGATAATAATGCTCAAGTGCCAATAGAAGTGAAAGAAGAACAGTTTAATCGAGCTATGCTTATGAACTCGCTAGTGAATCCAATGATACCTGACTACCTTTACATGCCACCAACACCTCCTGCAGAATATTTGCCATTAACACCATTTGATGCTTATTCAATGAGCTTTATGGAACAGGAATATGCTCGAGTAATGGCTGAAGAAGCTCGTGCAAAAATGATGAGCACAAAGAAGCAACGACCTAAGAAATTCAAATGCCCACATTGTGATGTTGCTAGATTCTCAAATAATGGACAATTAAAGTCACACATCAGAACACATACTGGAGAACGTCCATTCAAATGTGACACATGCGATAAAACATTTACAAGAAACGAGGAACTTACAAGACATAAGAGAATCCACACAGGATTACGTCCATTTTCATGTCCAACATGCCAAAAAAAATTCGGCCGTCGCGACCATTTGAAAAAGCATATGAAGACACATATGGCATCAGAGAGATACAGCACCGTCTTACTTCCTGTCTATCCTTATGTTTATGGATATTAAGAATTAGTTTTAGTAAATTAAGAAATTTTGTACAAAATAATTAATTAAGTTAACAAGTTGAGACTGTAAATTTATTATGAACATAATTAGGATAAATTTATTTTTGATAAGAAGAGAAATTTTATATTGAAAAATAATAAATGATAAACATTTTATATTTTTAAAAATGAAAAACTTTTGAAATTTATTTTTTATTGAATAATGTTTTTAAAATTTTCAGCGAGATTTGAAAATAAGAGCTCAATCAGATTTAATTCGTTTTTTAAAAAAGAAATTGAGTTTTTCTAGGAATCGTTTTATGTTGAAACTTTCAATTTGTTAAGATTTAGGAACTCATAAATTTGTTGTGCTGGTTTCCACAAAGAAATAATTTGTTTTTGTGATCTCCAATCAAGAAAGTTTGTTAATTTGGTAATTTCAATTGAACTAATATTATTTTGTAAATCTCTGATAATGTAAATAATCTTTAATTTTAAAATTAAAATTACAATATTTTCAGATATTTTAACAATTCTATAACAAACTTGTTATAGACAGAGAATCTGAGACTCTAAGTCTGGTTTTCAGTTCTTAATTCTTTTTGAAAATGAATCTTAGATTTAATAGTTTTCAATTTTTTTTCTTAATTTTCTAACATTTTTGCACAAAAATGTAGAAAATAAAAAACGTTTTTAAAACACGAATTTCAAAACAAGATCTTCTTTAAAAATTTAAAATTAATTTTCAAGTTTACCTAAGTTATTTGAATGTTTAAACTGTTTAAGAGTCAACTAAATGAAACGTTTTTTATACAATCGCAAATGCTTTAAAATGATTGAATATTGATCAAAACTTGAATTTGAAAACTTCAAGAAAAGAGGATTAAATCAAAAAAAAAAATTTTGCTACTTTTTACAAGAAAATCTTTGAATAATTACTAAAACCAACTAAGATCAACTTATATTAACAAATTCAAAACTTGGATAAGGCATTTTAAAAGAATAACTAGAAATAAAATCAAACTTTCATCAAATTAAAAACCAAAATTTCATTAAAATCTCCAAAAACAATAGAAACGCAACAATAATTAATCAAAATTTCCTCAAATGAGTCACAAAATTTTCACAATAATTTAATTAAAACAAAAACAATCCACAAAATCAAAAGGCAAATCCTTCATCATGTCTCACATTGCTAAGTAAATTGATTTAAAGAGTTATCCGAGAGGCGTGGTTAAGCATCTGAAGAAACCACGAGGGTTGCATGCATCTTCCATTGTTTATTTCTCGTGCATATTTCCATTCCCCTAATATAACTATTATGTGTGGTTTGATGCCATTGATTTTTCATTTTTATTTCCTTTTGTGCTTCTTTTTGGATATCAAAATTCGAATTTCTATTGAGAAATAAAAGCATCTTTACGGGATCACGAGCTAATGACATTAAAAAGATGTGTCGACGACGACGTTTCAAATTCTTATATAAAGCATGAAACATCTGCTGACTGCTGGATGTTCCTGGAAATCATTACATTAAACTTTTCCATTGTCAACCACAAAAACGATAAAGGAACGAAGCACGAATTAAAAATTCGAGTGGTTTTTGTGGCCAAGGACACAATAGAAAGTCATCAAACAATGGACTTGCTCCTTAAGACGCAACAAAAGATACAAATAAAAATTTTAAGGACTTTTTTTATTGTTAAAATTGTGATCGAGTGGCTTGCCATAATCGCGCAAAATTCATTACACTTTCCTAATATCAATCAAATGATACATACAATTGCCTTTTAATTGGAATCAAAATGCCACAACTAATGTCAAAAAAAAATTGTGAAATTTCACCCAAAAAAAATTGCGTGAAAAATAATAAAAGAAATTATTTTTCCCAAAAAATGTGTCACAAAAAAATGTTCGTCCTCAAGATTGATCGATATGCTGTAACAATTCATGTAAAAGTGTCTTCTATATTGCTGCCTATTCAATGAAAAATATAAAATAAGATAGAGAAAAATGAGGAAAAAGGGACGAGGATCGCGATGAGAACAAAGGATAGATACTTTTTGGATGATAGCAGGTTAAATGCGAATGGAACAATGTAAGTTAACTTTGTCGGGCTGGGTGTGATTAAAAAATTTCAAGAACTTCTGTGATTTAGTAAAATATTCTCTAATCGAGTCCAAATTACTTCAATTTTGTTCCAATCATTTTAATCTAGTACAAACTTACTGAATCTAGTACAAATTTACTGAATCTAGTACAAACTTACTGAATCTAGTATAAACTTACTGAATCTAGTATAAACATAATTTATCTAGTCCAAACTTACTGAATCTAGTATAAACTTACTGAATCTAGTATAAACATAATTTATCTAGTCCAAACTTACTGAATCTAGTACAAACTTACTGAATCTAGTATAAACATAATTTATCTAGTCCAAACTTACTGAATCTAGTATAAACATAATTTATCTAGTCCAAACTTACTAAATCTAGTATAAACTTACTGAATCTAGTATAAACATAATTTATCTAGTCCAAACTTACTGAATCTAGTATAAACTTACTGAATCTAGTATAAACATAATTTATCTAGTCCAAACTTACTGAATCTAGTATAAACATAATTTATCTAGTCCAAACTTACTATATCTAGTATAAACTTACTGAATCTAGTATAAACATAATTTATCTAGTCCAAACTTACTGAATCTAGTATAAACATACTGAATCTAGTATAAACATAATTTATCTAGTCCAAACTTACTGAATCTAGTATAAACATAATTTATCTAGTCCAAACTTACTAAATCTAGTATAAACTTACTGAATCTAGTATAAACTTACTGAATCTAGTATAAACATAATTTATCTAGTCCAAACCTACTGAATCTAGTATAAACTTACTGAATCTAGTATAAACATAATTCATCTAGTCCAAACTTACTAAATCTAGTATAAACTTACTGAATCTAGTATAAACATAATTTATCTAGTCCAAACTTACTGAATCTAGTATAAACTTACTGAATCTAGTATAAACATAATTTATCTAGTCCAAACTTACTGAATCTAGTATAAAAATCTTCAAATACTCCACAAAATCTATTACAATTTCTTAAAAAATCTAGTAAAATCAATGGTCTATGCGCTATTATCAATAACCCATCGAATAATCTTCTCTACCTTCCTTTCTATCCACTCGATTTATTAGGAAATTTTTGTAATGATGCACAATGGGATGATTTTGCTCTCTTTCACCCAAAAAATTCCACTTATTGTTCCAAATAAAAAACACATAAAAAAATTTCACCCAAAAAAATGGTTGGGCAATAAATCAATTATAATAGTTCTCAAATGATGCTCGCGTCCTTTTGTTCAAAACTTCATTGATGTTCGATTGTGAAATGCAGTGAAAAAAGAGACACTTCTGGATCCCTTAAAGGTGTGTCTTGTAACCGCGTGTAACACGATCAAAAACTGATCGATTGAAATAAATTTTTCTTTTTATTGTCGCTTCTTGTTTTGTGTTCTCGCGCGCGTCGATATCGCCTTACAATTTGTCATCATAAGGATTTTTTATTAAGAACTTTTTTTTCAGAGAAATGTGGCAGTAAATTTTGTGTCTTTTGAGCTTCTGCCGCACATTCACATTTTATGATTGATTTTCTGCTTCTTTGTAATTTACTTTTTTTGCAAGCTATTGTGACTTGTAAATGGAGTTATTTATGAATATTCATAACTATTGTCATGATATTTTAGCATGCTTATGAAGGTAGGATAGATATGTTCTGCTTGTGATTGATAATAACGCATTTTGTAGTTCAAAATTGAAGAAACACAAAATAAAGGTTGATAAATATTTGAAAAATAACGGTGCCTAGGTGGACAAGCAGACAAACAGACAAAAAATTTCATTTTCATTTTCAAAAATCATGTTAAAAATTCACAAAACATGCCAGAAAATTGGCATATCCAAAATGAAAGTAAAAACAATTTTGCTTGTCATCAAATGTGTGTGCATAAGTGTTAAAATTTTATTTATCTACACAAACTTATATGCCCCATTATCCCATTATCCTTTCAATCCTCTCATTCTTCCTCACCTCGACACAATCACCATTCACATTTCAATGAGCCGAAAGAAATGCTTTACATTCTATTCAAAAATTATGCTGAATGCATGATACATTCTATTTATGTATGTTAAACGAGATGAAAGGAAGAGCCTTAAGTGAATATGTACATAAATAATATTTTTCTAAGTTCCTTTCTTTTTTGAGGAATAATAGGAGCAGAGGTAAGTCGATTTGTAGGAAATTTCTTGTCTTGGAATAGAATTAACTCGTAGATTAAGTGGCTTGGACTTAAGATGCTTTATGAGAGGTAGATCCTAGAATTTATTGGAAAGTCTGTTAAGGTTCCGTTTATTTATTGCGTAAAACAGAAAAGAACTTTCTTCAAAAATTTGTAATGCAATTCAGAATCGATCTTGGTTTATCGATCGTGAAAAATGAAAATTAAACTCTTAACATACTTGATGCTGATTATTAACAAATTTCAATTCGTTTGACTAATAAGCACCTAAGGGGCCGTTCAATTATGACGTCCGAAATTAACGGTCAGTTTTCAAAAACGAACAATGGATTTACAGGAATTTCTATTGTTCTTTTCTGTCTGACCCACCCCCCCTGGACATCATAAGTGAACGGCCCCTAATATCAAATTCTTACTTTTTATATTAATAATCAGACTTTAAACTTGAATAATCCACAAAATACGCCAAACCTATTGATGCACAACAAATTTAATTACATCTCAAACTTACTAGCAATTTACAGCTACTCATTATACCGTTTCCTATTAATCCAACACCTTTTGCGGATACTTTTCAATGTTCTTACTCGTCATTGTCACAAGCCAACTAACCATTCACAATTGATTCCTTTAAACTGATTAATTCTCATTCATAGATTATTTGAAGTGTTAAAGAGCCTATTGAGGAATCCAAACATGTTAATAAGCATTCAAAACATAAGTACATACATGCATGTGCTACAGTTAAGAGGATTAAAACTTTTTGTCATTCATTGATCTGTTTAATTTTTTCAGGAGTTCAATTGTGCTTGCTGCTTGTTGTTGTTATTCCTTGGTTTTCAATTCGTTCCTATTTGAATGGAAAAAAATGCTTCATTTTGTGCTACTTCAAAGAGGACATTTTTGGAAGTAAAGTCCAAATCGGCTTTAATTTTACATTCCAAATCTTGCCTTGACCATTTCCACTTAACTTTAAATCTTTTAAGAATTTTTTCTTATTTTTTAAGTCTTTTAAATCCAATTTTACTTTATTTTATGAATGACTTGAAAGTTTCAATTCAATTTAAACTGAATTAATTAGTTCCATCGAACCTTTAAGATTCATAAATGATATTTTCATTACCTCATTTATGATAGACCGTGAAAATTGGCATTTATGATGGATCCAAATGCTCAAAATTAATTTTTTCACGCTTCAATTCCGTTTTTTTTTGGAATAGAAATTTCAAACAAACAAAACCGAGTGCCTCCATTATTATTGTTGTCGTGTCTTCCTTTATTTCTGAAGAACTTAAAAAGGGAATTTTTATTTCATATGTAATAAATATTTTTGACACTATAAAGGACGTCATAAAAGGTGTTGGCATGAAGAATTTTATGAAATTCTATAGAAGAAATATAAAATATTGTTGGAGATGATTTTTTTGCCCATCCCAGACAATTTGACTAGCTTTTGGTTTTTCGAGATCGAATGTTCAATGTCATTAAGAATTTGTAGGGATGTGCGGCTGGTTTGGATTCATTAAATCATTTGTAGAATAATTATTTCTGTAAGTTGATGTTGTACCCGAGTTAAGTTGAATCTATAAATGTGAAGACTGGCGCGAGATAAATTGAAAAGTAAATTTAGAAAAAGGATAAGTAATTATCGCAAAACATTGGTTATATTTTGAGAACTTTGAGCTGAAAAAGCTCAATTACATTCGAGTTCATTACATTAGTGCCTTATTACTGAGTTCTTGATTTAAGACTCATAAATATATTTGTCAATTTTGGAATCTCTTAGATATCAATCTTGTCCTCTTTGTTCAAAGACGGCAATCAAAAATATCATCAGGACATAGATTTAGATCTCAATTTTAGGTTAACAAACCAAATCACGAATCCTCAAAAAACCTAGTTTTGATATCATTATCGACCAAAACATAACCAATACACTATAATCAAAAGATCAAAGCCGTCATCCCTTAAAATTCAATTCAATAAATGTTCTGCTTTTCTTCATTTCATCATTCTTATTTACTGCTTCTACATATCATGCACGCTCAATCGAGAAGGGAAAATAAATGAACAAAAATTTTTAGCAACAATAAATGTCAACGATCAGCACATATATTTATTGTTGACTTGTCTTGACGATTAATAATTGTTCTCATTTCTTTCTCTCATTCCCTTTTACATTTCATACTGTGCCCATCACCTATATCCATAAACCACAGAGCATCATTATGACTTTAAATTTAGTAGTGCAAAATCATTATTAGAAGAATTTTTTTAAGGTTCTAAAAAGATTCTTGTTTTGTTGCTTTGCTGAAATGAAGACAAGTCAATTTATTGAATCTATTCCTAAAGTACAAAAGAGCCGAAACGAATTTTCTATATTGTTGTCATAATGGAAAAGACAAAAGGAACTTCTTTTGCTCCTTCTTAAGCATTTATCGTAAAAAAGTCAAATTCTTTGTTCTTCATATGTTTGCGGCAAAGATAATAAAAAATTTAGAATAAAAGGAGAAATATGGGTAGCTAAAATCTTGTTTGTGATGTTCCCGAGGTGTGAATTTACGGCACTCACAAAACACAAGAGTCTTGAGAACATTTGACAAATGATTTTCAAGAACTTCTTTCAATTCAATTCAATTTTTGCGAGCCTTGATGTCTCTATTTGTTTTCGGTCTGTGGATTGGAAAAGAATAGTCAAAGAGTCTGCTGATGTCTTAAAAAACCAGTATGAGCCCATGTTTTTCAAAATCCTTTCATGGATCAATCAGAGAAATTTTTCAAATTAACTTTGTTTCTGACACACTTTAGCAGATTTAGACATCAATGTTGCATACCATCAAGTTATTGCTAGCTCTAAATCTACTCATGCACTTAAATTAAAAAAACGATCTATTTTGATTCCAGAATGTTATCAAAAACACCCATGAAACAATTGAGTTTTCTGGCAAATAAAAACAGTAGCTTGTTTTGAACAGAAGTAGTCATTGAAGCCATACTTTCCTTGAAATTTTTGTAATGATAAACATGCTTCTTCTGAACCTTTACCATTATCTGGCTGGGTAGGATTCCATAGCAAGCTATAAGGAATTTTAGCGCCTGAATTTGTCCAATACCAATCAGAAAATGATCCTAGCTTCGTTGTAATGCCATCTACATGAGCTATGTCTGAAAACGGATTCGTTGATTCCAAGATTTTCTCAAAGTTTTGAAATTCTTCCAAAGTTTCAAAAGTTGCTAGTTCAAGATCAAATGATCTACAAATTGCTTTTGCAACATCCCAGTTTGCTTTAAAGGATTTAGAGACATAGTAAGACTTCTTGTATTTCCAATCGTTGACTTCTCCGCCTGATAAAATTTTAGAATAAAACGAATAATAATTGTGTAGATCCTAAAACCTTACTATATTGTCCGATTTCGATGAATGATACATTTTCAGATGGAAACTTTGTATGCAATTTAGATGATGATTCTGGATCACCATAGCTTCCATGATTTTGTGATGACACCATTAATGATAAAGCAGTCAACAGGAACAATTTTGTAATCATTGTCTAAACTTTAATCTTCTCGAAATTTGAAATTAAGCTGATTTAGATATGCAGGAACTCTGCTATTTATATTGCAGTTTATCAGAAAATCTGAAAAGCTATAATTTTGCATGACAATAAATAAATATAAACAATCTGGAATGAAATAAGAAGCAGTGCTGAACATTTTATAATATTGACAAAGATTTCAATCATTTTCATTCCCTACTTTTTTTGTTCTGTATTTCTAAAAGGGGCCGTTCACTTATTACGTTCGCATTTTAGGGGGGAGGGAGGGGGGGGGGGGTTGAAACGGCCCCAAATATGACTCCTCGAAAAGTTTTATGCTTGACATCATTTGGATGAATCTAGGATTTCCAATAAGAACTTCAATATTGTCCAATAAGAATAAATTCTATATTAAAATTGAGATTTCTTCAGTTTCTCACATTTTTTTTTTTTCTCAAAGACCACTTCCAAATCTACCTAGCTTGCAGAATTTAATGACTTTATTTTCACACATAATACAATACAAAACAAACAAATTATTATTTATTTATTTCAGAAGTTAAAAAATTTGAGTCATTTTACCAGGCGAACATGAATCCAAAGAGCTACTCTATTCATATAAGAATGAATGTGAGTAATAAATTTTCTTCTAATGTCCTTTATTATTGGTCTCTACAAAAGAAAGAGAAGATGAGGAGAGACGAAAACATAACAGGAGAATGAATTGCATATTAGGAAGCTTACCTGTAATGGAATGCACACTGAGACTGATTGGAACCAGAGATAATTTTTTAAAATGGAATATTGTTTAAAGACTAAATGGATGTCCTTGAACGAAATGGTACCGAAATTTTTAATGTCTTTTTTTAACAGGAACACATGAAATTTGGCTAAGCATAATTCTTCCTGTTTTTGCACTTTTTGTTTGGGGATTTTTGCCGCATTTCTCAGACACAAGAGACTGACCAGCGAAAAGTTGGTTTTATAGAAGAACCCTCCCGCAACTCAATTCAAAAACATTTTATAAGCTTAAAAAAATATATTTTATTAAATTTTATACAAAATCCACTTATTAAGTTGCTTATAATGATGCTGCACACCAAAAATTTGTATTGTCGGTGGCATTTTAATGACATCAATCTCAACCCTTCCTACATCATAGACATTGTCATTTAACTTCTTTAAAATCTTATAGAAACTTCCAAATTTGTTTACTAAAATTTTACTATCCGAAAACTGTTCCTTAATGTCATTGAATGAGTTATTGCCAACAAAGATTTTGTCATTAAAGCTTTGAAGTCGTTCGTCGGAAATATCAAAAAGTTTATCACCGGAATCATAATGATTATGGTAACTTTCATCGTCACTCTTGTATATGATCTCGTCATACTTGTAATAATTATGAGAACTTTCATCATAATGAACATGAACTGAAGGTATGATAATCCTCAATGGCACACTAAAGTTTTCACTTCTTTCAAGCGACTCATCAACACGATTCTGGTTGTCAAGCAGTGCTTCAATATTCTCAACATCTTCAGCACCAAATTCATCATTCGTTGAAGTTTTTATGTCATCAGTTGTACTTGTATAACTTGTTGTGGTCGTGTCCGTTACTTCTTTCAGATTATCGGCAAGTGCTTCATTTAATAAATAGATTGAGTCGATTTTATTTGAGCTAAATTCCGATGCTGGACATTCACATGGTAGATCTATGATTGTCGATATGACAGCAGCTTTTACGTACGGATGTTGTGCTGAACTCCACGGTGGAACAATTATGTAAGCTAGTTTGCCTAGAAAATGAGATTGTATGGTAATTAATGGTTTGCAAATTGAGAATTATGGAAATATTGGACTTTGTGGTCTGAAAGACTTGACCCGAGTGACACAGCTTGATCTCAAGGCCTCTTTGGGTTTTATTTTGTGGGAGATTCCAAGCATGGGGTAATTTATCTTTCTTTATAGAGGGACCGGTTTTTAAGGATTCTAAAAATCGACCTTATAAAAAACAATTAAATTTGCCTTAATGTGGCACTCGGATCTATTTCTGCACTTTGTTCAGCTATTGGTGTAGGTCAGGTTTGCATTTGTTTTGATTTATCAAGCATGTGAATATTTTCAAGCCACAAGGCATGAATGGAATTTGATAATGAATAAAATTTAATACAATAAATTTCTGATGCCTTGATAAGGAAATTCGCATTAATCTTTGATTTTTTACTCACATTGTCCTCAATTTAGAATTAAGACACAACCTATGATATGCCAAGAGACGATGTCAACGTTGATTTGAAGTTAGTGTAAGCGTGTTTCGAATACTTTTCGAACAAAATTTCGCCATTTCGAAAAACATGTTTTATGAAAATTTCAATTTTTTGCAAGTTTTGACTTAATTTACTTATTATTTGGGAATTAAATCCGTTTATTATGTCTTTTAACACTCATTTAATCGTTTAATCAGTCATAAATGCAGCAAACATTAGTTTAAAATGCTTTTTTTCAAAAAATAAAATTTTTTTTTTGTTGTTGTTTACATTGAAAATAAAAATGTCATTAATTCACTTGCATTAATTGTTTAGTAAATCAGTAATGATTCATTGCATTTGAGTGGATTAATTTAGCATTTTGATGATAAAAAACAAATGTTTAAACTATTAATTAAAGATATTAGACGTTAAAAATTTAACGTGTAAAAAAAATTTGAACTTATGCTCGAAAATAAGGTACCGAAAAAATTCAATATCGAAAACAAGAACCATAGGACACAACTACTCACCACATTGATCTACTACATACACGTGCATATCATCTAGATCAATTACAAAGCCCAAATCAGGATATTCATCTTCATCGATCACTACAATGTCATGTGGATAGTCCTTTTCGTAAATAAAGTCATAGACAAGGTCACTTGAGTTATCAATAGTGAGAACTATGAATCTATGGTCAGCAAAAACGGATGGAGCATCGGAGAATCTTTTTGCTAAATTTAGGAAGCTGGAAAGATATATTTAAGGAAACAGATGTAACAAAAGAGGCATAAAATGGCAAGAAAGTCCTAATGTAACATTATAACTCACTAAATCAATTCCCGTTCATTCTCCGTGATATTAACTTTAAAAATGACCAAAACTGTATGTTCAACTTCAAATTTTGATAAAATGTCTGTGACATTTGATATGCTACACGTCACACCATCGTCATTCTCATCCTCTGACGTTTCTGAGGATTTTGATTGTGTCTGCACTTCTAAGTTTTTATAGCTTTGAGTCGTAGTGCTAGTTTCTGGTGCTTTTGTGACTGTATTTACTTCAAAATAGTCAGGACTTCCATCATAATCAGCATCCTGTGATCTCTGTATAGACTTTAACTCAGCAACTTGATAAAATGAGAAAATTATAATGAAAAGTATTAATACGTCTTTAATCAGCAACATGCTGAAGTAAACTAAATTCTAAAAATGTGCAACGTTAGTAGGCAAAAAAAATACTCTTTGCGGCTTATCAGCAGTTTGTAATGTTTGAGAGAATTTTTCCCTCGTTTCTAGTGAATGTATTGGAAACAGCTGATCTGTTATCAGGCAGCATATAGTTGATTTCGTATTGAGAGAAGTGGATATTAATGTTATGGAGAGCATTAAGCGTGGATTATTACTGTAAGTTTTATGCTCTCGACATAGGGGCCATTCACTTATTACGTAACGCTTTTAGGGGGAGGGGGGTCTAAGATTTTGTTACGATTCAAACAAGGAAATTTTTTTTCATACAAATTTTGTTACGAGGGGGGGGGGGGGGGTCTAAGAAGTCATTTTTTCGCGTTACGTAATAAGTGAACAGCCCCATATGCAATAAGCTGTGAATATTTTATGCATGTGCGTGAATTTTGTTACGTAGACGTACGACTAGCAACTTTAAATATATCCCCTTGAATGTATGCAGCACGAAGGATTAAATTTTCATTTACTCATGTTAGGCTCACGAAAAATCTCATAAAATTCTGAAAAATCAAAACAACACAAATGTTTTAAAATTCGAAACCTTACAATTTCTTTCAATTATTAAAACCATTCAAATGTTTTCAATTGTGAACTCTCTTAAAACTTTACAAATTCAAAATTCAAAACCATTCAATTCCTAAAAACCGTACAAATGCTAAAACTTTCAAAACCTGTCAAATTCAAAAAGACACGATTTTAATCTGAAATAAAGCAATATTGCATTAAAATTAAAACTTAATCGATTTTTGAAATGTAATGACATTTTACTATGTTCTTTATTAACTTTAATCAATTAATTCTTTTTGGATTCAATTTTTAATTTACACATTCATTGTAATAATTTAGAACAATTTTTTTAATGTACTTTTTCCAATATAACACGTTTACACAAATAGAAAAAAGAGAAAAAAAAGACTGTTTTTCTCAATAAGAACAAATTTTATGGAACTTGACATTCTCCTTTTCCTTGAAATTACTTTCATTTCCTTTCGAAAATTTCCTTTCCTTTGCTTTTTAATCAATATGTTTAAAAATTGTTTAATTTAATTAAAAATATGACTGGATGAATATTATAGTGGCTTAATTATTTGATAATTAATATTATAATTTAATGGGGTATGGGTATTGTTCGTTTGGGTGTAAGCGGTAAATTCATTGTTTTGCAGACCCATCCTGAAACGTCCACGTCTGCCTCCTCAGCAAGTCGTATCCAATCATGAATCTAAAGGAAATTTATTAGTGAACTTGAAATAAAAGCAAACAACAATTGCAGCTTACCATTAAAGTTTTTAAGTCAGCTCGCTCTTCGGGATTTTTCTTTAAACATTTATCTACAAAGTCTTTGAAATTTGGACTGAAACTTGGATGCTCCAATTTAGGTGGCGGTTCATTAACTATATAGTCTAATAGTTCAAAAATAGCCATTGATCTTGGCTCGATAATTGTCTGATTCGCCAATGATTGTCCATCGCTTAACAAGATGGCATCAAGTGTTTGCATTTCAGGCGGTGGAATTGGATACATTCCAATCGCCATCTCAACTAATGATAAACCCAGAGACCAAATATCCGATTGAACTGAATAATGTGTTCCTTGTAATCGTTCCGGTGACATGTAGCTTCTTGTACCGACAAATGAATTTGCCATGGAATCAATCAATTGACCACTAACACCAAAATCACAAATCTTTATTTCACCACTACTATTGACGAGTATGTTGGAACTACGACGGAATTAGACAAATTAAAAAATTATTTAAATTAGCAGTCATGTTTAATAGTGTGTAAATGCTTACGGTTTGACATCACGATGAATGATTGCATGTTTGTCACGTAAATACGATAGGCCTTTGAGTACAGCAACAGTTATTTTACCTAAAATATCTTCAGTGATACGCCCTGCTCGTTTCAATATTAAATCAAGTGATCCGCCATCCATATACTGTAATTAATTAAGGAAATTTCGTAGCAATGCGAAATACAGCATAGAATAATTAAATATAGTGTAGCTTACCTCCATACAAATACTTATCTCTCCATCACTATAAAATGCTCCATAAAATCCCACAATATGTGGAAAATTACATTCATGCAAGACCTTTAACTCGCGTATAATTTGTTTCTTGATAGCTGGCTTAACTTCCAGATGTATCATTTTTCTAGCCATTATTAAGGATGTTGGCTTATGACGTACTTTCATTACAACGCCTCCATTTCCTGAACCAAGTTCACCAAGCTTCTCAAGATCCTGATCCGATAATTCACCAATCTTCTCTTTTTGACTCAAAAATACTTTAATTCTTTTACGTGCATTTTCATCCATTTCTAGTTCCTCTAATGTTTCTGTTAATTGATCAATACTGTTTTTTGTACCAAGTAATTCTTTTTTCCTGAAACGTTGGAAGCTTTTTTGAATGGCAATAGACACAAGATTAATTAATTAAGCCTGTTACTTACTCTGCAGATGGCAAACCAGGTTGAGCTGCTGCTTGATCCATTGAAGGTGGTGGTAATGTAAGATTTAACTTATTTTTTGACATTTCTTTAGCTTTCTCCGTATCTACTGATGTTTCTTTAAACCTTAATTAGTGTAGAATAATTTAAAATGTCTATAAATGAGATTTTATTGAATTTTAAAATTTTCCCGAATTTTTGCAATTTTTTGACAGACTGACGAATAAAATCAAAACAACAGCCAAAAAAGTATTCTTTAAAAACAGCTAATTCCGAAGAGACTGAATCAAATTCAAATTTTTACCGACTTTTTATGGGAAGTAAGATTCTATTCAACTTACTTACTTAAATACGTTGGCAAATAATTTTCCTATATCCTTATTTAAGCTATGTTTCAATAAATAAAGCTATGAGATTTTCAATATTATGATTCATGCTAATGTTATGCTATTTTTTAATCAATAACAATAGAATTAAGGGGAAAGGAGTGCGTTTAGAGTACAAATGATAAAAAGAAACCTGTTGAATTAACAGTTAATTGTTAAGTGATTCTGATGATACATTTTTGTTAAGTTTTACTATATTTACATGAATATTACTCGATTTAATGCTGTCAATCGTTTAGTTTTGAGAAAATTGCACAACAAGTTTTCATGTTTTTCTGACGCCTTGTTCAATCTTACTATGCTCGCAGTGATTCTTATGTTTATAGCGCATCCTTAATGCTTTGTTCATTATTTTTATTACTTTAAAGCTCAATGTATTAAATAATATAAATTTTAAACTTTACCGGTAATGAAAAATTCAAATTTCAAAACATTTGTAAGGTTTTCAAAGCAACTTACTATTTAAATTTGAAAATAAATTGGGAGTTAAATTTGAAAAGTAAACAATCGAAAAAAATATATTTTCACAAAATTAATATAATTAAAAAACAGTGGAAAAACACCAGACAAACTGAAAACAACTGACTTAACAACATCAACAAGGCAAAAGCTAATAAATCAGGAGCAGGAAAGTGGTAATGTACATTTCTTGAACTTGTAATTCATTCATTTGTGATTTTTCTCGCGAATTTTAATGTTGGTAGTACGATAAAAAAAAAGAAAATTATTAAAAAAGCAGTATAAAGCATCAAATAACATATTGTGCGTGAATTCAGTGCTGAGAATAGTCAAATATTATGTTAATTGATTAAAATTGTGAAATATAAATTTGCAAAGAAAAAAAGATCCAGAAAAGAGTCAAAAATAGTGATGAAAGTTCAGAGAAATTAACACATTGTGATAAAGTTATCAGTTAATAGGTTAGTATTAAGCGTATAAGCTGCATATATGTGCAGTCAATGATATGGAAAATTAAAGAAATTCTTAAACAACAGAAGTGCTGAAAAATCAATAAAGAAAATTGGGAAATTTCATTTCTATGGACACAGAATAAGGCACAACAACAAAAAGTACATTATAAACTTACAGGAAAGACACTAGTAACAACGCAAAATATAAAATCACTTACTTAAGTCGATTGGAGGCTACATAAAGGAATCTCGTGTATGAAATTTCAATTTCAGTATGTCCAAGGTCTTGCGATTCAGTGCCTTAGCTTTTTATTTGTTATTTTCGCAAAAAATAAAGGCAGGCAGGCAAGAGTAAAGAAAATAAAAACAAAAAAAAAATGCGAAAAATCTATAAATACACGTATAGGTAGTCAGTCACAGACAGACTATATAAAAAGTGAATCTGTTGTGTTATTGGATGTTCAAGTATATCCACTAATCTTCTTCCGATTTCTTTCGTAAGCAATTACTCACTAATTTATTCATATCGTAATAAATTCCAGCACAGGAAGCTTCAATTCAATTAAAGTCAAGATTTTCTGCTTCCAATTCTGGTCAATAATAAAGCACATACCCTTTAATTCAATTTAAATATCAAATTACGAGGCCATTGAGTACGAAAGGAATTGATGCAGATCTCTCTGGTTGGGCAATAAAAACGAGAATCACTGATGAGGTAGACTCTTAAACTTTTGAACCACATGACCTGATTCTGTTTTTATATTTGATATTCTTCTTATGCTTTTCGTCGTGTCTCATCCAAATTTTCTCTCTTGTTCTGTACATTCTCTTATTATATTATATTTTATTATTTCCCTTATGTGGGCATCACATAACTGGTTTTACATTTATATTAATATGAATTGGATGATATCAACTGCAGACGTGTAGTCCTTAAGTTCTGGCTGCTGCTCTCAACAGTTCAATGATTCCAAAAACAAATTATGATAATGTAAAGCAAGTCGAGCAACATGAATTTAAATTTGAATTGGATGGCAATCATAATAGAGACCTTCGATAATCAGAATGTCAATTGAAATTGAATACGATCAATTGAAAGAAGCTAGTTTCTAGTTTCGCTGGTACCACAATGAGTTCAATATGAAATGAATAGGATTATAAATTATAAATCGATATTACTTTTTATGCTTTACTTACTTTTTCGCTCCTGCTTTTACTGCCTTTAGAATAAAGGTAAACGTAAAGTGAACTAAATTATTCATCGCGAGTGTTCAGGCCTAGTGTCGTTAACTTATTCCGATGAACTCTCATTGTTATTTTAAGCCCATTTTTCTCAACTATACTATTGGTTGCATTATGTCCTTCTACATGCTATCTTATTATGTTTGCAATTTTTAGTTTTTCAAAACTCACAACTTTTCATAATTTTCAAATATTTTTTGACCGTTATTTTTCAAATTTTTTCCAACCGCTATCATTTCTGGTCCATAAAACATTTTTAAGATATTAAACTGATTATTAATCTCAATGAGCTTTAAAGTGCGCCTTCATTAGTCACGAATGACATCCTCTACGCTAGCTTGTTCTGAAAACAAGGAAAAAAGTGAAATTTTACACTCATCATCAACAGCGAGAGATCATCGTCATGCAGTTGTAGTCGTGTCGGATTAATTAAAGTTTCTTAACACTTTGTTTATTACAAATTTGACTTGTCGTAATGTGAATTTAAAGTGCACTACAGATTGATCTCATTATAAATTTTGTAATTTTTAAAAAAACACTGCTGCGTGTTTGTAAGAAAAATAACTAAAATGATTATTGCTAATTATAGTGCCTCGCAGCAGTTGTCTAATTATGAATGAAATGTGAGGCATTTTTTTTTCGTTCGACGATTCTTCTCTATTCGCGATTACTATAAAGCAAATAAAGTTGTGAAGTCTATACTTATGAATGTGAATTGACATTGAGGAGTTCATTAGAAAGTGTGTGCTGGAAATAGAGGTGATGAAAGCCCACATTAATAATTTGTGAATCATAACACCTTCCAGTTTACCATAACATTTTCATCTAGTTATCTTCGGTGCTTAACAATCTTCTTCTGGTTTCGTGATATACAGCACATGTGCTTCAATGTAAATTAATTTAAGGTGTGCCAAATAATCATAATCTGAAAATTGAAGAGTCATTCACCCATGAAAATGATTGTGTATTTAGATAGACGTCAGATATGGACTTTTGCCAGTCGATATGCTGGATAAATCTCGTAAATTGAATTGATTTGCTTTTTATATTAAAATTTAAAGATTTTTGTGTTTTTTGATTGGGAATAATTGGGTTTCTCTGTGTAAAGAACAGCCACAAATCAGTGGAAAGTCATCAACAAAGCTGCTATAGTAGCAATACTATTGAAAAAATCAAAAAGTCACAAAGTCAATTGAGATCCATTGAAACTCTTGGATGGCGCCTTAAGCTGGCTACTGAATGCCAAATACAAGGCTTTCTCTATTAATAAATCTCAAAATTGCATCAGATTTTAATTAAACATAATTCTAAGTTAGCTACAATCCAGCACATCAAACCCTGAGATTATGCTAATTATCAAAGTCAATTTTCAAAAATATGGCAACAAAGCTTTATGCTGTGCTGTGCTGTATATGAAAAAGTAATCATAAAGATAAGTTTCATTATTATTATTTTTCTATAAACCATAATCTACCGGAAGTGAAGCCGATAAATTACCGCATATGTTATAAATACATATTGCCAGCTGTTTTGGTCATTTTCTGTACTTCTCCTTTTCTTTGGAAGGAAATTACAACTCGATTAAGTCAACGTCATTCAATTGTGAATCAAATCACGCAGAAAATGACTTTTGGATTAATTTGATGACTCACAACACCTAAGAATTGACATGAATCTTTGAATATAACTTGATATTGAACACGTCTTACTTACATGGACTTAGATCTGTATGTATAACATTAAAATATTGTGAAATCAGGCTAGATGGGCTATCTTGCATTTGATAAAATTATAAAGTGTTATAGATCTTTTTTGGGTTGTTGATGTGGATTTTTCTGAAATTTTGTTACTTCTTATCAGACTTGTTGTGAGTAATGGCGCAAAAAGTAAAATTTGTAGGTTTAAGGAAAAATTCTTGCATAAAAATATATTATAATTGAATTTTTATTAAAAACCGCGCCAAAAAGCTTTGAAAATCAATTCATAATTCCTGCCTATCCTATCCCACAACTAATTTCAGCATAAAACATTTAATTTCCATTAACTTGACATAAGCCTTATGCTTAATTATCATTTTTAAAATAAGTTAACAGTGCTCAAGTAATATGCGGTTAGTAGATCATGTCACGCTAGCCAAGGTTCCCTAGAAAATGTTTCAAGTGCCTGAATTTTATTCATGTTGATCAAACTTGCGACTATTAAGTCGTCACGAATCTAAATTACTTTAATTTTATCAATTTTATAACTTGTTTTTTCCGAAATATCCGTTTTTTGCAGCATTAAAGACTTCCTTATCGCGAATAATTGTTTTCATTTTGTATTCCCAACTGTATATTTACATTTACAAAATCGCTGTATAAGCTTTGTGGAAGAGATGAGTCTATTTGTTAATACTAATCGTACTTACTTACTTACTTCGCTGGCCGTACAGATCAATTGTGATCCATGGCCTCCCTTAGATGGCGCCTGAAGCTGACTCTGTCGCTGGCTTCCGTTTGCCAATTAACCATACCAAATGCAATACTGTCTCTGTCAACAGCTTCTTTCCAAGAGAACAGCTTCTTTCCAAGAGCTAATCGTACAAAAACATAAATATCATGACTACATAATAAAAAAAATATAAGCTTAATGTCGAAGCTACTTCCTTTGCAAATCGTACGTGGAAGTCACAAAGTCGTAAAAAATTAAGTAAATTAAAAACAATTTTTCGGTATGTTCGACATAAAAGTAAAGATTGAAAAAATATCTATTGTCTTACGTTAGTTAACAAAATTGTTATCAGAAGAGACAGTGAATAACAATCAGTTACACAGTGTCAATTAATTACTTTAAAAGTTTGTGTTTGTAGGTAGTTCTGTGTTTATTAAGGGTTTGGTGCTGTGTATTCAGTGTTATTGTGCTTTAGAGTCAAAATCTTTGCTGCATTCAAACTTAGTTCAACAAAGCTAGCATCTTAATTGACCAGTCTCTTTAAAAGTTCTTGTAGCTTTCCTTAATGCTGTGCATCCTTAACCCTGCATGATATCAAATTATCATTTAACAATTTTAATAAAAAGGGTTTATATGCATCCTAATGACAAATCAATTAAATGTCGTGTTACAAGAAACCTTGAAGCATAATTGTGTCAATTTCCCATTAGCACATACTGTAAATCTGTTAAAAAAATGACTCAAGTAAAGCATTAAAATGATTCTAAGTAAACTTCCTTATTCAGTGCTCTTGGCAGTAAAATTTCTACATAAAGAAAAAAGCAGTGTAGGAAATGACAAATAATCCAAAACAGCACTTGAGTAATAATACTTGCATTTATTTTTAAAGCAGTCATTTCTTTTTCCAACCGTAGAAATCCATGAATAAGCGCTCAACTCATTTGTTCATGATGGATTTTAGAAATAATATTGTTTTAGTACCTTTCTGTGGTTTGAGAATTTCGTACATATTCATGAGCATTAAATGTCAGTCAAGGCTTGGACAGATGTGATTTATATTAAGAATCGGCTTTGATTCTGTCAAAATGCTCCTTTTAATCTCTTACAAGATATATCTTATGAAGCTTCATTCATTCAAAAATTATTAAAAATATCCCTAGTGTCCATGCCTTGATGCCTAGCGAAAAATAAATATTATTCTTAATAATCTCATCAAATCTTCATCTTTTCTGTCTATTTGTAGTCACACACAAACACACACATAATCATGGAGGAGAAGAGAATAGCAGACTACTTTGTAGTCGCTGGAATGACCGAGAATCCAAAGTTGCTACAGGAAAATATCTTTAGTGATTCATCGCATTTACGGACGGCAACAAATATTGATCCAATTACAGAAATCGGTGTGTTCTTTCCTGCTTTAGACGAGCAGGTTCCAGATGATCATGAAGTTTTAAGATTTACACCATCTGGATTGGATGCAGATTTAAATTATGGTTCTGTAAGGACGACTGCCTGTTTTTTGTATTTTAAACGTGGACGTGATAAGCCACCATTAGTGGATATAGGTGTAATGTATGATGGATTCGAGAGAATCATGCCTGATGCTGAAATTGTTTTAAAAACGCCTGGAGATCGTCTAGCAAATGTTAATAATTCATCGTCCAAAATTTTCCTTACTTATCGTCGCGCTAAGCCTGACATGCCTATGAATGAGCTTGTTGTTACAGATTTATGTTTGCTGATACCCGGGAAGGGTGAAAAAGTACCACATGCCTTTTGTCAAATCTACAAGACACTAAACAAAGGAATGGTTGGAAATGATGTGTTTCTGTGCTATAAAAAGTCCATGAATAGTCCAAAATGCATAACTTATCAACCAGAAATTCTTCATCGATATCCAACAATTGATCATTTTGATTTTCCATTAAATAAATGCACGAGTGTGCCTCTTTTTTGTTTACCATTGGGAACTACGTTAGAGATGTGGCCACATATTCCTAGCGGTGAGAAACGTCAAGCACCGACACCGATTTTTAGTACTTTTGTATTGACAGCAAATGATGGAACTTATAAAGTTTATGGATCAGCTCTGACATTTTATGAAAATTTCAATGAAAAGTATTTGACAGATCAACAAAAGGAATTCTTCGAATGGGATAATGCAGAAGTAAGCACATCAAATTCACTACATGTAAATAAATCCATCTGTATTTTATCAAATTATCCATTTGGTGACACATTTGAGAAGTGGTTAGCATATCTACAAATGATGGCTTCATGTAATACACCTTTGCCAATTCCAATTGAACGATATATCACACATTTATTAGACGAAGTTCCATTTCCATCGCCAAGCATATTATTACAACTTTCATCAGCCAGTAACGATCGAATTTTATTGACACAACCTGAAGATTCACCATTACCAAGAAGCGGTGCTGGATTTCGTCATTTATTGTCCAATCTTGGAGCTGAAAATTGTCTACACGTCCTTGTTTTGGTGCTGACTGAACAAAAAATTCTAATTCATTCATTACGTCCGTCGACTTTGACTGCTGTTGCAGAAGCTGTTGCAACAATGTTATTTCCGTTCAAATGGAAATGTCCATACATTCCTCTATGTCCGTTAGGCTTAGCTGAAGTTTTACACGCTCCTTTACCGTATTTAATTGGCGTCGATTCGAGATTCTTTGAAATTTATGAGCCACCAAATGATGTCACGTGCATAGATTTGGATACAAATAATATAAGCTTATGTGAGTCACAGAAACATTTATCAACGAAATTATTGCCGAAAAGAGCAGCAAGAATTCTCAAAAATACACTTAGGAATATTGAGGATGAATTAAATACACTCGCTGCCTCAGAACATCCAACAAATAGCTTGGATCGAGATTTTAAGCGAAAGAAACGTGAACAAAATTTTGAAATGAGAATACAAGAAGCATTTCTACGATTTATGGCTTCAATTTTGCGTGGATATAAAGATTATCTTGTGCCTATTTCTAAAGCACCCACAATTGGAGCAACTGATACTGAAGCTCTGTTTCAAGTCAGTGCATTTTTACGGTCACGCGATAAAACACATCATAAATTTTTCCAATTGTTTATGAAAACACAAATGTTTATTACCTTTATTGAAGAACGATCATTTGTATCCGACGGTGATAATAATTTAACATTTTTCGATGAATGTGCAGAGAGAGTTTCGGCTTATGATGACGAGACAGCAGAGATTCATTTCGTTGATTACGATACAGGACACAGTAGTGAACGAACAAAGTTTATTTTACCGCCAGAAATTGTTGGTGGAACTGACAAAACTTACAACTACAATAGTTTTGATTTAGATCCAAAATTACTCAATCAAACGAGAAAGACATTGACATCAAATATTCTTCAACAAGCTGGAATAACGCCTGGATCTCCAATATCACGTCGTACAAAGCATGAAATAAAATCAGCTCAGAAAATGGCACGAAAAATACAGAGATTTCCTGAAGCTTGGGCTAAATATTTGCTTGGAACGTGCTACTCGATTTATTTTATCGTTCTTCCGAGCATTATTGCAGAAAATACAGGACTCGAGCACACGTGCTTGAGAAATGCTTATGGTGAGTGTCACTAGTTGATTATTCGATTAACATTTAAATGGGATTGAACTTTGCGATAGATTTGTTGACAAATTGTTTATTTTAGACATTTTCATTATCTGTTTCCGATTTTTAATTACATTCTGTTCTGGTTGAATGGCGGTTATTAATTTTTTTGAATTTTTGAAACATTTGTATGGTTTTGTGATCCATCTTTAGAACTTGTGTGGTTCCAGTGTTGCAAATGTAGATGTCTACACTAGATGAAGAATGTAGATTCTTCAATAGTTTTTGTCTAGCTAAGAAACTTTCTTCATAAAGATCGATTCTACATGTAGAAAGAAAAAAACCATCTACATGTAGATTGTGTCTACATGTAGAATCTGTCTACATGTAGATTCGATGTAGATGTCTATAATTCTACATTTTTTCCAGGTCTACATCAGAGAAGAATGTAGAATCGTAGACATCTACATTAAATCTACATGTAGACAGATTCTACATGTAGACACAATCTACATGTAGATGGTTTTTTTCTTTCTACATGTAGAATCGATTTTATAAAGAAATTTCTGTCTCAGAATTTATCTGATCCAGACAAATAGCCAGAATGCAACACTGTGTGGTTCTGAACAATAAATTAAAACATTTATATAGCTTTAAATAAAATTTAGTAATATAATGTTAATTCCATTAAAAGCATATCCTAAGCATAAAACATATTTCTAACGACATAAATCCATTATTTTATCGTTCACAGATCTTTTGGCGAAAGCAAGTAAATTTAAAATTCATGTTGACGAAGTATGTTTCCGTATAATGATGCAATTATGTGGCATGTATAATTTGCCAATACTCGCTGTAAGGCTGCATCACTTAATGAAGCGCTCTGGAATTCAGCCAAACGCCTTGACTTATGGTTTCTACAATAGATGTGTTCTAGAATCTGAATGGCCTTCAGAAACAGCCATATCAAGTCAAATGAGATGGAGTAAATTGAGAAATTTTGTCCTTGGTGCTGCACATTTTAGACGTGCTGGAAAGAAATATGCATCACGAAGACGACTTTCAATTTCTCATGAAAATAATTTAAGTACATTAGAGACGACAGATGGTACATCACGAACAAGTTTAGATTCAGGAAGTGCATTGGAATCGACACAACAAAACGGAATACTCGATTTTGCTGCCTTCGATAGAATTCGTGATCGTTTAGGATCAATTGTTAAAGCATCACTGCCACAAGAACAATCTTCAGATGTGCTGTCAAGTGCTGGACTTTTAATATCTTCTGGTGACGGTGCAACTTCATTAGACTCAAAGCACATAAATGCTCATGATTTAAGTCCAAGAATGCTTGCACGTTCCGATAGTTTCGGTGGAGATGCAAAGTTCATTGATAAGCTACAAAAATTAAATATTGAGTCGAAGATGAAATGCCAAAAAGTATTGAAATTCAACGAGAGCGAGGAGCTTGACGAGAATGGACAACGAATTGTTAATGGAAATCATGTTGATGACTTAAACGTTCCAAAACTTAGCCCATCAAAGTAAGTAGAACCTTAACATGTTAAATAAATATGAATGTAGCTATTTGAAGTCCCAAAAATAACTTTATTGATGGCATGTGGCAACAAACACAAATAACCAGTTATCCATTTAATTATCATACTGTTAATCGATATGTAGACTCAATTAATGATTTTGTTTATATCTTAATTTATTCAGAGTATCGCCACGAACAGTTGTTACTGAAAATGATCCTTTAGGTGCCTTAGAAGACAACGAAACTGATGAAATCATCCAAGTACAACAATCTCAGCCATTAACAGAAGAGCAAATGGAAAAAGCTCGAATACATGAAGCAATGTTCTCCGAACAACCCGTCTTGTTTAAAGGAATTCGCAGTCAAACATTTGAGAATGCATCGAACTTAAATAAAGGCATGCATCGATCTGATACAATGCCAACGCAATCGCTTACATCAAGCTTTGCCAGTATTGGATCGTCATTGAAATTTGGATTTAGGTAAGTTTGATGTTAGATGTAATATGCTGTGGCTCAATAGAGACTGTGTTCGTCCAAAAATCTTGCTGCTAGATTATTTTGATTTAATTAATTTAATGCATGTAAAAATTAACTTTTTTATTTATTTTTTTTGGAGAGACATGAAAATCTCATAAATCTTGTGTTTGTTTCTTGATCATAATTTTAATATTGTTTTAAAACATGTAGCCGCTACTCACCTGCACGGTTATCATTAGTTAAAAAAGACCTCAAAGATCTAAAATTACCCTCGCAATTTATTGAGAATATATCGAATATGAGGTAAGTTTATTATGACTTAAGGCTTGTTATTATTAGCTTGTTCTTGTACTCATTTTGTCAAAACTATTTGGCAATAAATAACGACAATATGATATTTGAAAATTAAACGGTTTTGTAAAATTCAAATTACACTTAAAGCAGATTTGAATCTTACAAAAGCGTTAAATTTTCAAAAAAAAAAATTTGTTATTTAATGCTGCTACATGCTGACAAAATAATTGCAACAACAAATTGTTCATGTTTTTGTATGCTTAATGTCGATATTAATGGTAGCTCATATAACTCAATAACTTTAATAGCTATGCAATAAACAATTTCCTCTCCTCATTTACAGTCCGTCATTAGCTGGCAAGAAGAATGAAATCATTCAAGGTGGAATAAGTCAACTAAAATTTGCCGCAACTTCAGTTGCTAAAAAGTTTGATGAAATTAAGCAAACAATATCAAGCAATACGACACCAATCAAAACAAATGGTGGATCAAATAGCTCAACATTAGAACGTGAGAAGAATTTACATTCATCGAATGATGATTTGTTGAATGACGAGAGAATTCCGGGACGAAGACGTGTGGCTAGTGATTTTGACCTTTGGGGTAGAATTAATGAGTCGAGAAAGTCTAGTTATAATAATTTAACACGTTTAGGTGAAGCAGCATCAACAAATAGTCTAAATTCATATCCATCTACACTTCCTGAGAATTTATATGGAAATGAGAGCAATGGAACTTTAGATTATGACATAAAAATTCAAATCACGTCATGCTCACAGTGTCACAATTGTCATGTACTCATATACGACGAAGAAATTATGTCAGGATGGTCAGCAGAAGATAGTAATTTAAATACATTTTGTCATGCATGCGAAAAGTCCACTGTGCCATGTTTAGACATTCAAATCATCATCGATGATTGTTTAAAGGATCAAATTAAAATATCGGATGCAACTGTACCGTACCTAAATCCATTAGTCTTACGGAAAGAGCTGGAGAATATTTTAGTAGAGGAAGGTGATACAGCATTAAGACGAGCGACCTTCCCAGAAGAACATCCAATCATTTACTACAATCTTTTATGGTTTATGGAACGAATTGATGTTAACACGCATTTGCCAAATTTGATTGCTCCCAAGCAGGTATGTTGATGCGAGTAATTAAATTAATTATCAAGGAGTGCTCATAGACGATAATTGGTATTAATTCAATTTGTTCTATATTGTTCTTTAGAATTTAAATTTTAGAACTCTACAAATGCGTTTGAAAACTGTTGTGTGGTTTTGAAATTCAAAAATTAACCATTAATTTTCGAAAAATATTAAATAACCATTCCTTGACAATCTATGCATTACTGCCTATTCTTTATGTAAAAAGCAATTTGTATGGCTAATTTACGTCCTAATTAAACTAATTCTTCTTACAATTATCCACAGAGCAACGACAGTCAAGCAGAAGATCCACTTCATGCCTTAAGCAGTAAAAAATCTGTTTGCGTGCAGTGTTTATGGGACAATCCAAGATTCCACACAGATTCAACGTTCTTATATTTTCTCTGGAAACAAACTACACCCTCGAGTCCATTGTTGAAGGCTTTGTTGACTGAACAAACATATCTCAATCGAGCGTAAGTGATTTAGTGTAGATAATTGAACAGTAATTAACTCAAAGTTCTTCCTTAATAACAGAGCAATTCAACAAATAATCTCATCGATACGATGTAATGACCTTATGACGCCAGTAAAGAGATTAGCAAATGAGCGTCACAAACTTAGGAATCGAGGTGTCGAGAGAACTCATTCGATTTATCGTGATATACTATTTTTGGCTCTTGTGGCAATTGGACGTGAAAATATTGATGTTCAGGCATTTCATCGTGAATATGCGACTGTATTTGAGAAATTGACAATGATTGAGCACAAAGATAATTTATATCACAGTCAGGACTTACCACCAACATCTTCGGCATTATTTTGTCGTGCATTCTTCAAACCGCTTTTACTGATTCCTTGACAATGTGTCAATTATAATTTCCGAATGATGGCGAGATAGCGTCGATAGGGAAATAAAATTTATGGAAAATATTCATCGTAGCTTACTTTTAATAATTTGAAAATGGAAGTTTAGTAAGGAATGATGGATGAAAATGGCAAAATTGTAGGTGATAATAAACTGCTTTGGCCTTGCGCAATTAATTGATGTCAGTCAAACTGGCTGATATTGATTGTGATTCTAAATTATGATTAAAATTAAAGAAATTAGACTATTAACGGTTTTTAAAATTTCAAGTTTTTAACGGTTTTATAAAATTTTGAAATTTATGTTTTAAAATTTTGAAATAATAGTCGCTAAAAATTTGAACTTGGAAAATTCGTTATAAATTCTTATGAAACATTTGCATCCATCAATTAGCCTTCTTACTTCCAAAACACTAAACACATTTCATTCATTGTCATCGAGACCAGTGAAACTTCTCTAGACTTGAATATAAAATTAAATGATAATAAAAACAAATTAATATCACTAAATGTAATTTAAAAAAAAAACTACGAAGAAACTGCTTAAAATATCAAACAAGAAAACTTTTTTGCTCATTGAATAGTGAAAATTAAAAAATAAAAATATTCTTTACTATGTGACGATAATAAGTGCATTAGAATTGACTTTAAACTTCATTTTTGGATGGAAACCTATTTTTTGTATAAAATGCAAACAATTTTCATTAAAAATGAAATTTTTATTGGCTTTTTCGGAACTAATTTGTGGAAAAAGCAAGAAAACCTATCTTTCTAGATTATGCAATGAAAATAAATAAATATCAAAAAAAAAAATAATAATTGTAAGCACGAAGAAATATAACGACTTTGTTGAATTGGAACCTTAGAACCATACAAATGTTTTAAGTAACTTGCAATGCTCTAGGATTCAAAATTTACAAATCCGTTAATTTTTTAAAAAATTTCATTTCAAATTTTATTTTTATTGCTGAATGGATAAGATAGAGAAAATTATGGGAATTAGAAACATTAATTGTGATAATTAATAGATGCAAAAGACACACACATACATATGCGACGGAAGTTTATTATGTTTTTCAATTTTTGATAAGTTTTAAATCAATATATCTTATATTGAAAATATGGAATTGTGTACAGAAATGTAAAAGGAAATGGAAAAACATTTCGAAAACAATAAAATAAAAATGAAAAAGTTTTTTTAAGAAAAAGAACCTTCTTCGAAGTTTCAAGTGAATATTAATAATTCAATTCTCTCATCCCTAAAAACAGCAGTAACCAAGCAGCCGCACACCCATCTATTGTACAAACTCAATAGACACAATCTGAATAAACACCTGCATGGATAAATATTCAGCAACAGTAGCCGATATTGATTGATAGATAAAATTGCAATAATTTTCGCTATAAATAGAGGCGACGTCGTTCCTGTAAAGACCGATAATAGTAATCATGACGCTCATGCTTATAAAATAAATAAATAAAGTTTTATTGCAGTTTCGTACACAAAGTGAGTTATGTTGTATAGTTAACAATTTGTATTAAACATTCAATTTTGGTTGAGCAACAAGAGTTAAAGGCACAGCTGTCATTTAAAGCTAATCATCCAAACTTAAACAATGCTTAATCTCGTCAAGTTCTTCTTTGTCAAAATTAAGCCTGCTACTTTCGTCCGACAGAATATCACAAAGTCTATAGAAAGAAAAATAGAATAAGAAGGTTGACTAAACATCACAGAATAGCTATTTTACCTGTCACACTTGGTCGTAAATAAATTATCCTTCCTATCGCAAATATTGACACGATTAATTTTGTGACACTCACGAATGGCTTTTGCCCATTGTTCCTTATAGAAATTTTTCGATTGAGTTGCGGCATCGAATTTCTCCTTGAGCAATCTCTTAAATAAAACCGAGAAAAAAAAGAGAATTTAAAAAAAAATTCATAGGAATTTGAGATGTTAATATTAATATATTTTAAAACCATACAAAGGTTAATGAAAACCTTACAAAAGTTATGATTTATAGTTGGCTGTTGTATGGTTTTAAAGCATTTACAAATTTTGCTGTCATAAGGTTTCAAAAAAATAATCAAAAACTCACCATCTCTTGAATTAAGTTCTCCACTTCCTGCTTCGGCACCAAATTCGATTTCAAATCCTCATATTTAGCATTCATACAATCAATTTTACCCTTCAAGTCGCAATTTTCATGGGTCAAGAAATTGACCTTTTCGTAAAGCTGCTTATTGCTACATTCGAGTTCCTCAATCTTTAAATTCTTCATATTAAGTTCGTGCATAAATTCTTGCTCCAATTGCTTTGTTCGTTCTTTTATCATCAGAAGCTTATCAGCATATGATTTTTCTAGTTCTTGTTTCATTTTTTGAGCACTATCCTCATTTCTGACATGCTGAAGGTTCTTTTGTTTCAATGAATTATGAGCATCCTCGAGTGTCTTCGTTAGGACTTGCAATTCGTTATTTTTCTCTTCAAATTTATCTTCATAAGATGCTTTCATGTTATTAAAATCAGTCCTAAGCTTCTCTAGATATTTCTCTTCGGTACGTTTCAGTTCAAATAAGAAATTCGTCTGTTGATGCTCCTTCCAATCCTCAAGCTCATTAATCATTTTGTATGCGATACTTTCGTCAAAAAGTTCTTCCTTTTGAATCTCAATGGTCTTTGCTATGTCAATTTTGGGATCTTCATTCATTTCTGGCAGATTTTCTACTCTTTTTGCATTAAAATTAAGTCCAGCATCGTCAAGATATACAAAGATTTCAGCCATAGCACTAACAGTCTCATTTTGATTCGTTAATAAAATATTTCCGCATGTTTTCTCCTTATTGCTAATCAACAGGTTCTTGCAGTCTAAATATGCTTTGGCATGAGTATTATGCGGTCCACGAATGCACATTGTACACGAAACTGTAGACTTTATTAAATCCATAATATTCTCTGAATGTGACGTAAAATACAATTTCATTTCGAGATCTTTGAACGCAATCACATTTCCGTCTATGTCATTTTCATGAATGTCACGGTTGACAATTGTACGTGGCGTGTCAGCAAATTCATGGAAGAAACTAATTTGCCATATACCCTTGTGTGGCTTCTTATTGAATTTCATTGATTTGAGTTGCAAATTGTAGCTAAATAAGCGTTGAATTTCTGATGTTTTTCCACATTCATGATCTTTAAGCATCGAATCTATATTTGTCTTTTCTGGCTGACTAGCTTTCTGCTGTAAATCTTGTTCAGTTTTTTTCTTACCGATGCCGACAGACTTTACTTCCACGGCACTTGATTTTTCAGATTCGCTACTTTCATCTTCAATCTGTTCGACATTTGATTGAGCCTTTATATTAGGTATGTAATCGCCTCCTGCCTTCTCATCAATCTTCATTTCTGTCGATGCATAATTTTCAAAAAGCTCATTCTGATGTAATTTTCTCGTTCCTTGATATATTATCAGTACTTTATATTCCAAAATTGGTCGATTTTGTGTCTCAACATTATTCTGTGTCTTTATTGTCTCTACGCCATCATATTCCTTTCCTTTTGGATATTTGTCAATAAATTCTTGTAGACTAAAGCTAGTAATAAGCTGATCAAGTCGAATTTCTACAGATCCAATCATTTTGTTGTCTGAATAAATTTCTACAGGAACATAAAATATGTTCTCAAAATAGTTGTGGAGTGACTTTAATGAGGAACGGAAATTTATTGATATTTTTTCCTGAATCTGATGAGTACGGTTGAACTTTCTATCCAATTTACGTGAATGATTATTTCCTAGCAAAATATAATTAATAAAAAAGTCGCGATTTGATAGATTTTCAGCACTATCGAAGATGTTGTCTAGATATTTGATGTTTTGGATTAATAGTCGTACATTAAAAATGTCACAGTCAGTATCAATGCTTCCGACTTGTAGTAGACCTTCTTTTTGAAGCAATCGAATGAATATGCCTTTTTGAGACGTCATCATTGTTGGATTAGGATTTTCTTCAAACATTATCGATTCCCTTGATTCAATCGTTTGAGCTTCAAGTATTTTATTTTTATCAATTGATAAAAACTCTTTATCAGTGATCATAATGTTCATTAGAAGCTCTGGCTTATGTTGTCTAAAATCTTTAGATAGTCCAATTATCTTCATCCATCGACATTTAACTTTAACAGCCTTTTGAACAGGAAGCATTGGAATTCCTCGAACTGGCAGTAATACATATCCAATGTGCTCTTTTTGTGCCACATTTATGTCGCCGTTATAATTTTTGATCTTGTATAAATCAACTTTTACTGGAAGATTTTCAATTTTCATTCGTTTTATCGACTTTCTGTCCGTTTCCCAGATCAACGAGCACTCAAATGATGTCGTATGTCCTGTTTTAATCGGTTCCCTATCCAATTTATTCCCACTAAGCGATGCTTGTGCCCAAACCATGTCAGCAGCATTTAATCCAATAGCTAAAAGTTTTCAAACAAAAATTATGAATGAAAATCACTGAATTAAGTCATTATGTTACCTTCAGAAATATGCAAGACTATAACTAAATCATCATGTAAAGATCCACTAGCTATTGAGGCTACATCCATCGTGAATTAAATAGTTTTTCTATTTTTATAAAATATAACAACTTCACAAAAATATCCGTTAAATCGAAAACTTTAATTATATATTTATATATATATTTCACAGCATACTTTGAACCTATTTCTACTACTTTTACGTAAATCGTCTTATTAATCGTGTCAAATGTAATTAAATCATAAATTCATTATGCTTAATGTGCATTTCAATAATTTTATTTATTGTTTTGAATTTTTTGATTTGTTGTTGTTTTAACATCACTTACTTTTGCTACTTTTTCAACGAACTTTTAAAATTTGAATGTTCAATTTCCCAGACTTTTCTTTAGAACTGACATTTTAAATACTGTTGATAATTTTGTTTTAAGCGATTTAAAGTTAATTAAGCTATATGGCGACGTTTGTAGTGCCTGCCAGAGCATCCAGAACACAGATGGACCTTAATTCTACTCAAAGCCTCGTAGATCCTGATTGGTAAGCTATAGAAATGATCAAAATATGGAGTTCTTTTGTTTATTTTGATTTGTTGATTTAGGGAATTAATAGATCCAGTTCCAAACATCCATAATCTGTTCCATACCTTTAACTTCAAATTTTTCAATGGAAATCTAGGATGTGTAGAATTAGAATGGAGTAAAAGAATGTATCAATGTGCTGGGATTTGTTATTCTCGTCGAAGTCGTGGACAAATGTCTTGTGTAATTCGTTTAAGTGAACCGTTGCTGAAATTGAGATCTAGGAAAGAGCTGATTGAGACTCTACTACATGAAATGATCCATGCATTCAATTTTATTAGAGGGATTTTAGAAGAAAACGGTGGACATGGAAAGAATTTCTTGGCTAAAATGCAGGAGATTAATCGATTAGCAGGAACAAATATCACAGTCTATCATTCCTTCCATGATGAAGTCGAACTGTACAAGAAACATTGGTGGAGATGTGATGGAATTTGTCGTACACAAAAACCTTATTTTGGATATGTTAAAAGGACGTGTAATCGTGCGCCTAGTAAAAATGACTTGTGGTGGAATCAACATACACAAAAGTGTGGTGGAAAGTTCATAAAGGTAAAGGAACCTGAAAAAGTTGAGAAGAAAAAGACGAATGAAATTAAACCAAAATCTGAAGGACCAACGAAACGAAAAGTTCCAGTAAAGCCAAAGGATCAACAGCCAAAAAATAATGATATCCGTAAATTCTTCCCAGACATATCACTCAATAGCTCGTCTGACTTCTTAGAAACTGACATCCTTCAAGGTCCTCCATCAACTTCTAAAGCAATAACTTCAGGTGAAATTAAAATTAGCATAGACAGTCAAGGAATCAAACTTGGAGGCACAGGGAATGGACGAAGTCGTCTGCTAGACATGTTTAGTCCAAAAATTCAACCTTTAGGATCTTCAATAGCAAAGAAACCAAAATTAGAAGTAATAGAAATTAAAACAGAATCTCCTGTTAATCAAGTCCGTAAATCCATTAAAATTGAAGTTATGCATGAATTTGATGACGACGATGACATTATATTGATTGATGATGAGTTTGACGATTCAATGTCTATAGATAATAAGCATGTTGATCTTAAAAAGGAAGTAAAAACCGAGGAAGAGTCATCAACTTGTGAATGTCCAATTTGTAATAAGAAGATTGATGTCAATGAAGTTAACCAGCACTTGGACGAATGCCTTACTATTCAAATGTTGAAAGAAGCATCGTAAATAAGACTGAATAGTTAGATTTAGTAAAAGTTTTTTTTAAATTAATTCTTAAAACCTTACAATTCCATAATTTACCTCGTTCAAAACTGTTGAAAACCCGATTGGAATTGTACGGTTTCGAAGCACTTAGATTTAAGATTCAATTTTTTTTTGTTCAACGGATTTTTGATTCTCACATGCTGACTATCCATCTACTGCTAAAGCTGTGCACCCCTCGATTCCGTATATTTATTTACCTACATTCGTATATCTATTTTTAAAAAGTTCATTAAGTATGGAAACATCAAATAGCTGGAAACTTAGAGATCTGATTTGTGTTCTTATATCTGTGCCTGTATCATTAGTAATATGGATTTTAGGAAAGAGCTTTTCGACATTTTCCAATAGTAACGGTAAATAAATAACATATTCAGTGATAAATCATTGCCGATGTAATCTAATTAAGCTTTGACATACATGACTTTAGACTTTTCATTGACACCTTTACGTTCGTTTCTATCGACTCTGTTTCCGTTCCTATTTATGGTCTATGGATATAAGAAGCGATCAGTTAATAGAAGTGGAGCAATTTTTGGAATTATTGTGGCTTTATTGTTGACATTTGCATCACCTATTTACCTTATTGTCTTGGCTGCATTCTTCTTTAGCAGTTCTAAGGCAACCAAGTATAAGCAGGATTTTAAGAAAAAGATTGAGAAAGATTTTAAAGTTGGTGGACAAAGGAACTGGGTGCAAGTGCTGTGCAATGGTAATAACTTAACGCTTATTTATTATAAACAAATTTATTTAAATTAATGTCTATTTTTAGGAGGTGTTGGCGGGTTTATAGCACTAGCTCATTTATTGGAACTAGGAGTTGGAGAGAGACCTATTGACTTTTTAAATAATTATTATGCATCATTACTCGGCATATCTGTTATGTCATCATTTGCATGTGTTAACGGTGATACATGGGCTTCTGAATTAGGCATATTGTCAAGAACAGATCCAGTATTAATTACAGATTTAAGCAAGAAAGTGCCAAAAGGAACTAACGGAGGTGTCTCAAAATGGGGCTTATTTGTCAGCTTTGCTGGTGGAATTTTTATTGGATTATTTTATTATATTGCGACTTTAATATTCATTGATCGTGACTTGTTAATTGACTGCCCACCACAATATCCAATAATTCTTTTAGGTGGCATTGCTGGATTTTTTGGGTCATTAATCGACTCACTTTTAGGTGCGACTCTTCAATTCTCAGGTCAAACGCCAGAAGGATATATTGTTGAGGAGATAGAAGAGAAAGTTGTTAAAATTAGTGGACGTAAGATTCTCAACAATCACAGCGTTAATCTCCTGAGTTGTCTATTCACTGCTTTAGTAATTCCAGTCATTGCACAACAATTTTGGAACTTTTTTACATTATTTTAAACGGGTCTTAATCATTTTGGAGGTGGGAACTAGTCTGATAAGCAACGCTAATCAATATTGGAAGTACCAGACATCCAGTAGAAACTCAGAAATCGAATTAATCCATATATATTTAAATAATAAATTTTTTACTTTAACGAACTTTTGAAATTTGAATGCAGTTCATTTGTTTTGTTTACGTTTAAAATTACAGTGAAAAATCAAATAATTAAAATTAAAATGGAAACAAAGCTATTTGAGGAAAATGACAGTTGGGAGGACATTAGCAGCAGCAGCAATCATGTCAGTTTTTCATCAGAGAAGAATGTCAAGCGAAAGAAGGAGAAGAATCGTAAAAGAAAGCACGAAGAAATGAATGATGATTCTGAAGCTGGAAAATGGGTTAGGTATGTATCAAGAAACATCCATTAACTCCTTAAATTAACTAGAAACACATCAATACAAATAGAGCACCGAAATTTTATGGATTAGAAGAATCAAGTGGACCAGAACAATTACCAACAAAGTCAAAAAAGAGACGAGAACGAAAAAAACGTATGAAGGAAGCACTGGAAGCTGAAAAGCAAGTGATTCCAGAGAAGAAGAAAAAAAAGCAACACATTGTAGAGCCAGAAACTGCTCAGGAGGAAATTAGCGAGCCATTATCATACGAAGAACAACTTCGAGAGTCATTAAAAGGATCCAGATTTAGATTTATCAATGAACAGCTATACTCGAATCCGTCTGGAGCAGCTATGGCGATTTTTGATGAAGACGAAAGTGCATTTAAAGCTTACCATGAAGGCTATAGACATCAAGTTTCTCAATGGCCTATGAATCCATTAGATCGATTGATTAAACAGATTAACAAAATGTAAGTTGGATATGATTTTTAAACATTAAAATGTATTAATGCTAACTCAATTGATTTATTTATAGGCCCAAAAACTACGTGATCGTTGATATGGGATGTGGAGATGCTCGACTTGAGAAATCTGTTCTTCAGAAAGTCTATTCTATTGATCTTGTGTCTGGTGTTGATGGAGTTATTAAGGCAGACATGTCAAAAGTTCCAATCGATTCAAATAGCATTAATGTTGTCACATACTGCTTATCGTTAATGGGAACTAATCTAAAAGACTTTTTTATTGAAGCAAATCGCATTTTGAAGATGAATGGCTTAATAAAGATTGCAGAAGTATCCTCAAGATTCGAGAAGGTTGGTGCTTTTGTGGACTTTGTACTAAAATGCGGGTTCGAGCTCGTCAATAAGGATATCACTGATAAGTTGTTCTTTTTCTTTACGTTTAAAAAGACTCATGATGTCAATAGTTTCAATAAGAAAATACCAAACTTTAGTCTTAAGCCATGTCTTTATAAGAAGCGTTAATTGATGTCCATGCATTTACTGAATAAATTTGATTAATTCCTTTCTTTTCTGTGAAACTTAATGACCAATCAATTAAACATTCAATTTCTGTGAACTAATTGCACTTCTGAAAATTAATTGATACTCAATTAAGCAATAATAAAATAGCTTATTACTCAGTAAGCATCAATATGTCAAGCGCATTAGTCCTAGACATAGCATGGACAGCGTCAAGCATCCTCAAAATGTTTGGATACGCTACATTCAGCTTAAAAAAGAATAGTAACAAGGAAATTATAGTTACATATAAGGATATTTTGTTATTTGTCATAAACCTGTCAATGGGTTTTTACATGACTTATAGAGCATCAATTTACATTCCTGACTATGTCACTGAAAAGACATTAATGACTTATGTTGGAAAATTCACAATGGTATCTGGTGGAATCATTTGTATAATATCCATGATTTGTTGCTTTGCATTCAGAAATAAAGTATGGAAGTTGATCAACTTAATTCAAGGAATCGACATAAAGTTCCATCAAGCTAACATAAATACTGAATTTAAGCAAGCCAAAAAGGTTTATGGAGGATATTTCATCATTTTGATGCTCTTCATAGCCGTTGGTGCTTTCATCATGCTCTTTCAATTTAATTACTATAAGAAGCCAATCGTGGCTGTACATTTTGTCTATCTAATAACGAGTTTTTGCTTTTGCATGCTGTGGATGAAGCTTTTTCATGTTGCTTTATACAGACGATTCAAAATTATGAACAATGTGCTTTTGTGAGCTACATAAAAACTGTTTCAGACATGCTTAATCTAATAGCCCAATTTCAGGGACATTATGACATCAAATAAAGCATTAAACAATGTAGAGGACACACTTAATAAACTCCAATTAATCCATTTTTACCTCATCAAGTCCATCAAATTAATTAACGAAATTTTCGGGTTTCAAGCCATGCTTTGTGTTGGCATGGCTGATTTCTTTACATTCTTTACACTATTCTCGACCTACAAATCCACGAGCATTACAACCTATAAACAGAGGAACATGACGTTGATGATCATTTATTGGTGCGTTTATCTTAATACTATTAAGTCGGTAGCTCTTATTCTATGCAGCATGACTGAAAATCAAGATTATGAGACATCGAGGATCATCAGTAGATTAATTAGTCGGAATGTCTGCGATCCAGCATTATTAAAGTCTTTTGGGAATCAAGTTGTTGGACAGTCATCAAAAAGCAGCTGTGGATTATTTTATTTTGACTTTCAGTTGGTTGGAACGGTAAGCTTTGATGTTCAGGCAAATATGATTATATTTTACTGACTATGAATCACTTCCAGATGTTCTCAACTATTGTCTACTACCTCATAATATTCGTGCAGTTCGAAATCACACTAAGGAATTAATTAGAGATATATCCTTAATGTAATTAAATTTAATTAGTATGTAATTAAATTGGTTTCACTGCCTGTATGTCATATCAGTAATTAAAGCGATGTCGTTAAGGAAGAACTTGATTGTAGCTTCAAAGTGGATTAAATTCTTTGGATACGCAACTTTTAGCGTTAAAAGCATTCAGGATGAGAAAGTTTCAGTCACATTCAAGGATTTACTATGTCTGACTGTAAATTTGGCAACTGGATGTATTCTAACATATTATTCAGTTGCTTTTAATTCTAAATATTTTCCTGGGAAGGTACTTTTGCACTATGTCATGAAAGGAGTCATTTGTTCCATATCCCTAGTCACTTTAGTATCTATGGCAAGTGTCTTCATGTTTCGGAACAAAATTTGGAAGTTCGCGAAGCTGATTGACATTATGGATGAACACTTTTTAGATATTGGAGTTAAATCTTGTGCTGACTTCTTCCTTAAACTTCTATTGACTTTATTTGCTGCTGTTGTTCTGTTCACATTAATTGGAATTGTCTTAATGGAGAGATTTTTGAACTATGACAATGTGTTTCAGGTCTTACTGCACTTTGTTTATTTATCAATGAATTTTAGCTTCTGCATGTTTTGGGCTATTCTGTTTCATGGTGCTATATATCGGAGATTTCGGATATTAAACGATGTGTTGAGGTAAATTGATTTTTAATCTTGTTTTAGGGACCATGTAGTGACCACTACTGTTTCAATGTGTTTAAAATTTCCAAATAAGTTCCAGTAATTAGAATTAACAAATTCTATTTTTAGCGACCTAATTATTGATAAGGACATGCTTATTAATTATTCAGTACGGCATGTAACATCACAATCAACTGAAAGCTTCATAACAACATTACAATTCGTTCACCTCAATTTGATTAAATGTATTGAACTGGTCAACTTCTCTTTTGGCTTTCAACTCATGCTGTGTACAGGAATTGTCTTCCTGTTTATATTCTTCACTCTTTTCTGTGCCTATCGAGCATTATTGTATGGAAATGATTCCAATAATAATTTAATAATCGTCAATTTATATTGGAGTGTCTACTTTACAGCTATGAAAATGTTTTTTATTATCATGTGTCATATGACTGAAAGTGAGAATGATAGGACATCCAAATTAGTGTATAAGTTAATGAATTGTAATATCTGTTCATCGGCTATATTGCAATTTTTTGGGAATCAAATACGAGGAATGTCTGCTAAAAGTTCTTGTGGATTGTTCGAGTTTGACATATCGTTGATTGCTATGGTAAGAGGCCGTTCACTTATTACGTTCGTACTTTAGGGGGGGGGGGGGGGGGGGTTGAAAAATTGTAACATAAGGGGGGGGGGGGGGGTCAAAAATTTGTTTACAAATTCACACCAAAAACATTTTTTTAAATTTTCCACCTTTTTAATGATTTATGAATGTCCATATCACTTTTGATAGCTAAGCAATACATAGTTTTTGTCATATAAAGTAACAAATCAATAGAAAACTGGTTTACAAGACTTTAAAATACAATCATAATTTGTGGAAATTTTCAAAATTAAATCAATCATAAGTTTAAAAGTAAATCTCTCTAAATCTGTCATTAATATGATCCCATCATTGTGATATTTGCATTAAAGTTGATTGAATTTTCCAAAATTCGATCGGGCATAATATTTTTCATGACATTTTTGAATTTTCTTCAAAAAAAAAAAAACAAATTTTTGCTTTATATCACAATCCAATAATTCATGAGAATACTAATAGTATCAATCAAAACATAACCTATTTAGCTGTACAGTATTTTGATGTTTAAGAAAAAAAATACAAAAGAACTTTAACCGTCTTTTTAGAATAAAAAATTATCAAAATAAAATAAATTATGAACGTTCGGGGGGAGGGGGGGGTGGTGAGTTGTAACATATTGTAACAAGGGGGGGGGGGGGGTGGTGAAAAAAGTCGTTTTTTGCGTAACATAATAAGTGAACGGCCCCTAAGAGCATGTGATTGATTTTTAATGATTATAACTTATTAAAATGTTTCCCATAGATGATATCAGCACTTGCTTATTATTTCATAATTTTCGTACAATTTGATATCGCATTATCGAAGAAATCTCAGTAAGTTTTGATCAGACATTTTCACATTTCAATCAGAAAAGTTTCTAAATCTGCAGCATCAAAAATAAATTCTCAGTTCTTAAAACATGCAGTCAGCATCAAGAATTTTCACACAGAAGCTCACCCAGACATCATCAATTGCCAAAATGAGCACGAAAACTGCATTTACATACTCAACAGCCCCAAAAATTCGGAATGGAATCTCAACTCATCATACCACAAAGTCAAAGATGACAAATGTACGTGGATGTAGTCCAAACGAATGTCACGAGATTAACAAGACGATTGTCAAAACTTTCACTAAATCAACTGACTTCAAATCGCCAGCAGTGACCACCCAAGAATGTTCTGTTGTGTTAAATTTTTGAGATTCTTTCCTGTCTGAATCAGTCTGAATAAAAAGTAATTCTTTTTTCGCCAGTTCTAACCATCCATGCACGTTTTTCAATTCCATTGACCCACTTAATGCTGTCAATTAACACCTTTCTGATCACATTACTTCTTCCAGTTAATCATCAATTATTACTATCTAGTATAAATTGGACTGCTGTTGAGTTTACAAGATGAATAAGTGTTTATGTCTCTTTATTCTGTTCTTAATCAATGACCTAGGTACAGGAAGTGAAAATGTTCTGAAAAAAGGTTCGAGGAGGCAAAAAAAGTCGATGCTTTTTCCTCAATATTCTGTATTACAGGTCAGTTGATTAGGAATTGTGGGGTATTATGATCTAATGGTTTCTTTATTAATTCTTTCTAGACATCAATGTGCCTCATTTCACAAATTTCCAGTCTACCAAGTCATCGTGTCGCTTTAAATCTGGGATTTCAGACTAATTATGCGATGCCTTATCAACTTCCTAGTTTTTATTCTCCAATCTTTTGGGCTAGAAAGTTCTCACATGCTTCCAATCCATTAGTTAATTTTTTTGAACGACTAGCTGAAAATGACGATCAAGGGGCAGAAAGTGATGATTCAAAGGAAATCAGCAAAAATGAACTTCCAACGACTACAGAAAATTCAGAATCAGAGGAACTTGACACAACAGAAAAAACCTTTAAAAATCAGACTGATGGACATAAAAACAATAGACACAAAAGGATGGTTTCATTTGACTCGGATATAAGTGCTGGGCAGTTTTACTATGGGGTTATTGACGTTTTAGAATAGTAAGTAAGCTACAATGAAGCTTGATTATTGAATCGTCTGTGTCGCAAGAAATGAGCTATTAAGCCACTAAGAGATTGAATATTTTCAGTGCTGGATATCATGAAGAGTGTCTACTGAAAAGTGTTTGTGAGCTTGCAAGACATCCGTTGCATTTTGAAAACGATTCTGAAGATGTTGTTAAAGAGATCCTGCATTTCTTCCTTACGTGAGTAACTTGACATCATCTTATGTAGGGATTTCAATACCGGGATCCCGGGGTCCAGACCGATTTTTCAATATCGTAATCCCGGGATGATGCTGGGTTATAAGTCCAGGTACAAAAATCGTGCACAGAAAATTATAAGTCCAGAAAATCAAAGTCAATAAAGGTTTATAAGTCCAGATACAAATTGCACCTGGTCAGGTACAAAGTCCAGGTACAGATACAGCTGGAATTATAAACTGCACGAGAGGTTTTTAAGTCCAGGTACATTTTATATTTGGACTTATAAACTTCACGTGTTGTTTATAATTCCAGAAAATTTACAAATTTTACTTATAATCTCCCAGTGCGATTATAAATCTAGATACATTTTTCTGGACTTATAATCCTTGCAAATTCCTCTAAAGTACCATATAGGGTAAATCATTTTGAAATTTGCGTGTTTTCAGACTTGGAATTTTCAAACGCTTGTAACTAATCGACGAATTGACATTGTGACCTACGAATAGTCTTGAAATGTTAAGAATCTAAAATTGTATGTACTGAAATTACAGCTGTAGATTACAGATGAACTTACGTCGTTACGTAAAAATCAATTTACAGCTGTAGTTTAATGTGTATAAGTAAAAACAGTTGTAAATACAGATGGTGTTTATAGCTTAGACAAGTGCTTAGCTGTACTTACAGTTGATATAATTTTTCGTAAATTCTGCTGGTTTTGACTGTGATTTTACCTTTTACAAAAAGATTAAATAGAAAACAAGGTACAGTAGCGTGCAAAAGTTTATAAAAATCACATTTTTCGCTCTGGATGTTAACATTTAAAGTATAAATAATACTAGAATAACAAAGGTAAACAAAATCCTCTTTGCTTTGTCTTCTCACAGAATGCAAAAAACTGATTTTTCAAAACCAATAGATTCACACGTGAATATGGTATGAATATAAAAATTTGAAATAATTTAAAATAATTCAAATAATTTTCAAAGTTATAAGTCCAGAAAAATGTATCTGGGTTTTTAATCGCACTGGGAGATTATAAGTAAAATTTGTAAATTTTCTGGAATTATAAACCACACGTGAAGTTTATAAGTCCAGATATAAAATGTACCTGGAATTAAAAGCCATTCGTGCAGTTTATAATTCCAGCTGTATCTGTACCTGGACTTATAAACTGCAATTTGTATCTGGACTTATAAACCTTTATTGACTTTGATTTTCTGGACTTATAACCCAGCATCTCGGGATCAAGATATCCTTAAACTTTCTCACAAATTTTGTTAATTTCAAAGTGTAAAATAATAAAAACCAGAAAGTTTTTCCAAATAATTTAAGAATTCTTTTTAATATACAGTTTCCTTTTCAAAATTTTCTAAAGTGTTTAAAAACGTGTAATCGTATGTCTATAGTAATTTCCAAAAAATTTGAATATTTTTGAATTTTAAATAGATTTTATGATCATTCGAGTACATCTCTAATAAAACTGCGATAAAATCTATTATTTGAATTAAATAGACAAAAAAAAATCAAATTTTTACTGAAAATTTCAAATCATTTTTGATAAAAGGTTAAAAGATAATCTTTATAAAAATTGACAAAAGCTTTCATTGTAAAGTTAAAAAGTTCAGACAAGACAAGAAATGGAAATATTGATTTATTTGGAAAAACTTTAACTTTCTGGTTTAGTTTTCTACTTAAAAATTTTTTAAATTTTGGTCCGGTATTGAAATCCCTAATCTTATGTGCATGACTTATTCCTGAAACATCTTTTTAGACCATCAGCACATCAATCATTTGATTCTGAAAGTGAATTTGAGGAAAAAGAATTATACGAAGAAGCTGAAAGAATAGGAAAGGAAGGAGGTGATTGTGAATTAATCTATACTGGATGCAAAAAATCACCGCTTTATTCAATATCAAATTTTATTTCAACTGATGATTAATAAAGTTTATCGATCATGTCCTTCAGAGCACCAATGGAACGACTTGCAATTTGATTTCAATTCAAAGCTCTTCATGTTGACTAGATCTTTTGCGTCTGGCATCATTTCACAGTGCTCCTTACACATTTGATTATTATTCGTGTCAGTAGATTTTTCATCGTAATCTTCGGCTTTTTCATTCTTTGTGTCTTTATCTTCAGGACATAAGCCACAAGGCGGTTTTGTGTTGTAGGTTCTTGAAAGTGCTAATCTTGCGATTGAATTGCACTTGTTGACTGATTGACGCAACATTTTGATGAAAATTTAATGTATTATATGAGAAAACACGTCTGAATTGCTTAACAAACAATTTGGAAATGATGTGATTTGTATGTAAAAAACGGTTGTCAATGAAAACTTGATCAAATTTTTCCAATGATTTAAAATTACTTTATTAAGGGGCCGTTCACTTATTACGTTTGCACTTTAGGGGGGAGGGGGGTTAAAAAATTGTAACAAAGGGGGGGGGGGGATCAAGAAGTATGTAACGTTCTAATTGTCGTCTCTCTTTTAAAAAAAAGTTCACGAAAAAAATTTGTTTACAAATTCACACCAAAAACATTTTTTAAATTTTCCACCTTTTTAATGATTTATGAATATCCAGATCACTTTTGATAGCTAAGCAATACATAGTTTTTGTTATATAAAGTAACAAATCAATAGAAAACTGGTTTACAAGACTTTAAAATACAATCATAATTTGTGGAAATTTTCAAAATTAAATCAATCATAAGTTTAAAAGTAAATCTTAGGGTTTGGGGAACCTGTAAACAGAAAACAGCTGTTTTTTTGACAAAAATCTGTTAACAGAAAACAGGTTTCAAAAACAGATTTTGTCATATAAAGTAACAAATCAATAGAAAACTGGTTTACAAGACTTTAAAATACAATCATAATTTGTGGAAATTTTCAAAACTAAATCAATCATAAGTTTAAAAGTAAATCTTAGGGTTTGGGGAACCTGTTAACAGAAAACAGCTGTTTTTTTGACAAAATTCTGTTAACAGAAAACAGGTCTCAAAAACAGATCTGTTTTCTGTTTTTCATTTTTACATATAATTTACAGAAAAAAAAATTTTTCTTAATTTTTTTGAAGAACTTAATATATTTTTCTAGAATTCCAAATTGTAATGGGGCCATTCACTTATTACGTAACGCTTTTAGGGGGAGGGGGGGTCTAAGATTTTGTTACGGTTCAAACAAGGAATTTTTTTTTCATACAAATTTTGTTACGAGGGGGGGGGGGGTCTAAGAAGTCATTTTTTCGCGTTACGTAATAAGTGAACAGCCCCAATGTATTTACTTTTTTAATATTTTTTGGATGTTTAATAGGTTTGAAATCATTATCAAATTTATGATTAATCATTATTAATTTTGCAATAGAAGTTTTAAATCTGTTGAACCTTTGGTAGCATTTACTAAAGTTCAAAATTATAATCAACAATTTTACAAGATATTTTTTGATTTAGAAATATTTTTTAAAATATTTCAAATAAAATATTAGAGTTTATGGAACTTTTATAATGCAACAATGCTATGTTTCTTACAAGTATAAATATTTTTTTTTTGCATTTTTATATTTCATTATATTTGTAAGAGGTTATTAACGAAAATCAAAAAATAATAATGTTTAGCTCTTTAATGTATGCTTAACTGCTTATAACCACCAAAAAGTTTCATTATCTTAGAGAAACACTTAGGATAACTCAGTTTATTTTGAATTCTAGAAAAACAGGAAAACAGCTGTTTTTAAAAATCAAAAACCGAAAACAGACTGTTTTTCAAAAACAGCTGTTTTCCACAAACTCTAGTAAATCTCTCTAAATCTGTCATTCATATGATGAAATTTGTGTGCTTTTGCACATGGAGATTTGATTTGCAAATAACTTGCTAATGACTGATGATGAAAATTTGCTAATGGGCTCAAAAGATCAATAATTGTGGGAATTTTCAGTTAATAATGATTTTTGAAGGATATGCTGCTTATGGGAAGATTTTTGACATTTTCGATCAAATGTTGAAATTTGTGCGGAAAATTTTAAAATTTGTGCGAAAAAATGTTAAAATTTGTGCGTTTTTCAATAGCAATCTTTGACATAATTGCAATTCTTAAATGTAAACACACATTTTATTTATATATTTTTGGAACAGAAATTGATATTTTTGCTGAAGGAACTACTTTGAATAAACTTTAAATGAAATTAAGAACATAAAGCTGATTTGTTTCAAACCTTTTCCTCAAGGAAATAATGCAAGATTCAAGATTTAACTCAGTTTGAGCTGACTGAGTTTACAACCGTTAGAGGAACATCCATTAAATCAGCAATTCCTCCAGCTTTAAATTTGAAAAATTTAAAATCCCATACAAAATTGCGGGGTGAGTTGTAACATATTGTAACAAGGGGGGGGGGGGGGTGCGTTTTTTTGCGTAACGTAATAAGTGAACGGCCCCTAACAAGATCGAGTAAAAAGTTCCTTAATTAAGCTTACAAGTATTGATAACAGGCGTATGAATTGTTTATGCTTCCTTAATAAGCTTTCTTTTCTTAGTATAATGGTCAATTCGTTCCTCTAAAGTCGAGCATTTCTGTCGATCAGTAAGTTTCATATAATCACGTCTATTACAATCACGATTTAAGGATTTCATTTGTGTGATGAGTTTCGGCTTGTCTGGGTATCTTGTGCTGTATTCGTGGTTTAATACTCGTAGCATTTCAAAAACCATGGCTGATTTTACACTAGCTTCACACCAATGTTCCTGCATATCAGTAATAACGTCTCTGAGAGTTTCTTCATTATATACCCACTTATTAGCCATGTCAATATTTCTAGGAATGTCATCCTCAGTCAATGATTCTTCACGAAAGTTACAGAAGAATAAATTTAATGGAATTTCACTAGCTAAGCTGTATTGTGGCTTTTGTTCATTACTTTCAATGTCAAGTAACTCTTTAATTACATTAGGACTCTCTTTCTTTTCTCCAATAAGGAATAAAACAGCTACAATGCATCTAATCATGTGCCATAAAAAGGCACTTCCTTTAATCTCTAAGTAAAGCATGTCATAATCCTCTGTTTCATTCTTCGTTGCTTCCTTAATTGTAGCTATATCTATTCGTCTGATATAATTAACAACTCCGTTTCCTACGTCCATTTTACACAAATTCCTAAAGTCATGAGCACCAAGGAGGCTTTTACATGCTTCCTCCATTAATTTTACATCAAGTGTGCCTCGTGGGAAGAAATAACGATAAGTTCGATTAGTACAATCAAATCTAGCACTGTAAGTTGACGAGATAAGAGGCATCCATGAAATGGCACGAATCTCTTTTGGAAGGACTTTGTTCAGTAATGTGCAGTAGTTGATTTCACCATTTACAGCTTCATCAGTCAATTGATCCTTGAATTCATATTTACTTCGAAGATCCAGTGAGACTACTTGATCAAATGCTGATACTCCTTTATCAGTTCGTCCACAACGATTATAATTGCTCGTTTCTCTGGAATCAATCAGACAGACTTTCTTAAGTGCCTTGAATAAATAGTATTCAATTGTCTCGATTGTATCGTCCTGAACTACATATCCACTATAATTCCATCCCAAGTAACAGAATTTCAGCAATACATGTCTCTTGTAGCTCTTAGAAAAGTCAAATTTCCTCTTTCGTTCTTCATTTTCATCGACTGGATCTTTTGAATTTACTCTTTTTTCAATTATATTTTTTAACTGTGTATTATATGCTTCCAACTTGACTATCCTTTCAACTAGTTCCTCCTTAGTCAACTTACTAAGTTCCTCGGGTGTCAAATTCTTCTTTCGTTTATTTACTTTAATTTTATCCATTTTACTACGGTTTTTATGAAAAAGAGTCAGTAATATTGTTTTGCATGTAAACAAAGGGGGTATGAAGGTTTTAAAGACTTTTTTCAGGTTATGGCATGAAGGGTGTAAACTTATCTCGTTCTTTTCATGCCAATTCGGCTTGACAGTAGATCATTGAGGTAAATTTTATTTAATTAAAGTGCTTAAAACAGCTTTAAATTAACATATTTGTGATGGATATTGTGCATAAGATCATGGATCATGTTAATTTGATAATTGTGAAACTTTATAGTTTAATTAATTACATTTTTTCTTCATTTTAATTTTTTCATGTCGAAACAGAGCAAATTGTCAAAATGGTAAGACGAGAAACTAATTTCCTTTAATTCAGCCTTATTAATCTGCTTTATTTATTTTTCATTGTAGACGAAAGGTACTACAAGTTTTGGTAAACGCCATAATAAGACACATACGTTATGCAGACGTTGTGGTCGTTCCTCATATCACATCCAGAAATCAACATGTGCTCGATGTGGATATCCAGCAGCAAAAACCCGTTCATGTAAGTACCAATGTCATTATTAATCGGTGCTATCAAGACAATTGTGGATATTAGTGCTCTTTGCATGTTTGAATTTTGTTTACATGGTTATAATGCAAAGGTTACATTTATAAACAAAATTCTCGGATGTACAATTCCTGACATTAAGCTTAACTTATTATTATTATTATTCCGATTTTAGATAACTGGTCCGTTAAAGCTAAGCGTCGACGAACCACAGGAACAGGACGTTGCCGTTATTTGAAAGTCGTTCGTCGCAAGTTCCGTAATGGATTCCGTGAAGGAACACAAGCTAAGCCACGCAAGACTAAGGCATAAGTTATCTTTTAATAATCCCATGTGAAATATCCATCTTTTATTGTAATAACAATAAATTCAAGATTATTGAATCAACTTTCTTTGAATATCCGAGAGAATCGAGTATTTTGGTTTATTTCTTTTTACTTTTATTGATTTTTCAGATTATTCAAAGGATGTGATCTTCAGCTTTTGATGTAGATTGCGAATGTTTAAATTAGTAAAATTTATAAACTTAAATTTCAAATCAACGGCTTTTTTATTTTCAAAAGTTTAGTACAAAAATCATTTTGAATTTCAGAAATGCGTTAAAATGACATGGATTCTAGGACAGACATAAGACACAGCACACAGTGCCAAAATTCAAATGCTTTCTTAATGCGTGCCTAAAATAATCCTGGCAAAGAGTAAAAGGCGAACAATGAACTCGAAATATGTCGTATGTTCTTAAAATGAAGCACTAGAGCATATATTAAGGCAGGTCATGACCTGAATATTGAGTATTGATTTTTCATAGCTTAATGATTTTAATTAGCCTTTGTACTCATGGTTTTTTTGAAGGAAATACAGTCCTTATCGCTGTGTTCAAGGTACTTGTTTCTTTCATAATATGTTCTCAAATTCCTGAAAATTCTTTAAACAAAAGTTTTCAGTCACAAAGATTCAGTGACTCACAATTTTCCTGTAAATATTAAGTTTAAAGACACAAAGATATGATGAATCTATAACATCTTTAGTTTTTCGATTTTTATTCTCCTTTTTCAGTATTTCTAACCAAAACTTATAGCTATGTTTCATTCTTTGATGAGTTGTACAAAAAATCATAAATTATTCAATAATATGACTTCATGATATGAGAATTTAGGAAAACAAAAGTAGTAATTATAATTAATATCTTAAAGAATTTGGTTTAAAGCAAAAACAAAATGGAAAAAGCGCTTATGAAATTTAAGTGAATTAAGGAATTTAAAGTTACTCATGTTTGTATGTCAAATTCTGTTGATCGATTGATTTAATCAACTTCTTCCATATGAGAAGCATCTTCGGTGTCTTCGACTAAAAGTGGCATATCCGACGATGTGGCAGCAGGTGTTTCCTCAACAGTCATTGTATCATCTTCATCGATACCCAATCCAAGTTTAATCATGCGATAAATGCGAGCAGCATGAACTTGTGGTTCATCCAATGAGAATCCAGAGCTCAATAAAGATGTCTCGTAGAGTAAAATGCACAAATCTTTAACAGCCTTATCATTCTTGTCAGCTTCAGCCTTTTGACGTAAAGTTTCAATGATTGAATGGTCTGGATTAATTTCAAGATGTTTCTTTCCAGCCATATAACCCATTGTGGTTGTATCACGCAATGCTTGTGCCTTCATAATACGTTCCATATTTGCAGACCATCCATATTGAGATGTAACAATACAACATGGAGATTCGACTAGACGATTTGAAACAATAACTTTTTCAACTTTGCTGTCCAAGACTGATTTCATTACTTTGCAGAGATTTTCAAACTTGGTTTTGTCCTCTTCGCGCTTCTTCTTTTCTTCGTCGTCTTCTGGCAATTCTAAGCCTTCCTTTGTGACACAAACAAGTTGCTTGCCTTGATATTCTTTCAATTGTTGAATGACATATTCATCAATTGGTTCAGTCATGTAAACAACTTCATATCCACGTTTCTTGACACGTTCAACGAAAGCAGAGTTGCTGACTTGTTCCTTACTTTCGCCAGTAATGAAATAGATTGATTTTTGGTTTTCCTTCATGCGTGAAACATATTCGCCTAATGAGCACATTTCGTCACCGCTTGCAGATGTTTGGAATCTCAATAAATCAGCCAATTTAGCACGGTTTGTAGAGTCTTCATGAACACCCAATTTCAAGTTCTTGCTAAATTGAGCATAGAATTTCTTAAAACCTTCTTTGTCTTCAATGAGTTCTTCGAACAATTCTAAACATTTCTTGACAAGATTCTTACGAATAACTTTTAAAATCTTGTTTTGTTGCAACATTTCACGAGAAATGTTTAATGGTAAATCTTCAGAATCAACGACACCCTTCATAAAGTTCAAATAATCAGGAATGAGATCTTCACAATTGTCCATAATAAAGACACGACGAACATACAATTTAATGTTATTCTTCTTCTTTTTAGCTTCGAATAAATCGAATGGGATACGACGAGGAACAAAAAGCAATGCACGGAATTCAAGTTGTCCTTCAACGCTGAAATGCTTAACAGCTAAATGATCTTCCCAGTCGTTTGTCAAGCTCTTGTAAAATTCACCATATTCTTCAGTAGTGATATCATCTGGATTACGTGTCCAAATTGGCTTAGTTTTGTTAAGTTCTTCATCTTCTGTGTACTTAACTTTAACGGTTTTTTTCTTTTTGTCAGCGCTCTTATCAGCATCCTCGTCATCACCAACATCTTCGATTTTAGGCTCATCACCTTCTTTCTTTTCTTCTTTTGGTTCCTCAGGTTCAGCTTCGTCGTCGCTTACTTCCTTTTCGCGTTCTTTTTCAACGACCAACTTGATTGGATATCCAATAAATTGAGAATGTTTAGTGACAATAGACTTGATCTTTGATTCTTCTAAATATTCAGTTTGATCTTCTTTAATGTGCAATACAATCTTTGTACCACGACCTAAATCTTCACCGTCATCAACAGCAATTGTAAAGCTACCACCAGCAGATGACTCCCAAACGTATTGTTCATCATCATTATTCTTTGAGTATACAGTAACTTTATCGGCTACCAAGTATGCTGAATAGAAACCAACACCGAATTGACCAATCATAGAAATGTCAGCACCAGCTTGGAGAGCTTCCATAAAAGCCTTGGTTCCAGAACGTGCAATTGTTCCAAGATTATTGACTAAATCAGATTTCGTCATACCAATACCAGTATCGATGAGTGTCAAGGTGCGAGCCTCCTTATTTGGAATAATCTTGATGTACAATTCCTTGCCAGAGTCCAATTTTGATGGATCAGTAAGTGACTCATAACGGATCTTATCCAAAGCATCAGATGAATTTGAGATCAATTCACGCAAGAAAATTTCCTTGTTTGAATAAAAGGTGTTGATGATCAATGACATAAGCTGAGCAATTTCAGCTTGGAACTGGAAAACTTCAGCATCAGGCATCTAAAATGATATAAAAATGGTTGAAATTAAAATCGATTAAATTTAATGTGTTTTTCATAGAACATTCTAGACATCCAGAAATGTTATTAAAGTCATTTTTAAGGAAAATTATGAAATAAATTAGCTTCTAAAGGCATGACTCGTGGTTATTGCTGTTAAATTAGTCATTCTAGATAGTGATAATGCCAAGAACTGGACGAAATGTGATACTTTATGCAAGCCGAAAAAAACGTGGTTTTTAAAAATCACGTACACTTATTTCATCCTTTTCCTGGATTTACTGAATGATACATACCTTTCTTGATTTATTTAGACTTCAAATACTATCAATATATCCTTAATTAATTGTTTCAAATAGGTTTTAAGCACTTTTTTCAGTAATTTCTTTAATTTCACAAAAAAATTTTTTTTGCTTTATTCACTTCAAGTGTTTGTTCTATAATGTGTTTTCGCGGTTTACAGCTCCTTCTTTTATAGTACTAAGAAATTTCTAGAGAGAAAAGCTTGATTGTGTTGGTGAAAAGCTCAGTCCAATGTTACGTCACATACTTTTTTCACTATGAAATCAGCAAATTCATAACAAATATTATTTTTATAGCTTAATTAAATTATTTTTTAAGTCTCTTTCTTGTGTATTTTAATGCACTTTCTTATTAATTATAGATGTTTTTGTAATTTTTGCAAATGTCCCTAACTTTTTTATGCCGGCTCATAAAATTACTCTCAAATTCTCTCGATTTGAGCTTCCGTTTTCTAGAAGTTTCCAGAACTTTCCATGACAAATTTTGAGCATTTTCGACTTTTGATCAATAGGATTTATTAATTATACTAAGAAGATGGTAGTGTCTAATTCCGGTGGCATAATACATGCATTTTTCATTGATAATTTCGTAAATAAAGTGTTCTAGAAAGTCAGCGTGCTTCCGTTTGAGAGCTTTTTGAGATTTACTCAATTTCTCTCTCTCAACATACACTTTTTTTGAATTCCTCAAAACCGTTAATTCTAGTACTATGGAACTTTCAAGAAAGAGGAAATGATGAGCTTTCTAGAATTTCTGTGGTTACCCCTAATGTATTGATTTTGAATGAGAAAGACTATTCTGGAAATTTCACGAACAACTGTTTTTACTCAGCATAATTTATGCTTCTTTCGATTTTTACGTATTTTTGTGACATAAAAAGTTTTATGTTATCAAGGCATTAATAGAACTGTAATTGCCTCTTTAGAGATACCTGCCTTAATTTTGCTATATCTCCTCAAGATACTTCCAAAATAGCGTACATGCTTTGATGTGATAATCAGGATTTCTCATTGTTCGCAAATGTTAAATATCCGGTAGACGAGATCTCTTTTAAATTCCAATAAGATAAAAACCATCGATTCACAGAAAGGCATTACACCATGAGTCATTAAGTATTAAAACCAGTGTTGCATTCTGGCGATTTGTCTGGATCAGATAAATTCTGAGACAGAAATTTCTTCATAAAGATCGATTCTACATGAATATAGAAAATCTAATCTACACAAAGATTATTTCTACATAAAGATTCTGTCTACATAAAGATTCGATGTAGATGTCTACAATTCTACATTCTTCTCTGATGTAGACCTGGAAAAAATGTAGAATTGTAGACATCGAATCTTTATGTAGACAGAATCTTTATGTAGATTAGATTTTCTATCTTCATATAGAATCGATCTTTATGAAGAAAGTTTCTTAGCTAGACAAAAACTATTGAAGAATCTACATTCTTCATCTAGTGTAGACATCTACATTTGCAACACTCATTAAAACCCTACAACTTTTTTAACGGATTAGTAACATTTAAAGATAAAAATTATGTTTTAAAAATAACTGCCATTAAAATTTTAAATCTAGTAGCATAACCCTCTCTTTTGTTTACATTGATAAAAGTACATAAAATTGCAAAATTAGAGCATAATAAGAATAGATAATCAAAAATAACATCTTAATAGACATGATTTAACTACGTTAACAGTATAAAACCTGTCAAACTATTTAAAAAATTAACGACTAGATTTGAATTTTCCCGCAATCAATGAAGATGAGTAAAAGAGTAAAATTCAAAAGTATATTTCTCAGTTGTGTTTTAGGTATCAAACAGTTCGGACGTATTTGTAGTCTGATGTCGCGTTTAAATTATTAATTTAATAATCTTTTACAGCAACAAATTGTGCAAATTAAACCATTCTTAGTAGTGCGAGTTACAGGAAACTAGTGAAACTTGTTGATATTAAGTATTTTTCGTTAAAAACTGATTAAATTCATTATAATTCAATGAAAACATAAAAAAAGAGTCGGCAAGTTCTGTTTTGGGATTAACACACATATTACAAAGGAAAAAGGAATAAGAAGAGGTGAGATATAGTGACTAATTTTATTGAAAATACAAACTCCGAAACAATAGCATATGGAAAGTATCAAGGACATGGAACTTAATGCCTGCTTATCATTAATCGACTTTTATTTTTTGCACAAATTTCTATTATGTCTGCATATACTGTAAACCTTCATTTTATGACTAATGAAATGGATTTTAATCGCCGTCAGATGCCTTACACACCTTATCAGCAAAGAACTTCATTTATAGATAAGATATAAAACAAATGCCCTAATATATACACTTCAATATTATTCTGTCGTGACGCTAAGTTACTACAGTTTTTAAGCAAACTAGCATGTACACTTGTGTATCGATCTTTTCTTATAAGGATTCACAACAGAACGAGGTCAGCAAAGTTTCCAAGTGCAAGACGATTTTCAACTTTCTTTTGCAATACTTGCATATTTTCTATCTGTACATGCTGTGTATATTTAGAACATGAACATGTTTTTCAACTATTGATCATATTAAAAAAATTGATGCAGAAGCGACAAATGAAAAGATAAACCGTGCAAATGCTCAAAGTGACACTGCGACTCATAGACAGTTATGAAAAATTGTGCATTTCCTATTATCATTACATGTTGGCTTTTTTATGGCGATTTCTCAATTTTTAGAAACAATGTGCACAGTAATGTTTTTTAATTATTATTCATATTGCTTTACTTTCAACTGTCTGTTTCCATAAATTAAACGGTACATTGTCCAATCATTATGAGCTTCAAAATTAAATCTCACTCTTCATTTTTTATCTAATAAATATGCTTGTGCTTGCGTAAAAAATAAGCTAGATGTGGTTGACTGAAAATTTCACTCTTTTTCTCTTCCACGGCGACTAGTGAAAATTTGTACATACAAAATATATATTATCATTAGAAAGAAAAGTGAAAATCACTCAATAATCGCAAAACCGAAACATTTCTTTTTCCACGGAACCAGTGTTTGACTGCTTACTTGATGGCTAGTCAAAATTGGTGTAAAACTTGCCGTTAACATATTATTTTGTGATTAATCGACTGCAGCGCATTTTCGCACGATCAGTCTGGTTCCTTTCCAATTTTACACTATAATTTCGATGATACAGCACATTGAGGCATACTGTTTATATAAGATTCTATCTATTAGTTAATCGCCCAATCCACATAGAACAATAAACACTTTAGCAAACTTTTTCCATCTGCCTACAATTTTCAATCAAGCGTGATCATTAGTGCTCCCCTCATTATACATTTACTGCTGCTGTTCTGCGGCTATAGAATCCATATATAGATAAAGTATAGATCTTGGTAGGAAATATTTTGAAAATTAACAAAAAAAAACTTATCTTAATGAGTCTTTCTTCATGGGAAGAAGTAGAGTTTGGTGCTCGAAAAAAAGTACATTATGGAATGTAAAACTACTTAGAAATGCAACAAAAGGGAGAGAGTAATGTTGTTACGGATCATGATTGTTACGTATTTATTCTCTATTCATACAATTTGCTACATATATATTTCCTAGCGCTAGCGAGTAAAGTGATTTAGACAGACTAAACAACTCTTTTTTTTTATTCATTATTATTCCATTTGACTTGCTGTTTTTTTTTGTTTCTTTAGCTGAATTGAATTCATCCATCGGTCTCGGTCGATGGATCATCATCATATGTTTTGAGTGTAAATTGCATCTGATTTCCGGAAATCGCGGTTGTTTTGAAGAGAGCATTTGACTTGCATAAGTTATTTTTAAAAATAACCCAAAATATACACAAAGGGTTGCTCCCGCTAAGCATAAATTGTTCTTTTTTATGGCATGTCTCAAGACACAAACAATCAATGCTCTTAATACTTAGGATGGAAACAGTTAGCCTCTTATTTAAATATATGTTAAATATAAAGCACTTCTTATACTCGAGTACCAAAAATTACACTAATTTATAAAACTTTAAAAACGGGAACATGATATTTCCATGTATCTCTAATTTTTACGACATTATGGGAACAGATCGAACGCGATTTTTTTTGTTTTTTTGTTAAACCAAAAATTGTACCGATATGAAAGTATAGATTTTATCTTGCGCGCGTTTCTCAGTGTTGCTTAATAATTATGAAATTATTTAAAAATCTCATTGTTCAATTTTGATGTTTGGTAAATAGGAAATTGAAGATATTTGCTGCCTTATTACCGAATGAATTAGACACTGCTGTTCTGTTATTTTTGCTTTCTAATCTCTCTGTATTTTTTGTATCATTTATTGTTGGTGTGTTCCAGCAATGCAAGACAATTATTTTAATATTTTAAAGCTAGTCAGTTCTTGTATAAATGCTGTGCATATAATTTTCATTCTTAAAAAGTTCTTACTGAATTATTATTTTATCAGACCCCCAATAGCCAGCATAAATGAGCTTTTATCGTGTTCTATCCATAAATCAAGAAATGCAAGTCTCTTATTTTGGTTCTAATGTAATTTCAATTCACAGTAATGGTTTATTTTTTAATAAGCAGAACAGCAATTTTTAACATTTTTCGGTTTACGAATGTCTGCGTTTTTCCCGTCTGTAAATACGATACACGCTCTCAAGAAATGGTAAAGAATAATAATAATAAAGTGTATAATGCTCGTATATTCCTTAATTGTCCATGTCATGTAACCCACGTGAATGCTTACAAAAATAAAGTTTAGAACACGACGTCGATCGATTGTCACATGTTGTGCTTGATTCTATTCTGTCCAAGACTAATAATCGCATATCGAATGTCCATTTATTTATAGCAATTTTAACAATGAAGAATTATGGTAAATGAAATGAAAGGAAATACCAAAAATGCCAAAAATAGAAAAAATTGCTGATGTTTGAATGACGAAACACTACTTACAAGCAATTCATCACTTTTCCAGCAAGAGTTTTTACCGTTTCCATTATTCGTAGTGTAAGCGGTAGAAGAAATGAAGACAACAATCATTGTAGCAAATTGGATAAAAATGCTCTTTAGCTCTTTGTGAATGTGAATGGAGGAAAAATGTTAAAATAAGCAGAAATTTTCCCAAGTTTAGAAAAGAAAGTTGTCGATCATTTTACTCTCATTTGCTGCTACAAATAGATTATTTGTAAAAATCATTGTTTATAATCTGATGGAATGGAAAAACTGCATTACTTTTGCTTTCATTATGTTCAGCAACAATCACGAATATTTTATTAGAATATGCAGAAAATAAGTGGGATTTAATTTGACTAAGAAAATGTAGATCAACGCCTGTTATGGCTATTAGGAACGAGTTTTTAGTGAAATTTCTGATACTTTCTTCAATTTGGCATCTGAAGGAAGCAAAAATGAATAAAAGCACTTTAAAAAATTCTGTATCAGTTTAGTGTCATTAACCCACAATAAAATGTGCCAATTAATTCTTTTCAGGTGGTTAAGACATGTTGGATGTCGCTGATCTGGTGTGGGCTCGCGACCCAAACGATGGATATTTTCAAGGCAAAGTTACAGAACTCGGATCAATAGATTATGAAGTCACGCCAATCGACAAAGGTCGTCAGAAGCGCAATTTTCCCATTGACGATATCTTTCCAGCTTGTGAGGCGAAATCAGATAATGACGATAATTGTAAGTGTGATAAAATGAAGTCTGTCTTATTCTTTGTCTCAATTGGGGTTGTTTGTGTAAGACGTCTTGCAATATTTCAAGATTTTATAATTTAACGAAAAAGATTTGAATTTCAAAAGCACACAAATGTTTAAAAATCTGTTCGAAAACCATACAAATACAAAACCTTACAACAGTTAAAAATTCAAAAAGATCGTCAAATTAATTTACAACGAAACTTAATTTGATTATTCTGTGTAAGAAAGACATCATTAAGGAACAACTCTATCATATCAAAAAATGTTTGATGTATGAAATCATCATTCATTTGCGTTTTTCCTTACTTGACGTTTACAACAATGTGACAATTCTCATTATTAAAATTAATTTTCTCATTTCTTAGGTGAACTGATGTTCCTGAATGAAGCGACTTTGCTTGACAATATAAAAAATAGATATTATAAAGATAAAATCTATGTGAGTATTTGCTATATAATTTTTCATTGTATGAGAATATTACATGAATAAGTAAGTGAACTTGATTGCCTTACTAATTCATACATGTTTTAAAAAGTAAAAAAAAATATTGCTGATTACTAGGGAGAAAAATGCAGATTATTCATCCATCCTTTTGACGTTGACATACATACCATATTATTTCGTTAATGACTATTTTCCATTCATTGTTTTGTAGACATACGTTGCAAATATTTTGATCGCAGTCAATCCATACAAAGAAGTCAAGAACTTGTATTCGAAAGCGACAATAAAGAGTTATAATGGAAAATCGATTGGGGAAATGCCACCGCATGTGTATGCGATTGCAGATAAGGCTTTTAGGGACATGAGAGTACTTAAATTATCACAAAGTATAATCGTAAGTGGAGAATCTGGTGCTGGAAAGACAGAATCGACAAAGTACTTGCTTCGATATTTGTGTGACTCAATTGCTGCTGCTGGACAAATTGAGCAAAAGATTCTCGACTCAAATCCCATTCTTGAAGCTTTTGGAAATGCCAAAACGACTAGAAATAATAACTCATCGAGATTTGGAAAGTTTATTGAAGTACATTATGATAATAAGTATCAAGTCGTTGGTGGTTTCATATCACATTATTTATTGGAGAAAAGTAGGATTTGTAATCAAAGTGCAGAAGAGAGAAATTATCACGTTTTCTATTTGCTTTGTGCTGGTGCTCCGCAAAATTTACGTGATAAATTACATATTGGAAAGCCTGATGATTATCGATATCTTGCTGGATGTACACAATATTTTGCATCCACAACAACAGATAAATTAATTCAAAACAGTCATAAGTCGAAAGCTCACATCACAAAAGGTCCATTGCATGATCCAATTTTAGATGATCATAATGATTTTAAGGAACTAGATCAAGCACTTTCGCGTATTGGATTGAATGAAAGTATGAGAGTTGAAATCTATAGCATTGTTGCTGCTGTATTACATTTAGGTAATATTGCGTTTGAAGAAAATCCTGAAGATAGTCGTGGCGGATGCAGAATTACTCAAGTTTCAGAAAAGACATTAGAAATTGGTGCTAAATTAATTGGATGTGATCAATATGAACTTCGTCAGGCATTAACTTTCAGAGTTATGCAATCAAAAGGTGGTGGAATTAAAGGAACAATTATTATGGTTCCACTTAAAATTTATGAAGCTAATAATGCACGAGATGCACTTGCTAAAGCACTTTATAGTCGTCTATTTGATTACGTTGTCTCACTTATCAATCAAAGCATTCCATTCCAGAAATCAAGCTATTACATTGGTGTCCTCGATATTGCTGGATTTGAATATTTTCAGAAAAATAATTTTGAACAATTTTGCATTAATTATTGCAATGAGAAACTTCAGAAATTCTTTAATGACAATATATTGGCTAATGAACAAGAACTTTATAAAAAGGAAGGTCTTAATGTTCCTGAGATTAAATTTACAGATAATCAAGATATTATTGAACTGATTGAATCGAAAACAAATGGAATTTTCACCTTATTAGATGAGGAATCAAAATTACCAAAACCATCATTTTCTCACTTTACGACTGAAGTTCATAGCTCATGGAATAGTCACTTCCGAATTTCATTTCCTCGTCTGTCAAAATTAAAGATTCATCGTAGTATTAGAGATGATGAAGGTTTTCTTATTAGACATTTTGCTGGTGCTGTTTGCTATACAACAAGTCAATTTATTGAAAAGAATAATGATGCTCTGCATGCATCTCTTGAATGTCTTGTACAAGAATCTGGAAATCCATTAATGAAGAAGATTTTCTTAAATAACTCATCGTCAACAAAAGGAAAATTGTCATTCATTTCTGTTGGATCTAAATTTAAGTCACAACTTCAAGAACTAATGGCTAAACTTGAAAAGAATGGAACAAACTTTATTCGTTGTATCAAACCCAACAGTCGTATGATTGATCATGAATTTGAAGGTGGATTGGCACTTGCTCAACTCATTTGTTCAGGTACAACATCAGTTCTTGAGCTTATGGCTTTCGGATATCCATCACGAGTTCCTTTTAGTGAATTGTACAACATGTACAAGTCATACTTGCCACCAGAACTTGTTAATTTACCACCGAGGACTTTCTGTGAAGCAATGCTTCATTCATTAAATTTGTGCAGTAAAGACTTTAAATTTGGCATCACAAAAGTATTTTTCCGACCTGGAACTTTTGTTCAATTCGATAGAATCATGAAAAGTGATCCAGAAAATCTCCGTGTTATTGTGCAAAATGTCAAGAAATGGCTTGTTCGATCTCGTTGGAAGAAATCAGTTCATTGTGCTATTTGCGTGATCAAAAGTAAGTTCATTGAATTATCAATGAATCATACAATTTATTAACGATGAACTTTCCTTATTGCTTCTAGTTAAAAATCGTATGATATACAAGAAAAAATGTGTTGTACAAGCACAGAAAATGATTCGTGGATATCTCGCTCGTCGTCAACATCGGCCACGCTTTAAGGGTATTATAAAAATTAATGCCTTAAAACGTAATGTTAAAGAAATGGAGACAATTGCAAATCAATTGAGAAACGATCGTGATTCGATGATGAAAATATTAAAGGATCTTGAACTGCAAATTGATACAGCAATTAAAAAGATTAAGGTATGTTTAATTTACTGCTCGTGCATGTTCATTCCATAATTGGAAATGTCACAGAGTGTCTAATGAAACAACGTTCATGAAATATTTGAAAAATAACGGTTGAAGAATATTTGAATTTTATGCAAAATTACGTTGAATTTTTAAATTCTTTTGATCCGTTATATTAAATTAAAATTTTAAATCAATTTGTTTTCCAGACTAATACGAAGATAAAGTCAAGTGAAATTGATGGATTTCTTTTACAATTAACAAACAGTGCGAATCAACAGATGAATTCAATAAAAATAAAATTGCAAGAACAGCGAAATGCTGAAGAACAAGAACGTTTAAGACAAATTCAATTGAAAATGGAAGCAGAAAGATTGGCAAAAGAATTAGAAGAAAAACGACTTCGTGATGAGGAAGAGAATCGTCGAAAGAAAGTAAGTAAATGATAAAAAAGCGATTTAATGAATCAAATTGTGTGGATTTTTACATGAAAACAATTTTTCAATAATAGGCTGAAATGGAATTGCGTCGTAAACACGAAGAAACTGAACGATTGAGGATGGAAGAAGAGGATAGAAAGGCGGCATTGTTGCTTCAAGCCCAACTTGAAAAAGAGGCACAAGAAGATTCAAAATATCGACAACAATTAGAACAAGAAAGGCGTGATCACGAATTAGCGTTGCGACTTGCTCAAGAATCAAATGGACAACTCGACGAAAGTCCAACAATGAGCCGAAAGTATGTAGCCAAAGCGTTATTAATACTTCATGTACAGTTCTTTTCAGTACTGCTTAATTTTTTTTATTTGTATATAAAAGAATCCCTTTTGCTGTTTAGTAAGTTTATTAGACAATACAGCAAAGTCGTCATTGTTTTGGCATTAATTCCTTAAATTATTAAAGACAAAATTTTATCCTCTCTTCAGCGGAACTCCCGATATGGCTTTAAGCAATCACAATCGACTCATCAGGTTTGTTTTTACTTAAAACAGTGTAGAAGTAGTTATCACCTTTGGTTCTAATTCAAATAACTATATAATTTCTCTAGCTGAGTTACTAACTTATCTTTTGTGTCTGCTTAGTTTTCTCACGCTTTTATTTTTTAATTGATTGCATGCAAACTGTCAATTTAGCGACTTTCGAATTCTCATTAATTTAGTAATTTTATTTATTTTCAAAGATCTGAAGCAATAAGAGCCCAACAACAAATGGCTGGAAAGCAAAAGTATGACTTGTCGAAGTGGAAATATTCAGAACTACGTGATGCGATCAATACAAGTTGTGATATTGAGTTACTTGAAGCATGTAGACACGAGTTCCATCGTCGTCTTAAGGTGTATCATGCATGGAAGGCAAAGAATCGTAAACGAACAACGATGGATGAGAATGAAAGAGCACCGAAAAGTGTTATGGAAAATGGTGGGTAACAATTTTCATCTTCTTAGTGACCTTGACATTTGGACTATACTTTAATAAAAATGGCCTATGAGTTTGAGTCTTTTTTTGTATCAGATGTCTGACATTAACGGTTATTCATAATTTTTTTGAATTTTCAAACTGTTGTATGTTTTTATTTTTGGAAACATTTGCATGGTTTTCATATTCAAGTCCAAATTTTCCGTTACATTATCAGCATCATAAAAATAAACAGACTTTTAAGTCTCAAATGTAATCATGTCAAGGCCATGTTTGTTTACTTTTTCGACGAGATCGAGGTCAACTGAAATAAAATGAGCAATTTGTCAATTCTATAAATCCAATGAGTGCGGATGAGAACTAATTTTCGATTTCGAAGGATCTAATTTTCGAGCGCGGGAAAAAAAATTTGAATTTGAAATTTCCGTTACAATTATTTGTTTACATTTTGCATTTAAATTACTTCTTGAAAAAAGAATCTTCATGGGAACTTTCAGTAGAAGTTAAATGCTTTTTAATGTGTCTAGAATTCATTTATAGGCTATTAAATTGTCTTATTTCATGTTCTGATCCTTCATTTAATCAACAATTTATTGATACAGTAATTGCCCAAGTTGAAGTAGTTTTTGAACATTGTGAAGAAACGATTGATAAACTATTAAAAGCTTTTGTTAAATTTAGAGCAAAATTTCAGTATCCGTGTTGATTAATACATAAAAGAAACAATTTTGCATCAAAAAACAATTGAAATAAATTTGTTTCTTAATTAAGTCGTTAACGTATTTTTATTTTTCAAAATTTCATATTTTCGAATGTTTTCGAATTTTTTTTGAATTTTTCGAAATTAACCAAAATCAACTGACATTTTCTTTGTTCGCACTCATTGGCTATAAATCAGCATGATGACATCAAAGACTCAATTTCAGACAAAGATTCATCAATCTTCATTGAGTTAATATTTTGTATGTTTTTTTTATTCTTCCTGACAGCTGCTAAAACTCCATTAAGAAGTCAACAAGTCAAAAATCCAGATCCAACTAGTGCATCAGTTCATCGTTACTTCCGTATACCGTTTATGCGACCAAATGATAATATGAATGATAATACTAATCGAGGATGGTGGTATGCGCACTTTGATGGATCATATGTAGCACGGCAGATGGAATTGCATGCAGAAAAACCTCCAATTTTATTGATTGCTGGTGTCGATGACATGCAAATGTGTGAATTGAGCTTAGAGGAAACTGGATTGACGAGAAAGAGAGGCGCAGAGATTTTGGATCATGAATTTAATCGAGAATGGGAAAGACATGGAGGTAGATTTTGTCGTATATTTTTGCAACATATTATGCAAATTATTTTAAAATTCTATTTGTTTTTCATAGGAAAACCGTATAAAATGCAGAATGGAAAACAACACTAAAACCCGGATGTATATGATACACTCCAGCAGATATTTATTCAATTTTATGATTCTTTATTTTCGGGGCAAAAAAAAAATCGTTTGTGTGCTTTTTTGGTGCCTTTAAATACTTTTTGACCAAAATTTTTCATACATTTTAACGAAATTGAGATATAAAAAAAAATTATATTAAATGAAAATTTTATATTTTGAATGAATTTATGTTGTGTTACTAGATTTAGACTTGCATTTTTATTGGAAACCACTTTTCGATAAATTTTCGTAAGAGGGTAAGATTAGATAAAGAATTTTTCTTAAAAAAAAATAATTATTTAAATGAAAATGCCTTTGTTTGAACTTGATTCTTTATTCTGCTGGTAATTATTGAGGAAATCTCGAGTTACTCTGATGTTATGACAGGCAACTTAATAGACCATTGTTCCTTAAAACTATGCTTGGCTGTAAACTAGAACCTATCAGCCTCATTAGTTTCAACATGACACAAACATTCATGAATGCTTACGACATTACTTTACTACGTCACACAACGTCACTGTCCAAAAAAGAACAAAAGCTTAAGATGTTAATGACATCATAATTTCCTTGAAATGTAATAAAACGTCGTTATCACCTCCAAGTGGGTTATCAGTTAATTAAAAATGGTGTAAAGAGTACACAGTACGAGAAATAGATTCAATATTTGACAAAAGAAAGTTCACTTGCACTCGTGAGTAAACAAATTAAGAGAAAACTCACATACAGCATAACAAAATTCCGCGTTAATTATCAAAGGAATAAAGATGAAATAATGCGACATTATAAAAGCTGATTATAATCTATTATTATATCTAATCATATGAAAGAAAAAGAAAATTTATATTAAAATTTAAGGATGCAGTATTATTCATTAATGATTTTGTTTATTACTTCTATTTTTTGCATCTTTTTCAGTCAGTTTTACTTACTTTAATTCACTATGAATGACAATGAATCAAAGTGTAAATCTCTGTCGTATTGAGAATGAAGGAGGAAAACACTTTGATTACAGCTCTACGATGCTGCTTCAAATTAAATTATTATTATTATTGTTTGTGACACATATTTCTCGTCTTTGACTTAATAGTTGATCTGTCGTGCTTTAATTAAGGGTCAAAAAATCAAAACATTCTATATTCGACTGACATTGTGAAATTGTTGTTAATTTATTTTCTTGTAGTGTAGGTATAGGAAGTAAGAGAGATTCTCGTACCTTTATTTTGTGTGCAATCATCTTACACATGACTCGTATTTATTAATTACCTGAAGTTGTATTTCCCAATGTTGCATGCCGCAATGCTGAATGGTTAAAAAAACATTGAAAACAAAGCTTTAAAGAACAAAAAAGCTCTCGACAATAAATTAACTTCAATCCACATAAATTGTGTGCCGTCTACGACTTTATGCATGTTAAGCATTTTCGTACGAGAGAATGTGATATACTAGCTGAATGTTTTACTTTAAATGCCTTTAAACATTCAAGCAAGCAAAGCATGTAGTACGAAATAAAATATTTTCAGAACGTGTGTGATTCACCATCAAGTTGTTGACGAGTGTAGACCCGTTACTGATTTATTTCACATTTATGGATAAATAATTTCTTGTACATAACATTATCGAGTTAATTTTAGACGATTTAAAAGATAATTAGTGACGAAGATAAAGCCAGCAAAAAATAAGAGGGGATTTTAAAAAAAATATTTAATTAAAAATCAATTTACAACGCGAATAGCTCGCGGAACAAGCAAAAAAATCTTCATAAAAAATTCAATCGAGTGATAAAAAGATATTATCGAGATGAAGGTCAATAAATTCGAAATGTTAATCAAATTTGCGGCATTTTATTTGTGTATGAATTTCATTGGTAAGTGACTTAAATTTAAGCATTAATCAGCAAAACGTGGCCCTGTTCTAGCTCAAATTGAATTCTAATTGTCTGTGTGATTTCATCTCACATCTATCAGATTCTGTTGCTGATCTTTTGACACTATGAAACACGTTAGAACCTCGACCAGTACTCTTTAAATTGATTTCGATCACAATACAGATGAAAATTATCATCTCAGTCAATAATTACTTCTCTTTCTTCATTTGTGTATCACAATCATATCTACTGACTGCGTTATACGTGCTTACAAAATTAATTATTTGTCAAATGTGCAGAAATAACATTTTTTTTGTGTATTTTTGATAAGGATTGATAACAGACTTAACAATAGGATTGATAAGAACTACCGATTTGGATTGTATGATGACAATCGTATTCATTAGTGACGTCAATTGTAAAATTTAATTTTTTAAACTCTCTCGTGGTTCTGTAAATTCATGAAATCAGTTCCTATAATGTTATAAGATTCTTCAAGCTATGAAACTTACAATTAAGAGCATTCTAAAGCTGTGTGATATTCCAAAAGACTGTGTAAATGAAAACTTTTACGAATTAGTCAGTCAAATCCTATTTTACACATACAACACTTACGAACGTCCCACAAAGACGCATTTAAGCTAGAAACTACTTTAACTCTAATTGTTCGATTGGATGTTATTGAGAATTTGATTAAGCTTGTCATTAGTACTACAAAAAGCCATTATCTACTGAAAGCAAAAGCTCTAGAAGCTTTCATGAATAATTCATTAGAATTGAAATTTTTTTTAAAAAAATAATCAAGCATGAATTATTGACAGAACCACAAAATTAAAGTGGGAATAAATTTTCATCTCTTGCCAATCTTTTGGGACATTTTATAGGAATTTATTTTTTTTTGTTCATTTTGTTCATAAAATTTTCATGTAAATTAAATATTTAAAATGTTGATTCCACATTTTTGAACATTGTCGCATAACACAAGCGTATGAAATGCTGTAAGGTAGATACGAGTGTAAACCAGGTGAATTTAATACAGATCACATGGTCAGTCAGTTCAGTTCTTTTCGCACATGTTATGAAGAAAAACATGCTTTGTCTCTACATATTTTTTTATGGTAATTTCTAGTAAATTGCTTTTTAATGCTTGAAGCTAATCACATTCTTTTTGATTACGGCAATCGTTAGGAATTTTGTGAAATTTATTTATTTCTGGGGTCATCAAAACATTTGTATCGTTTATGTACAATTTATGTTGTATTTTAAAAATTGTGTCCTAAAACTGTACAAATGTTTCCTGGGAACCATACAAATTCATCAAAAAAGTGTAACATTTATACGGTTCTCATTTTCAATGACTAGATTAAATGCGTTCCAAACAAAAAGCATCTTGGGAATTAAAAAGTTTTTCATGCCTGCAAATGCACTTGCTTCTCTTATATATTCAAAAAGTCGGTGCTTATACATGAACTAAAAATAGATTTTGGTTATTGCACTTTTTGAGTGCCCAATGAATTATTGAATATGGAAAACAACAAAAATGTGTACAGTAAAGATAAGTAGAGAAAGAAAAATACGAACGGGAAGTAGTGATGGTAAATAAGGTTGTTTTAACAAGAGGCTAGCTCTCGAGCAAAATAAGTATTTAGATTTAAACATATTTGGATGATTTATGGAATGTTTTTTCTCTCTCTCTCTCTCTTTCTCATTTCTTGAAAGTCTGTGACATGTGTGAATGAGCAGTCTCAAGAGCTTTTCATTATTATCAGAAAATGATAAAAGTAAACAACACATGCTGATAATAATAAACTTAATTGTATGTGTATCTTGCATCTTCTTTTTATTACTTTTCAGTTATATCAGCAATACCTGTAAATGAACAAAATTTAGATAACAAGAAAGCAGCAGAAGCAGCGTCAGTAGAAGCTCCTGACACTGATTATGATGCAATTTCAGTCGACAAATCAACAGAGGCGTCAAATAGTGACACAAAGCCACCACTAGTATTCCCTGTTGACGATAAAACGACATCGAAAAACGACACAGCTTTAGAAATTCTACAAAAGAACTCAAACACATCGATAATAAATGTGAGATTAATTATAATTATTATTATATATTTTTTTTTCTCGAAGATGAATCTGCACGAAGGTCAATTTCATATCTTGTTTGCTTATTGGTCGTGTATTCCTGCATTCATCGGCAAATGATCATTTTCAAGGCTGAAATAATAAATTTACATTCTCATGTCCATTACTTTTTTTTAAGAATTCAACTGCAGAAAAGAAGGAAGCTAGCCATGAAAGTACTGATAAAGATTACGATGAAAAGGAAATTGCAACAGACAAGAAAACTGAGGACGTAAAAAAGGAACCAAAAACTGAGGATACACCAAAGTCTGTTGAAACGACAGAACAGTCAAAAATCGAAAATGTAATAAAGAATGAAGAAACTACAGAGAAAGATTACGAGGAGGCATCAAATGAGACTAGTGGCGATGATAAAGACGATGTTGAGATCATTCAAGATAGCCAGGCTGATCAAGGAGACTTGGAAACGAGATATGGCGTTAATTCAACATCAATTAATGTTTTTGAGGAACCAACTTTAAAAGGCACTCATTATGCATTCATTTTTGCCACACTCCTTGTTTTCTTGTCAGTCACAGCTTATGTAGGTTTAATTTTATGGCGAAAGTCCTTAGAATATCGTTACGGAATGAGACAACGCTTAGTTACCGAAGACGATTATTATAATAACAATGATGTTAGATTCTTTGGTTTGTGAATTGATAACAACGAGCAATGAGAATTTCGAGTGCCATGAATGTTCCGATAAGTAGTCTTCTTATTTCCAACACATGTATTATACATACACAAATTGTATTTCCAAACCATTTCGTCTTCGTATCTGTGATAATGAAAAAAATAAAGCTAGATGCCAATAACAAAACTAATCTTGAATTTGACTAGCAATATTTGAGTTCCAGGGATTTCCCGCGAGCTTTATATGTTATCATTACAGGGCACTTGTGAGCATTGAAATCACTCAGTTGCGAGCTATTTTTTATTCAGCACTAAAATGTTTGTTATACATCCATTATAAAATTTCCCGTCACCAAAATTTAGTAATCACATATCCACTGCTATTGAATCTTTCAAAAGCTAATTTCCCCTTTAACTTGCCAAATATCAACTTTATGGATGAATATCTTTGAGCCTAGAATTTCATCTATTTTTGCTTCCTGGACACAACAACTGGTCCAAGATTGTCGTTGCATTCCTTATTATGTTCACCGTGTGAACCATCACAGTATGGCCAGTTCTTTGATTTCCAACATCTACAGAATGCAGCCTTCTCTGAGATATCCTCAATGTCTATCATGTCAACAACTTTAGCTTCATCCATTCGGATCTTATTGTTTACACGCTTAATTATTTTCCTACGACAAATTCCAGAATTTCCAGCTGCTGGACAGAAGGCTACATAAGCTGTATACACAGCACCGGCAGTAAAGAGGGTTGGTGGGATCAATGACAAATAGTCTGTGACTACAAAAATGTAAGAGAAAATCATTATTATTTTTGTGTCATATTGCTCATTTTGTGAAAGCAGACAATTGCTCTACTTGTACTGTAAATGACCACATTGCAATCAGGAAGTAAAAACTGTTTCTTTTCACGCTTGATTAATAATATTTTATACTGGATTTTGGAATGAATTTGGCAACGTTCTTAACAGTAAAAAACTAGTTATTTGCATAAAATCAGTATGACTAATGAATATACAGTATCGTCTATGTGATCAACACAATGTTATTAAATATTTTCATAGTGATATTCCAGAAATTTATGTCATAATCATAACACAATATATTAAAATGATCAAAAATCATACTTACAGCCAAGTTTGAACCATCCTCCGAACGTATTAGGAATTGGCAAGCCTGATAGGTAATTTGGAATAGTGGTTTTAACGATAGACGAAAGAAAATCCATGATTTTTAATTATTTTATGAAATGCAAAAGAATATTTGGAAAAGACTAAAGTTGTGTGCGTAAGCTGCTGAATTTTGCACAGGGGAGAATCAACTAGAAGCTGAATAAACTAGTGATATAAATTTTAATATTTGTCTGTTGAAAGCATTTTAATTTATTTAAAAGTCATAACAATCTTTAAGATTGAAGTAATCAGTTGTAATTTGAAAAGATATTTTACTGTTTAATTTACATTTTTAAAGCAATTCGTGGATAATTTTAATATCGTTAAAAGAACTGTTGTCGTGCTTAAAGGGAATTAAGCTAGTGTAGTTGTTCAGTGACTGAGGGGAAAAATATAAGTTTTAGATGGCTCAGAAAAAATTATTAATTACATTAAATAAGGACGAATATGGATCATTTGGGTTCTCTTTGCTGGGTAAATTTGAAGGAATCCCACATGTAATATACGAAGTAATCGAGGATTCACCTGCAGCAGACGAAGTAAGTGGAAAAAATTGCATAAAAAAATTCAGAGTTGTTGTTTTTTTTCGGTATACCATTTTTAATTAAATAATGTTAATCAATAAGTGACCAAGAGAGACATGCTAAACATGCCTACGCTAATTCATTGTGAATGAACCATAAATTATCACAATTGTCTGTACTTTATAATGCGTAAAATTCCATAATTTGGACAATGTTTCATTTTTTTAAAATATATTTGATTTTATGGAACTGAAGACGAGAAAAAGAGTCAGTGAATGTAGAGTTTTAGTGCTGTTTTTACACATATTTCCAAGTGCAAGTAAGAAAAAAATTCTAAATTTAACATGTTCTCAAAAGTGAAAATGTCAATTAGTTTTATTTCTATTCCGTACACAACAAAACAAGACAGCGAATAGTAGACAGTTAGACACAAGAGTCACACCCAAAAGAGGGGTATAAAAAGTGCTCCTTATGATTCCTAAATGAGTCATTTAGAGGCAAAGAATCAGGATCAATGACCAAAAATCAAGGGATAATGTCCATAAAGTCGATGAACAGGAGATTTTTAATATAATTACTACAAATATTGTTAAACTCTATGTACATATGGTGCGTAACTCTCTATGTAAACGATAATAATTATAATTATACCTTCCAAAAATGAACAACAATTACTTGCTGGCTAGCTAGCTAGTGGTTCTTTAACCTTTTGGGAAATAATCAGTTTGAAAATCGATGGACATGAAATTCTCTTCAAAACTGTTTAAAGCATAATTAATCAATACATAAAAATTATGTCGAATTTATTATAGCGGATAAACAACAGAATAGTTAATGACTCTCGAAGCAGACAGAGAAGATTTTCTGTCTTGCTTCTTGCAAATAACAAAAGTCTGTTGCTGTATCTTTAAGTCTATTTTTTGTCTTCAATGAAATAATTCTTCGTTTCCGTGTTATTTCCCGTGATTCAAAAAACTCTTTATATACTTTGTGTATTTTGCTAAATGCTGTTGCTAGTAATGACGTTTAAAAAAAGAATAGTGATTAAACAAATTGCCTTCAATAATACACTAATAATCGTTATCAATTTATATCTGATATCCTCATATTGTATATCGTACATCGCACTCGACCTATAATGATAGTGACACTAATGATTCCATTAAGCACCTTAAAAAATAAGTATGCAAAGTGAAAAGTGAAAAATGATTTTATTAAAAATATTTGATAAGAGATTCAGTCAAGTAACATTTTTATGCTCGCTCGTGAATCATTGCTTGTAGTTACATGACATTTAATTTTGGCAGTAACTGTATCTCTCCAAGAGAGATGTCTTGTTGTATAAAAACAGTATAAAAGGTTTTGCATAATTTTTTAATAATAGCACAATGAGCTTGAAATAGAGTCAAAAGAAAAGAAGACGACAAAAAGAACAAAATAGTAATTAAGCTCATGCTCATAGATAAACCTTATTTCCAAATTCCATAATGCATCGTTTGATTCCTTGTTGAGCCAAGTTGTAACTACGAAAAGGCGGAACCATTGATTGATGAAGGATATCCAAAACTTCAACATATTTAGATAGGGCATTTTTCGTATCGCCTTGCTCATGTAATCTCGTTCCCGTTTTAAACAGCATATCTGTATCTTGTACACGCTTTAAACCTTTCATAATGTTCGTAAATTCTCCACATTCTGTACATTTTAACATGAACTCATTCACATCTAATGGAACTTCCAAAACACTCTTACATGTTCTGTTGAGTCCGTCACAACGAAAACGAAAAACGGAATCGTTCATCTCTTTAAATGTCGGCCAATTTTCCATGCATGGTACACACATGCATGTGAAATGATATTGCTTCTGTAATTGAGATTGTCGTTCCTCCTTTTTCATTTGAGTGAAAATTGGACCGTAATTTTCTGCAACCATCGATCCTTCCGATATGTGCTTGATTGCACGCACCATTACAATATTACCATTGAAGTATCTCACGACACCAGGATCGCATGAATGATTAAAGAAGGCAACAGTTGGATAAAGTCCACCGCCAATAAATGTTGAAGTGCCTGTGTCATTCTTTCCCTTAAATTGTAGTTCTGCTATTTCATGAGCATTAAACTGCATTACTTGTAGATTATGATAGATTAATGATCCGATGTAGTAATAGCTGAAAGATATATATAGAGAAAGAGTATAATAATGATGTAAATTATAAACAGAAAATTATGTCGAGTGCAGAACATACTTTTCCTCAGTTTCATCTCCTTCAAAAAATCCACCCAATTTCATACAATAGAGTAAGAAGCAAGCCATAACCATGCGATGAAAGACATCCTCAAACGTTCTCTCTTTCTCATGAGTAACAAGAACGAACATTCGTCGATAATCATCAACACTTAAATCGTCAATTTTTGAATAGTCAACTTTAGCTCTCAATTCCTGCAACTCTTGCTTCATGTTGACAAAATAATTTAGTGACTTTTGTGTGATTGCTCTTATTGCCATATGACATGTAATTGATGTACCAGAACTCCACAAATGCTGCATTATTCCACATTCGTTTTTGTGAAAAGTATTACATGCTTTATCGCGGCAGTTCTCATTACAATAGATCTATGAAAAAAATTGGATTTGAAATTTTAATTTTGTTAACCAGAAAAGAATTTTTTATGTTCAACTTACAACATCTGCACAACTTGAGCATGATATTGGCACATTTGTACGCTTAAAACAATATTGGCAGTGAGTTTGCGAATATAATTGTAACAGGCATGAAGCGTGTGGTTTCTCCTGCACTAAATATGTTCCTAATTTAATATCCTTAGCGGCTGTTGCAAATCGACCCTCTTCATCCGTATATTCAAATCCTAGGCAATCGCTAACAAAATGTTCAGCATTTTTTTCATCATTTTTCGCTTTAGTGCTACCTTTGACATTTTTCGACTTTTGTTTCTGCTTAATTTGCTGCTCCATCGTTTGGCCTTTTTCTAGCATTTTTATCATAATTTGAGCATCTCTTTCAAGTTTTAATTTCTTATCAAGTGGAATTTTTGCATCGTCTAATGCCTGAACGTCCTCACGAAATGCCTTTAAAGCTTCATTGTGTTCCTTTTTGGCCAAATAACAACGAGCCTTTCTTTCCTTCAACTTATACATCCATTCAGTTGGATAGCCACAAGCTATTGCTCTCTCAATCTCTTTTAATGCTGCATCATATTGTTCCTGATGATAAAGAACGGCTGAGCGATTTGCAAACAATATTGCTGTGTCTTTTGCTGTAATTTATTAAAATAGAAATAATTGTTGTAAGAAATGCAGTGTTGGGGCACATGATCTGAGGCACATGTCTAAGGACTCAAATTCTTTATCCAACGAATAGTCAGTACAAGTTTGGATATTAAATGATCTACATAATCAATATTGATCAGCTCAGACAATTAAAGAACGACAACAACTCTGAATTAGAGACAATTTAAAGCCCAAAGAAAGCTGTTGAATCTTTCATGAAATTTAATCATTTATCAAGAGATAGAAAGTAACAACTTTACATAAGATTGAATGAGTGATCGTGTTTCCATTCATCACACACATATAAATTAATATCTGTGGATTAATTAAAATCACACGCGATATATGGATTAATTTCTGATGTCAGAAATTCTACCTAAAAATTAATTACTAGCCATGTATTATTATTATTATTATTATTAATTAATTAACTTACATGATTCGGATGGTATCATTAAGTAACTTTTATTATAGAAATTCAATGCCTCATTCCATTGTTGATTCTGAAAGAATTTATTTCCAACATTCTTCATTCCCATCGCACAATTTAAGTCTTTATAAAAATAAATTTCGTCATCACTTTTCAGTCGATGCTTTTGCTCACGATCGTGACGTGTGAGCCTTAATTTTTCGTCTATCTTGCTGATGTTATGCACAAATTTAATGCGCTCGGTATTATTTGATAAATTTGTAAAAGCTTGAATTTCATCACTTTTTAATCCATTCCTAAGATTCTGATATAAATTTATGAAAAATCCACTCTTAGCACCGTCCATAATTAATTTTTTTTTGTCACGCTGAAATGTGGATAGTTGAAAAGTTTTAATGAAACTGTAAAGGAAAAACGAGAAAAATGCTGTCGAAAATGAGAAAAATGTTCTTTTCTGCCTTTTTCGAGAGAGTCGGTGAACTTTATTTTTAGAAATTTTCTTATTTATTTTTCTCAATGTTTTGAACGGGGGAACTTGTTAGAGTTTTCATCATTTGCAAATCATCATTTTCCTTTTGTTAATCGCTTATCCACATGAGTGTGTATGAGCTGAGAAAATTGCTTCTCTCATGATTCTAGATCGATAAAAATATGACCTATTTTTCCACACTCTTAATGTTAGTAAAAGAAAGAAAGTAAAGTTTACTGCACTTGTGTTATGTTGCAATGAATTCTAAATTTATGCTTTTATGACGTGAGAATATTCTTCATTCGTATCCTTACTGCAGTAGCTTTATATTTCAAGCATAAAAGCATTATGAAAGATAAGTAGCATTGTATGTTTTTGCAGACATCTAACATCTGGCAAACTGAGCGCATAATCAAATTTTTTGCGGAGCTCATGCATGAATATTTTCGATATATAAACCATTTAATTTCACATTAAGGCATGAATCATTACTAAAAATTTAACGTACTTTTAGAATTGAAAAAATCCAACGGTTTTGTAAAATTCAAATGAACTGAAACAAAATGAAATCGATAGTTACTGAACGATTTCACTTCAAAAATTTTAAGCACTGCTACATGCCAATGTGTACACACGCAACGAATTTTCTATACCACACACATAAAAGCATAAATTGCAACTAAACACATAAACTCGAGCATGAAAAACAATCCATCTTCAAACTATTTGAAATGCATAGAAGAAAAAAAAATGTTTTCAAGCATAATTTTCTCAACAGCCTCGCTAAAATATTCAACATTACCATTCTCATACATAAACAAATGATAATTCCTTTGAAATTTATGAAAAAAGCGGGTAAGAGAGAAAGAGGATACATCCATATTCCCACAAATGCCAATAATAAATTAAATTAAAGCCGACTCATAATGCTTAATAGATTATCTGACACAAAACACATATACACATGTGTATATTTTCGAAAAAAAAAAAATCAATTATTCCTCCATATACATAAATGTAATCTGCATGTGGGATTTAAAAATCCCCATGATCTGATTTATGCTTCATTCAGTTTCTTCTCAGCTCCCATCTTATCTACCTACCAAATCGCAACCTTAATGTCATTTCCGAACCATAATAGTTATGTATTTCAAGCAAGTAAGCGCCGACATAGAAGAGAAATTAAATTCAAGTTTTATTTCATCCACTTCACATATCTAATAATAATAGTGATAGTGAGAGTTGCTTTCGTATCATAAAAAAAAGTTGTTTGTAAAAAATGAGAGTGGATGTGATGAGATTTTTTATTACAAAATCCAATTGCTCCTATAAACAAGACGTGATAATATTACAATGATAAAAATAAATAGAATTAAATGAAATTCGAGAACATATTTTTAATTAAAAAAAGGCATAAATAGAAATTTTTTATTGACTCGTGGACGGTTTTTTGAACTCATTTGGGATACAGTTTTATAAACCCTGTCATAGTAATAAGTAATAGCTGTTAATGATCGCGTAAATCCTTAAAAACAAACATCGAGACGACGATGCTAAGTTTTATTTACAATCATTTTGTCTTGTTTACTTCTTTTTCTCAATTTTGTTGATGTGTTTGTTGTCATCAGCACTTTTCAATTGTTTTGTCATTAGATAATCTTGTTGATTGTCTCATACAATTTGATATATTTCGATATTTCAAAGAATTTGAATCATAAGTGTGATACATTTTAATTATCAATAAAATATTGTGAATATTTCATGATGAGGATGAGAATCAGATATTTGTTGCGGAAAAGATGCAAAATAATACATATAGTAATAGCTGAACAAATGATTCTAAAAGAATATTTCTTAAAAAATTCGAAAATTAATGCACCAAATGTTATGATAATCAGTTAGTAGCTAGAGAATAACAATGGTAAACAGTTTTGGCTGAAGATTTGAATCTGCTGAAGTATTTCACTGGTTTTTTAGTCGTAAATGACTTATTATAAGGATCCAAATAGGCAGATACAAAATTGAGACGCAATATTAACTTCTACGATTTTATAAGAGTCTCCTTAAAATCTCTCGGGTATATCAGTTAAAATTGTTTCAAATCTTAAAGGACCAAGAAACCTTAATGAAAGCTATTTAATAAATAATAATACAAAGCTTCTACAGTTCTTTTTTTTAAAAAAAAACTCCTTTAAAGACCGACCACGTTTCGCTCTAGCTAACCCTCTCTTTACGAGCATTCCTCTACTCATTAATAGGAAAATAACAATCTTGTATATATATATTTTATTATTGCATTAGATTAGAAAATGAGAGTAAATTTTCATATCCGAAAGTGCCGCTCACAAATTTTTGACACTTGTTTCGGATTCGCGTGTTGCTCATTACTTTCCTAATGATTGTGTGATTTACTATTTTTTTTACAAATTCAAGCTTTCAATAATATAAAATAAAATAAAATTTGCGATTAAAAAATTTCCGAAACATGTGGTACAAATTATAATTTTATGAGAAAAGCTCTCTTAACAATCCCTTAACACATTCTGTGATACGAAAATACACGACGAGAGTTTAGTCAAACAAAAACAGGCGGCAAGCAACAACAAAAAAAAATATATATATAATTCGTTCGGTAGAAAAAAACACTTGTCTCGCAGTCTATCGAGAATAGTTGAGCCACTATAACGTGATTACTCTCGTGTCTCATGTCTCGGTATTGAGCTTCTTCGAAATTCTCTAAATTTAAACAGAATATATATTTTTATTATTATTTCAAGAGTAATAAAAAATAATTTTCAAGATTAAAAAAATATAAGTTATAACTTTTTTGAGAGAATCTTGTTTGAAGAATAATAATTCAATTTTGTGAATGAACTCATTGAGAAGGATTATCGTCGAGTGCTAGTGAATGAAAAAGACTTCGTGACAACAAACATTAAATAAATCTCTTTTATTTCAATTTTTTTTCTTGTCACCGAATTCGAACAAATCGTAGAAATAGAAAATAAAAAAAAAATGTGAATTGAGTTTAACGGAATTAGAAAATGAAGAACAATATACCAAAAAAAATATATGAAATATAATAATAATAATTTGAACTAGAAAAAAAACAAGAAAACATTTATCGAAAGAATGGTGAATGAATATCGTAAAAATTAGGACTACGAACCAAAACAAAAATGAGTTGTGGAGTGAGTTTGAAGCACAAAAAAATAATGAATATGTGAATTGTGAAAATAACAAAATAATTTTTAAAAGGTGGAAGAATAAAGCGCATTTTTGTAACAATCGATCAAAAAAAAATTGATCTAGAATCGAAATAGTATTGACGTCAACGAATTTCTATACGTCAATATACAATGCAGTAGTACATTTGTGTCAATTTCGACAGTAATTTAATGATTATCTTAGCAGTCATTTGGAGAGATTCTAATTAAAAGTTTGATGATCTTTACTGTCAATGTGTTACTGACAGGATTTAGAAAGCCAAAATCAGCACTCTCGAAGCATGTGATTGTGTCGATAACTTATTTTTTTGCAATTCATTCTTTTGTGTCGTGCATTAATTGAAATAGTTTAAATACTTTTCAGGTGGCTTTTCCTTCTTGAAAATAATAATTGAATAAAAATAATAATAATAATAATAATAATAATGTCCTAGACAGTTTCCATGCTCTAAGCTACAGCTTTATCTGTTATAGAGCCTCAGACATGTGAAAATATATTTGACGTCATAAATGAACATCCCAAACGAACCATAAAGGGAACTGACCAGTTATAGACAAAAAAAGAGAGATAACAATCAGTTACAAAAGTGCGCTAAATTTATCAAACTAATTTATTTATTTTTTTATTCTGTGTTATGCACGTTGGCTGAATATTCAGCAGAAAGAGAGACAATTTAATTAACAGATAAGAGATAAAAGTTACTCACATGTAGTTTAAATTATTAACGGCTGAACTAACATACGCGAACGAAAATAGATCGATTGCTTAAGACGATATCGATGACTTTATAAAGGATATAAAAAATATTACATTCAGCACAGAATTAAGCTTTAGTTCTGCGTCAAATAAAAAAATTCGTGTCATTAAACGTTGTTATTTTTTGTCCACACATTTTTTTGAAAGTAAGTCATAGACAAGAATCGATTTATTTGAGTGAAACTGAAGATAAATTGCTCTTAAAAGGGATACAAAGAGAAACTTTAATCAATCAATTCTTCTTGTGCATACATCAGTGATTCTTGAACTGTGTGTTGTGGTTCACTAAAGCGACGTGAGAGGTGATTTATTCTAGTAGTTTTGCAATGCTAAACTTCGTTCCATGCTTACAATCAATAAGTAAGTTTGTCCTGAGCTAGTTAACTGTCATTATAATGTTTATTGGCAACAAAGTGAACAACATAGAAGTTTAACGTACCTTTAACTACCAAACTGAATCTCATACCTCGTTCAAAAGCAAGCCCAGTACACGATGAAAGTTTAAGAATCACTGATTCTACACAACTATGTGACGTAAATGAAGAAAAGAAAAACTTGTCCACATCCATATGAGTTAATATTAACTTAACTTGACAGCACTCGAGAGAGAGAGAAAAAGACAGAAAATTTTGAGTGATAAATTTCTTTCAAGATGCACTATAAATTACATTAATTGTGCAATGGTCGTTTGATGTACACTAATGGCTCACAATGTAGAGCTCTGCTTACGATTTAATGAAGTTTGACTTAGCGGTTTCTTTAATTTTGACTCAATTAACGTCCACGCAGTTACCTAAATTAATTTAGTAAGGAGATAATTGTAAATTATTAGCAAAATTGATAGTCATACTGTTCGCGCTGTATGTCCGTTATAATAAACATAAATCATTAGATTTTAAGCAAAAACTTTCACTATATGTCGAAAACAGAACTTTATGTGCTTGATATGCTGAATTAACAAAGCTAGGGGTGTATTAAGGAATTGTTTGAGAGATAGTCTTCATAGTGCCATTTTCTGAATACTTCACAGACTAGCATTATTCTTGAACAAATGTTTGTGCTTCTGTACAGTCCACTGACACACCATTGTCCATATTTCAATCACATCTGCACGAAATAAAGGGAATTGACTTCGCAAAAAATAAAAGTTTAAAGCTTACAGATTCCGACAAAAGTTTTTCATGTTTTACAAGTATTTAAACAACAACAAAGAATTCAGTAAATATGTACAATGCATTATCGTTTCAAAAATGCACTAGAAAACGCGAGCAGAGCTTTAACTGGAGGGAATAAAGTAATAAATATTTCAAATTTTAATCTTTCAAGTGTAATTAAAAAAAATCTCTCTTTCAATATTATTTAATATTAAAAGTAGGAATGGGAGTTGTATGGATGTGACGGCTATAGGATATTTAGGCTTTTCCCCTCAATTCTCTGTAAATTCTTTGATTTTAGTTTTATAGTAAAGTTGAATATAAAGCCTAATAGTCATACGTAGACATAACTAATGAACAACTCCCCATGCGACTTTTTTTCACACATCAGCCCCCCCCCCCCCTACATGATGACAGTAAGAGAAAAGAAAAATGCAATCAATTTTCAAAATATGCTCGTAAAAAACCTGATCTCTATAATATTATTATGATTGCGAAAGTTTCCAACTAAATGCAACAATAACAATTCATATTGACTGAAATAAAACTATATAATTTTGATCATTTTGTTATTTGTAAGCTCTCAACTGTGCTGTGTGTAACAAACAGAAGCATTTTATATATAAAAAAAACTTATCTCCAAACATGATGTAATTGTTGTTATTGTAGACATAAAAAAAATATTTCAAATACCTAGGCTATAAAAACATTCTTTAATTATCTTTTTGGCACTGAACGACATTGGATGGGAAGATAAGATGGAAACACATGCGTTCAATTAGAGTGCAATGAATGTTGACAAAAAAAAATCTCCATTTCACATGCCGAAAGAATCAAAAATAGAAAACAAAATGATTATGTTTTGTTTGCCTGCCTGCCTGACTCTTACTCTCTTTTGTTTGTTTTTATGCAAAATAAATTAATTTTGTTATTTCTTTTTTTGCACGCGGGAGTTACGTTATCGGATTAAATAGTCAGTGGTAAATGGGAATAATTTCTGGTGAATGCAAATGAGGATATTAAGGAAATCCATTTCCTCTCAACAGCCTTTAAATTGTAATTTTTATAAGGCACTAACTGCCATTAGCATTAGAATTTGAGTAGCTAGAATTTTATTAATTATTGTTTATTTATTATTGACGCAGCTACGTCAGTTTTGGTTCAAACTTTGAATTTAAAGCTTTAAGATATCAGAAATCATTAGTAAATAACCGGCTTAAAGTTGCATTTGTAAGAAAACAAATTTCTCAATATTCAAAAAAGTTTATGTTTTTTTCCCCAAAATATGTCGAAACATCTGTCCACAGCTGTCAACCTAAAATAACTCAGGGAATTTATAACTTTTGTCGAACTTATCATTAGCATATTTAATTCTTTTTCCCCTCACACAACAAGCGATTAATATAATAATATTGTACATTTCTAATCACTCGTAAAGGTCATTAGATTATCATTATTACACACGGGATTATGTATAAGGAAATTCAATTACTTTTTCAAATAATATAGACATTATTTCCATAAATCAATTAACATTTTTGATCGTTTCGGAATATTTGCATACCTGAGGCCTATGTTGAGAACATAAAATTTCAATTTTGTCTTTTTGTTATGTACAAATCTTTTCAGATTGAAGCTGGAGATGTGATTTTAAAAGTCAATGGAACAGACGTGCATCGTTACTCGACAAAAGAAGGTAAATATTTGAAGCAATACAAAGTAAATTTGTTGATTTTATCTGAATTTTATTTTTGTCAATTCATAGTATTGAAATGTCTTCGATTATCAGAAGATCCGGTCACATTAGAATTAAAACGAGATCCAAACATAAAGGATCATGTGAGGAAATATTTAGCAACAAGTGCAGGACAAGATATAGGAAATTCATCGTCAATTCCATCATCGCCAGTAAATAGTTCATCAAAAGGACATCGAACAAGTTCGTCAGACTCATCTGCATGTCGAAAATCTCGAATTCCGGTTAATAATGTTAGAATTTCATCAATAAGTGCTCCACAATCACCACAAGCAATAAAGCCAAAATATCAGTCACAGATACCGACCGCAAACGGTATAACAACAAAGAAACAAACACCAAGGTTTGAGGCGTATATGATGACAGGAGACTTAATATTGAATTTATCAAGAACGCCACAAAGTTCTAATCTGATACCAGCACAAGCAAAAAAGTCAACAATGGATAGTTTAAGAGACTCGCCAGTTAGAAGTTTAAAACGAAAGAATGGTGTAGCACCAAAAGCGAATTACGATTCATCACCTTCGGAATCATCATCAGCGAGTATAAATGAATTAGGATCTTATGAAACGTCAGAGAATCACATCCATCAAAACAGTAGTAGTAAAGATGACAATCGTAAAGCGAGTAAACTGAGTCGATTTACGGCAAGTGATTCACACACGACAAATGAGAGTTTGGACGAAGAAGAGGAGCAACTATTAATGGAGAATTCTAATAATCCATCACCAGAATTGTTTGAAGACGAGCGTAATAATAAGAAATATAATATAACAAATATAGGCTGTGCAAATAATATGTCGTCGTCTTCATCATCATCTCCAACAAATACAAATTCGTCTAATTCATCAACGAATAACAATTATGATGGTGGCGGAAGTAAAGATCATGAGAATGATGGTGATCAAGAGATTAACAAAACATCATCGTCGCATGGACATAAGAAAAATCAAAAATATACAGTTTTATACAATGAAGAAAATCAAATAATTCAACAGCAACAACAAAACAATTTAGATGTACGAAAAGAATTGAATGTGACGCCAAGTCTATCAATGTCATCTACAACGACTACTTCCTCAGCATCAACGACAATAAATCGAAGTGAAAATTTACTTACGCCAACTTTGGATGTAAACATTTCACATTCTGTGCCTACATCACCAACGTCACTTTCTACGCCGCTATTAGATGCAGCTAAGAAACGAGATTTAGCTGTCAGCTCAGTTCCAACAAGTCCCGAGTGCATTCAACAGGAAATGGTTGTACGGAGAAATAGTAGTAATATACAAAATCAACAGAATGGCATAGCACTTAGGAAATGTGACGTTAGTGGATTCCGAACTAGTCGATCTGAGGATCATCTTCAACATTCACAACGAGAAGGCATTATGGGAAATGCAATTCCTATTGATATTGATGAGGACATCAATAGCTCATTAAATACACTTTTAGATACAAGACATGATTCAGAAGATTCACAGGTGATTGCTGATTATTTCAAATCTGTTAGTTCCATTAAAATAATTGTGATTAATTTGATTTAGAATTCAAATCGTGACCTACGAGTAGTATGGACTTATAATGCACCAGTTGCTCAAAATACGACGAATATTCATGGCAGTAATAATATGCAAGGCATAACGTCTCCCACATCACACTCAAGTTCAATTAGCACATCTCCACAACATAGTGATAGTCCCGCATCTCCAACATCTGTGTCAAGTTCCGTAATGTCATCGTCTGGATCAAAAGGAAATGGTCTAGGCAATGTTTGCGGACAAAATATTATGTTTTTAAGTAGTGGTGGTGGTGATCAGAGCCAAAGTGTATCGGAAGCAATTTCCAACATTTCAAGTCCCGATTATCAAGGTGAATTTTCATTATGCTTAACTATTATTAGTTGTGTGTGTTATTCATTCAATTCATGATTTTGGATTGCAGACGAGCACGATTTACTAAGTACACGAGATTTATCGGCAGCAATGGCAATAAGCGATCCAAGCGATTCCGATTCAACGTTAATTGTTGATCAAGTAAGAAAAGAGAAGGAACAAAAAGCTGTGATTCAAGTAATGACTAATGATGGTCTTAAATGCAATGCCAATGATTTAATATATACAGAAGACGAATTAGCAACACTTACCAATGAACCAATTATACTATCAGTATCAGAAAATCAGGAACATCGTGGATCATCACCTATTTCAGACGATGGATCAGACGTCGATTCACTTCATTCATTCCATTATTCTCCAAAAGCAGTCGACATTCCAAGTGCTGTGGTAAGATTTCCCTATCATTTTTCTTTACTGCGATGTCGTGGTAAGGCTCACAATAATCGATATTTTCAGCGACTTGCGAAGAGATTATACACATTAGACGGCTTTAAGAAAAGTGATGTTTCAAGACATTTAAGTAAAAAGTAAGTCTCGCATAAATCCTTTACTAGTGTAGCTCATGAAAGTTTAATATGTACATCTATCCTATTCTATTTTCTCATTATCGCTCCTATACAGTAATGAATTTAGTCGAGTTGTTGCCGATGAATATTTAAAATATTTTCAATTTGAGAAGCTGACATTGGATGAGTCACTTCGTCAATTTTTAAAACAATTCGCACTATCGGGTGAGACACAGGAGAGAGAAAGGGTTTTAGTGCACTTCTCAAAACGCTATCTAGACTGCAATCCCAATACATTTAATTCACAAGATGCTGTGCATACGTTAACATGTGCGATTATGCTGGTAAGTGAAAAAAATTAAGAAATTTTTTTTTCTGTAAATTATATGTAAAAATGAAAAACAGAAAACAGATCTGTTTTTGAGACCTGTTTTTGTTAACAGATTTTTGTAGAAAAACAGCTGTTTTTCTGTTTTCTGTTAACAGGTTCCCCAAACCCTATTTTAAATACTTGACAACAAGATGCTTTTATCCGTCATCAGAAATGTCAAAGTGAATTAAAATTAATATCCTGCGGTTGATGTTGTTATTTTTTTTGGATGCCATTAATTTAATTAAATTAAAATAATAATTTTTGCAGCTAAACACGGACCTTCATGGACAAAATATCGGTAGGAAAATGACATGTTCTGAATTTATTGAGAATCTAAGCGAGCTCAACGACGGAGATAATTTTCCAAAGGACGTATTAAAACATTTATATCAAGCTATTAAAAGTAATCCATTGGAATGGGCGCTGTAAGTAGCATCATTAATAATTTTTTCTCAAATAATTTTACATAATCAGAATCATAATCATTTTTGTGACAGCGATGACGATCCAGCTGATATTAATCAAAAGCAAAATCGTCATGAAAGCAGCTTACAAGGACCGCCAGTTGGCACCAATCCATTTTTGGATATACCACAGAATATACCAGCAGTTGAATATAAAAAGGGATATGTGATGAGGAAATGCTGCTATGACTCCAACAATAAGAAAAGTGAGTAATTAATTCATAATATTTTGTGAATTTTTTGGTAGTGGGAAAAGTTTGTTAAATGTCCACGATTATGCAAATTAATACATCATGTCTGCTTTACTGTGTGTCTAACAAAATTTTCATCTTGTTGAAAACCTTTGAGAATTATAAATTGTGCTTCAGAATGTTGTTTTTGTTTTCCATTTCCATTCATAGCGCCTTTTGGAAAGCGATCATGGAAGATGTTTTATTGTACATTAAGGGATCCACTTGTTATGTATCTTCATAAAGATGAGAGGGGATTTCACAAAAATCAGGTAAGCCTTTTTTCTTCATTACAAAAGGATTATTGTTGCGGAATGAAACGAGTAAACATTTTGCCTTATCTTATTTCAATTCACAATCCACAAGAATTTATAGGTCAAATAAGATTTTAAGCCACACAAAAAATCGATTGACATAGAAAATAATCCTTAATTTGCAGCTCTCTGATAATGTTCACAATGCAATAAGAATTCATCACTCGCTAGCGACAAGGGCAGCAGATTACACCAAAAAGCAGCATGTATTTAGACTTCAGACATCTGATCAATCAGAATATTTATTTCAAACGAGTGACTCTAAGGAACTCCAATCATGGATTGACACAATTAATTTCGTTTGTGCCTCTTTTTCAGCGCCACCACTAGAAGGTTTATATCTATTATTGCTGCTGTTTTAATATTGAATGTAATATAATCGACGATTTTGATTGTATTTTCAGGCGGTGTTGGAAGTCAAAAACGTTTTCAGCGTCCTCTACTTCCTTGCTCACAGACTAAGTTAATGTTGGTATGTATCATGTTTGTGGACGTCGTTAGAGACCAGACAAGCTTATCTTCTAATCGTGTAGTATTAAATTAATAAAAAAAAAATCCCCCATCGTTATCTTATCTTATAGCGGGATCAACTAGCATCACATGAGGAGCAAGTAACGAAATTAGAGAGCGAGATAACTGAACATAAACAAGGAACAGTGCCAACTAAAGGATTAGCTTTACAAAATTATCGAGAAAAAGAAGCATATTTACAATTTGAGGTGAGAAAAGACTTTCTTATTTTGGCAGCATCGATTTGCTATAAATTATCTAAATGTTTTCCTCGTTATTTTATTTTAGCTGAAACGATATAAAACATACGTCTATCTATTAAGTTCCCACTTGAACTCAAATCCAACAGATCTTATTAATATTATAATAAATAGTGGCGAAAATTCGACACCAACAACACCAACATTAGGCGAAGAAGATGAGTTGAGAGCATTAACTCAACAGCAAGGGACGAACAGGTATAGTTATCGAGCCGCAATATATCGATCCGAACAAGATATAGGATGACGAGTTATGGGAGTTTTCTCTGCTTGCGTGGTGTAGGGACTTTTCTTCTTACATTTTTCACGGTATAAGGACATGTCATATTTGTGTTGTTACCCAATAAGAGACTAGCATGATAATTAATAGATAATTAATATAAACCTTCTATATAGAGACAAGGTTAACATGAAATAACAATTTTGTATAATTGTGTATTCTCTTTTTCTTGTGGATATATTAATTTTGACTGATGTGCGAAAATATTTTATATTGATGGCATAACTCCCTGATGATATTAAAATTAAGGCTTCCACACTAATTGACTTACGCATCCCTTTACTACTATTTTAATCACTATTTTCTCTTTTGTTTATTTCACTCGTCATTAAATCCTTAACACTGCTCTGGAATGTGAAAATATTTGAACCAGGACCTTTTTTATTTTTTGATAGATTATGAAAATTTTATTAATTACTACATTTCACGGTGCTTTGGTTTATTTACTCAAATAATTATTCTTACAATGAGATAAAATTTATTGGTGCTATACTACTCATTACATTGTTAACGGATTTCATCATTTTAAATGCTTCAAAACCTTACAAATTAGCTTAAATAATTTGTATAGTTTTGAAATTTTGTAACGGATTTCTTAGTTTTGAAACCGAGAACCGTATAAAAGTTACTTTTGTTGACGAATTTGTATGGTTCGGAGAAAACAATTGTGAGGTTTTGGGACACAATTCGAATATTTTCAAATTCTGCGTATACATTAACACGATTCACCGATCTTTTACACAAAAATTCTCTTCCCTCATTTCTAAAAACCTTATTTTTCTTTATGTTCTTTATCTATTCACAGGAAGGATAGCAAGAACATGTTTAAATCATAGCCAAACGATGACAGACAAAATATTTTAAACCATATTGAAATTTTATTTCTCTCTTCCATATGATTATTGGTAATAAAAAAAAATAGCAAAACAATAGATAACACTCATTAAAGCATGCATTCGTACTACACACAAATTTCTTCCTCCAAGTTCATCATTATTCTCTGTGTAATTCATTCATCATAGAATTTTTTAATTTGTATGAAATTAATTATATTTTAATCATCGTCTGCTTTTGTCCATCTTATTGTGAACAATAAAAACTAAGAAAAAATATGATGAAAAAATTATTAGCAATACTATGGAGAAAATTAATGCTAATTGAAGATATCTATTATTGAAAAGATAATGTTTAAAATACATTTAAAATAATTAAAAAAAAAACATTTTACTGAGTTCTTTCGAGGGTTGCAATAAAAATTTAAAGAAAAAAAAACATTTTATTGATAGCGGAATACTTATTATCTATAAAGAAAAATTCCAAAATTAAATAATTACACATTTTTGACAAGAAAAAAACAATTAAATAATTAAAAATATTTGACGTTTTTAAAAATGCAGAATGACATTCTTTTTTGCTTCAAGCTGATTTTTAATATGAGAAATTACTGTGAGAAACTTTTTATCATTATTTAACGAATTTGATGATCATTATTATTTTATGCTACAAATTTAAAGGACTAAATTATGATTACAACGAATTTTTAATTTCATTTCTTTTCTATGATAATGATAGAAATCTGCTTAATAATTTTATTTTCCTGTTTGTATAACTTACTTCTTTTTAATTATGATTTAAGCTTAAAAGTCTTATTAATAACGAAAAAATTAAAATGAAAAAGTTGTTAAATTCACACATGAAAGTTAAATTGTAACAGAGAAATTATTAAATGTGAAGTAAAACAAGCATTTACTATTTGACTAGACAAAAGACGAGATTCTTATTGCCTTTTGGTCTTCTTACTTTTCAGACAATTATACTTTTTGTATGTTACAACTACGGTAATGAAGTTGAGTACGTAAATTAGCACGCAAAATACACAAATGTCTTGGATGATGTAGAATAGAACGTATGCGAGGTATATACTTAGCCACGACGAGATTGATGCAAGGAACAATTGGATTTCCACAGCCACAATGTTATCGGAAAAGCCTGTAATCAGATCAATCATTAATTACTCATCATTTTTTTTCAACAGATCAAGTTACACTTACTGATGGCAATCATTACAATATAGAAGACAATTCCATAAAGTGAATTAGACAGCTGAAGTGACTCGGGAAGGAATGTGAGACCAAATCCTACAGCATACTCGGAAGTCATAACTTTGCTGCATTTCATTTCATTAATATCACAAACTGGGACATAATCCTTATCTTCACGCATTTTATGCTTGACAAATTCGATGTAAATTGAGACTATCAGTGAGAGAAGTGACGATAAGAGTATAATTTTGGAATGCTTCGACATTTTGAATTAATTTTTGTATAATCAGAAAATTTTTCGGCAAGATCCTTTAGCACACAACTTGGACATTGGAGCATTATGAGTCATTTTGGGCGGAACGGATGTCAATAATAATTATGACATGTGACGTGCTTGAATTTTCTTGGTTTGTACTTTATTATCGTTGTTTTTTCATTAAATTATGACTAGTAATCAAGTATATGTCATTAGTAATTAGCATGAATGCGCTTTGTCGGTGATTAAGATGTGCCTTACTGTATCTTTTTCTTGGAAAATTTTCGCATCTTCCGGACAAATGTTGTTGACTTGGAATATTCGTAAAACTTTACAGAATTATAGTAGTTTCACAAAAAACATCTCATAAATAGTAAAAGAATCAAGAATAAGTATTAATTTCGCATGTAAATTAAGGTAAAACAAGAATAACGTTTTGTTCAAAAAGTAACTGTCGAAAAAAAATCAAAAAGAGGGGCTTGAAAGTTGAAAAGGGGGTGCGAAAGTCAAATTTTTTCTAGTTGTGTGCAGATAGAGTATACAGGTAAAATAATAGTTTTTCACTAATTAATCTTTATTTTCCTAGCTTAAGGATAATTGCAATATATAATTAACTATGTAATCTACGAGAATATGCATAATGTGATGTGGAAAGAATGTTTGTTTTCACGTAAAATCTAAAATAAAAAATTTAACTTTGGTCGCTTCAAAAAAAAAAAATCATCAAATGGAAGAGAAAAAATTACATAACAAGTTGAATCTATTTTTGACGAACTAGATCCACTTATGTGCTTAAGAATATGTTGATTCCGCAAAAGCTAGTCAATTTCTCATGCACTCTCACCAAAAAAAAGTCCTGACATAAGCCTTAAAAACTGAAATAATGTTGTTTGCTGGTTCATGAAAATTATCGATCCGTTCTTCTTCAGAGTAATTAAACCTTCTACTCTTATTAAATTTTATACTTATAAATTCAGGTTTATTTTTTAGGTAGTCTCTTGCGTTTCTCAAGTCCAGGATATTGTACTACATAATCATTGGATAATTAGTGGTTATACTCCGGCTTACAGCGACATCTTTAAATCAATTGATTGGTAATATATACTTAGTACTCATTCAACCAACTCGAAACTATTCAATTACCTGATTAGTATATTATTTTTCATATAAATTAATTGATTATACTTTTCTGTTCCAGATCCATTAAACTTTTAAACATGCCAAGGTCACGTAGTCGTGAACGTGATAATAGACGAAGGGATAGAAGCAGAAGTCGAGACCGAAAAAGTCGGTCAAGAAGTAGAGATCGTGACAGAAGACGTGACTATAAGCGACGAGACAAAAGTGTTGAAAGATACAGAGATAAAAGAGACAAAAAGGAATCATATAGACGTAGATCCAGAGACAAATCACTTGAAAGACACAAAAACCGATCACCAGATAAGGATAGGGACAGGGATAGAAAAAGGAGAGATTCGCGTGACAAACGACGATCTACAAGTCGCTCAAAGAGGCTAAGAAGTGAAAGTTCAGAACCTAAGGCATCACAAAGTTCCAAGACTCAACCAGATTCCGTAAAACCTATAGTTATAATAGCAAACACGAACAAGAAGAATAAGCATAAAAATCATAATAATGGAACAACTAATGATAATGATCTTCGAGAATCGTTTGAGATTGCAAATGAATTTTCAGCAGAAGGTTTTGAGCAATTTAGTCGTGATCATGGAATTGATTTTGATAAAGTTGAGACAGACGAAGATCGAAATGCAGTTCATGAGAAAATGGAAGAACTTTTAAAGGCACATTTTGCAGCACAAGGAAAAATATATCCACCACCTAAGCCAGAAAAGCCAATAATTAATGTTGCCACAGGATTTGCTAATGATGGATCATTTTTAGAACAATTTAAAAAGATGCAAGATGAATATAAGCAGCAACAAGAGATGGAAAAGAAACGCCAAACATTGGAAAATAAATTAAGAAATTTGCCATCAAGTCGAAGACGAGGTGCTAAAATTCTCAAAACTGGCTTAGTTGCAAAGACAATCGTTACGTCAGAAGGAACTATAACAACAAATTCTTACGACTCTTACTACAAGGAAGTTCAAAAATATAAAAGCGCCTCGTCATGTGATAATGATTCGAAAACGCGACCACTCGTCAAATAATTTTAAATCTTTTTTTATTATTAGTTTTTTTCTCCTTATTCCTCTTTTCCTTATTTTTCCTATTTCTGTCTGTATCACATTATGTATGCATATTTTCGTATGATTATGATTTTTAAACATTATCTAGTTGTCAAAAAAATTGTAATAACGTTTATTTATAGACAAAACATTCTCAAATCTAAAACCTTTAATCAGGCACGTAAATTTGAAAATCTAAATCAATTAAAATGGCCCCAAAGGAAATTAAACTTGAGACAGCTCCATTCGACCCACGATTCCCAAACACAAATCAGACACTCTACTGTTATCAGAGCTATATTGATTTCCACCGTTGCGAGAAGGTTAAGGGACAAGGTGCTGAGGTCTGTGCATACTTCAAGAAATGCTACACAGCAATGTGCCCAAATGCATGGGTTGAGAAATGGGATGGACAACGTGAGACTGGCAACTTTGCAGGCCGTATTTAAATGTCAAAAACCTTCCTCAAAAAGTTAAAAATTTCATTCACAACACAACTTTAAATTGAAGAAAATTGGAGGAAAAATAAGATTTAGTTCCGATATGTAAAACAGATAAAACAAAAAATACTTAATAAAATCAATGAAATTCAAGAGTTATAAAGTATAGTCAGATACGTAATGGACTGTTGCCAGTGTGATCCAAATGAAAATAGGATTTTAAAGTCAATTATGTTTCAAGTGGTAAGTATACATATTATTAACTGTATGTCATTATCAGCAGGGTCTGACTACTAGACCGAAATATTTAATACATACAGCAGGTAGTTGTGAGACCCGTGAAAAGCACTGCTGCACATTTTCTGTTAATCGTGTTAAGGCGGCGCTACAAAACAAATGTAGCTAGATGAAATTAGAAAAAAAGTTAAATTAATTTATTTTGCTAATTTTTTGCTTTCAAATCGTGATATTTTCGTGCCTCTAATGAGTTAAACTATTATTTTAGCGATAGAAAGCACTTTAGTTGTAAAAGTGACGAGTTTTGTACAATTTACTTGGATATTGGATATTGTGTAAAGAGAGTAGAATACTTGACAAAAAAAAATTGCTACCTAATACCATAATAGCCAAGTAGTATAATAATTGTGCATATATCAATAAAGCAATAAAATAAAGAGAATCTAGAGGGAGGTTTCTAGATCGTCTGGATCCTTTAATAATTTAATGAAAAGTGTGTGATGAGAAGAGTTCTGCTATCAAAATGTTACGATTTTTGAGCAGACGACATCGAAATCATCAAAATATCAATTCCAATAGTGACATAAAATCACAGAGAATTCCAATAAATAAAAATTTAATACAGTGTCGAGTTATTTTATTGGATAACAGTGATATTAGCATTGAATTATCGGTAAGTCTGATCGATTTCTAGTCCATTGACTAGATAGTCCCTAATATTATTTAATTAAATTAAGAAAATATATTTGTGGTGGACATAAAAAAAAACTTTCTTTCGCCTGAGATTTGTATTACCTATATAGCTCTATATAGGATAGAGTGTATGGCAGCATATATATACACAATAGTAGAAAGAAGCATAAAGAGTCAAGAATAAGTTAGAAGAAAAAGCTGAAAAGCAATATACGAAAAGAAAGAAAGACTTTTTTGTGTAATTATGTGTGTAGATCTCTTTCTCTCTGAATGTTACTGTTCCACTATTTTTTTTATATTCATTCAGACAGGCAGGCACAGTCTTATTTTACCATTCGTTTTTTTTTGTCGAACGAATACTTTTTAAGTAAGCACCAGTACTCTCTATTCAAATTGTATAAATGTATTATATGCGGAAGAGAATGAGAGAAAGAAAAACTTAATTTTTCCCTTTTTAAGCCAGCCTGCATTCGCAATATTCTTTAAAAATTAATGATAAAAGTTTACATTCTCAACTGTAAAATCTCGCATATATGCCATATTTATTTATTTATTTATTTATCGACAGAAAAAAGCTCTCGCCAACGATTTGTACGAGCAAGTATTTTATACATTAGACTTGATTGAGAAAGATTACTTTGGTCTACAATTCACCGATGCCAATAATGTTAAGCACTGGCTTGATCCCACGAAGACTGTCAAGAAGCAAATTAAAATCGGTCCACCGTATACGTTACACTTAAAAGTGAAATTCTATTCATGTGAGCCGAATACACTTCGTGAGGAATTAACGCGCTATCAATTCTTTTTGCAACTCAAGCAAGACATTTTGACAGGTCGACTCGAAGTCCCCGAACCGACAATCTATGAACTCTGTGCATTGGCACTACAATGTAAGAAATTATTAATTCAGGCGTTTCTTTAAGTAGCTTTATCTTACATGTGATGATTCATTCTACATGTTACTCAATATTATTGTTATGATAAGAACACATGAGGTTTCTGTTTACATTCTCCGTTGCGAGAAGCTTACTTAAGAAACAGCCATAATTTTTCATACATAATTGTAATCATTAAAATTAATTAATCTAGCTGAACTTGGGGATTATGATGAGACGATTCATACTCCAGCAACAGTATCGGAGTTTCGTTTTGCACCAAATCAATCAGAAGACATGGAAGAAGCAACACTGGAAGAATATCGTAAAATTAGAGGTTTGACACCTGCGCAAGCTGAGATGAATTATTTGAACAAGGCGAAATGGCTTGATATGTTTGGTGTTGATATGCATACAGTATTAGGAAAGGATGGATGCGAATATCATTTAGGTTTGACCCCAACGGGAATTTTGGTTTTTGAAGGTGCTCAAAAAATTGGACTGTTTTTCTGGCCTAAAATTGGAAAATTGGACTTTAAGAAAAAGAAACTTACACTTGTTGTTGTTGAGGATGATGATATGGGACGGGAGCAGGAACATACATTCGTTTTTCGTCTACACAATGAGAAAGCTTGCAAGCATTTATGGAAGTGTGCAATTGAGCATCATGCATTCTTCCGCCTTCGTGGTCCAGCAAAAGGACTTTCTGCAAGACAAAACTTCTTTAGAATGGGGAGTCGATTCCGTTACAGTGGCAAAACAGAGTTTCAAACAACACAACAAAATAGAGCACGTAGAACGGTTCAATTTGAAAGGCGTCCTTCACAAAGATTTGCAAGGCGACAAAGTCATGTTTTGCGTGACAGACAAAAACAAATACAGCAACAACCACCTGCACCACAAGCACAATCATCATCGTCCGAATTGCAATCTAATAATGATGATTCTCAAACTATTTCCGGTGCCTCTACGTCATCTGTTAATACAGTAATACACAAAAGTGAACTTAATGATACTGCGTCATGCAACAAGTCAATATCGTCAAACGAAGATACAAATTATCAGCATGCGGCGATTCAAATGAAACTTTTAGAGATTGATTCATCAAGTCGCATAGATTCGGATGCACCAAAATCGCCATTCCTTCAGCCACAAGGATCTTTTGGTAAGGCATCTATAAAGAGCTTTAAGAGCAATGGCTCTTCCATTCCTGATAGTCAAATTGATAGTTTGCTAAAACAAATAAGCAAAGAGTCACCAACGGTGCATTTAGAAGCTCTTAACGATGTAACAAATATTAAGGTCGGCATTAATAAAACATCAGAATTGGAAATGAACACAGATACATTGAAAAAGTTTTCAAATGATAAGCCGAATAATCAAATTAAATTAATTAGTAGTGCAGGCCAAGCGAAAATTCCACCAAGTCAAATTAAATGTAACATTTTAAAAGGTAAGAGAGCTTTATAAATTTTTCAAATAATTAACTCACAATGCTGTTTTTATTATTACACACAAACAGCGCGTGCTGAAGAAGAACTAAATGCCCATTCAAAATTTACAAATCAATTGTTTGACGCTAATGACTCTCAACAGAATGGACCTACGTTCGTTGCCGTTGTAAGTGTTATTTACATTTTACTTATTTTTAATTTTTGCTGTACACATGTAAATTTTTCTGTGTGTGCTCATTTATTGCCATTTATGCGCTATTTGAGGTTCTTTTCATTCATTTGTCTCGAAGAAGTTTTTTGTTGACTTTCCTTTTATGTCTCCCTGGCTATTAATTATTTATTCAACAGTCGTGTGCATTTAACGATTATTGTAATTTTCTTGTAAACTATTCATGTCACTTGACGAAAAAAATAATTTTAACTTTTCTGAGACTTCCGGAATTATTGAGTTGTAAAAAGTCAATAAGCGGAAATTTATGGAGCCTCATAATGCTTTGCGCGTTTGTTTATCGCTTGATCATAATTATTTTTTTGTGTGCGTTCTCTATGATTGCCATTTATCACTCGTCATGTTCATCATTTCATTCATCGACTCGTATCCATTAATTGCACGTGTAAAATGCATGCTCATGCAGGGAGGAGACAAGTTAACATTGAATCTAAATGGTGGGTTATCAACAGTACCACAAATGGCATCGCCAACAACACCTAAATTATGCAATCTTCCATCCACAATACCGCTGATTCCAACGCCAATTGAGAAGAATATTAACAAGAATGAAAGTGTTACAGTCACACATTTTTCTGACCTTCATGGCGGTGTTGTTGAGAAAATAAGTGTACCCGTTACATCGGGAAGTTCATCGTTCATGAACACTGAAGAAAAGTCACCGAAAATGGAATTTTCAATGACACGAACAAGTATTAGCAATAATCCGTTTGCTGATGAAATTTTAAATACATCCAAGACAATTATATCGACAACGACATCATCAGCATCGACAGCAACGTCACCGACTGTTAAAATATCAACAAATAATCCCTTTCACAGCTCATTTAATGGAAGTGAATCAAACTCACCAGATAAGTCGGTTAAAATCTCATTCTCAATACTTGGAACTAAAAATCCATTTGACGAGAATTTAAGTGAAGAATCGAATGGAATTGAAGCTCAACTTAACAATAGTAACGATAGTAACAATAATAGAAGTAATGGCGATATGGATCAAAGCATAGATGATGTCGACAACAACGAATCAACATCGGTTAACTTAAAGATAGATAAATATAATGAAAATAACATTACAATGATTAAAATGGAATCTACTAATATGAAGCAAGCAAGGAATGGTGAAATTAATACTACCGCGAAGAAGGTAAACATTTCTTTATATCAAAAAAAAAAAAAAAATATATGTATAAGTATCTTCATTAGCTGTGTCGATTATGTATCATTTCATGTGGTTTCTAGTCATTGATTGTTTTCTTTGTTGGACTAACACAATTTCTCGTAGTGTGGTGTTTGTGCACTAAAATTAAGTTTTGTTTCTTAATTAACTTAGTCTAATAATAATTCTCAATTATTATCTTCTTACAGGATATAAATGAGAACAAAACAAGGATAATGACAAATAACAACTATGAAGTATCACCGTGGCTAGTGTCATCTGAGATTGTTCAAGCTACGATGACCAAGGATCCTCCAATTATTCGTAAGTCGGTTATTACGACACAATTGTGAAGGAATAAATTTTTGTCTTCTTCGATTTTTATTTTATTTTAAATAACTTGATTCAATTAAATATTTTTATGTAATATTTATCGATTTGAGTTTGCTATTTAGATCCAATAATAGTGTGGTAGGCTTCTGTCTTAAAACTACAATTTTTTTAAAGCAGAGAGAAGATTTTTTGAGTGATTCTTATAGAACGGGATTTTTATGTCAGCATTATTTTGTTGGGAAATTCTATGACGCATACAATACGTAATTTAATTGATTTGTATTAGCTAAAAACTGTAAAGATTTATTTTAAATTATTTAAACTAGGTTTAGTACTTAATTTTAGTACAAATCGATTTTCGGACCTTATTCTTAATCTTTAGATCATGTATTGCTAACCAATCAAGTCTTCGTCCACAATTTTGCTAGCCAATTTAAAATATTAATGTTTAGTTCAAATGTCATACCTTAATAAGTCATCATTAAAGCGTGTCCTCATTAATTTGAGGAAGCTCCAAAAAAGCCGTTAAATTTTGACGACAAGTTCAATGACTATCAAATTACTTTAATTATTGAAAGACATTTGTTTAACAGAACTGACAAAATGGCCTAAGATTAAGTCATCCACCTCCGGTTGCTACCTGCTTGACTAATTTCCTTGTCTATAGGAATTTCGTCAATAATAAATACCTTTAAAACGTTCAGCAAATATGCGTGTTATGGAAATCAAAATTGTCATTTAATAGTCAATCCATGAATAATGAATAAGCAGCAGCAAGCTAGTATTGAATCTTCAGATGAGAAATCCGTTTTCTTAGAAACCTGTGTGACAATATCGATTTTTTACTTGACGTATTCATGTTATATTTACTGATTTACCTTCAGATAAAGATATTCTTACTTATCCGACTTAATCTGACGAGATTCCAATCAGAATAAGAATCAACTCATAAATATTCTCTCGAACCGGCAACATTAATTGAGTTAATGCCACTAAGACAACAAAAAATGATTCCAATTGGTTAGCATCTATGAAGGTCATTAGTATCTGCATAAGACATTATCAAATCCTACCTTAAAAATAATAAAAACTGAAAGTTTGACGCCTTAATTGTCAGTAACACTTTTCGCTTATGGTACTTGCTTATATTTTTTTTATATTATATTAATTATATTTTTATTAGGCTGTTATACTCTATATACATATATATATTTTTTTCAAACAAATCATAAAATATTAGTTAAGATCAGAGAAAAATAGTAATGTATGCTGCTGACTTCTTCTTTTTAAGTACTTAAACTATGCTGTATTTTCCATACTTAAGTTGATCTCGATTATATGGCATAATTTTTTTTTTGAAATTCAGAGTTGACAACACGCAGAAATTGTATTCAGATGACACAGATTAGTTCTCAAAAAAATGTTGTGTCACATGTCACATAAAAGTGTCATAGATCAAGATTGCAGCTAATTAGCCAACTCTGTATTTCGATTCATTCATGTTCGTTCCCTTGCTACTTACTTTTTGAATTACATTCGCACGTTTTGGCATAAAATAAAGAGAATATTCCGTTTTTTTTGTGCTTATTTTTTTTTTGAAGAATTGAATCACGGTTGGAGTTTTATCTTTACATTCCATAATTATCATAATAAGCATAATAGATGAAAGACAACAAAAAAAGTTCCCAAGTCTAAAACTGTAAAAATAAAGATGAATAATAAAAGAGTATGAATTTTTTTTGTGCACTCTATAATTATAAACTGTGCCATGATGATGATGAGACCAATCTATTATTTTACTTCTTGCATTTTTTTCATGGAAAAATTAAAAAATTGACTGAATTTATTAAGAGAATTAAAAATTTCTTCTTCCAATATTCCAATTAATCCCGTCCAATTTTTCTGCTAAGGTGACTTACTGTAAAAAAAATAATGTTCTATTGAACGTAATCTTAATGCATATCTAATCGTAATGAGGATTAGATGAAATTGAATTTTGATTGAAAAGAAAATCCAGTTGTTAATTAGTATAACATAAAAGAAGTACAATAAACAGTTTTTTTACAACATTTAAAAAAAGACAAAAGAATAAATAAAAAAAAACGTTTAAATATCGACGATGATAGATCGGAAATGATAATCAAAAAAAATCTACAATATTATATTTATGAGATGATGAAAATTATACGTTTTATAATTTTAACATACCTTAGAATGTATGGAAAAATGATAAAAATAAAGTTTATGTCTTATACGAAAAAATAATAACAAGATGTGGAATTCCATTCTTAAAATTAAAAAAATACTTTTCAGTGAACATTTATATATTTCAGATACTGCCTAGGAATGACAACTAAAACAAAACCATAATGATTAAACAGACAATTGTCTGTAGGCTATATGCAGCACATTAACTGTTTTTAAATGTCTCATTCACATTCAGTGACATGTCAACAGTTTTTTAATCTATTCGATAAGGCTAAGTTTGAATCAGCATTGATATTTTTGAGCTGTAGTAAGTAATCTGTTGTGTATCTATATATGTAAATTATTTGATTGTTCATTTTACGAACTTTTGAATTTTTGGTACTATAACTTTGTTGATGACTCTCCACTGATTTATGACTCATCTTAAAGTCAAAAACTCACTATTGGTAGAACAACTCTTACCTTCAATGGATAATAATAATAATAATAATAATAATAATGACGTAATCGATGCAAATAACAACCAGTTATCCAATCAATCCTTTGTGTTGAAATAACAAAGAAATCTGCAATAAACTTCATAATCATTAATTTAAGATAGATTGCAAAGACCAGTCTATCATATACTTTTTCATCTTGATTGTTTTTTCAAAGATTTTTTCAGCATAATGTTTCTTTTATTTACGATAATATTGATAAAGATATAAAAGGCCAAAGGAATACAAAAAATCACATTTAAATTTTTTTTCTTTGCTTTCATTCTTTCTTTTAATGATTTTCCATTAATAACATTCAGAGAGTTTTATTCCATTGACTTTTTTTTTCAATAATAATAATAATAAGAGTAATAGAAAAGAAAATGAAATTTTTAAAGTAAATAAATGGAAACTAATAAAAAATATATTTTATATGTACTTAATAATATCTCTGTTTACAGTACTGAATTAATATACTTTCTAAATTAAAATATATTATATTCTTTGCTGTTCCTTATGAATAACTAAATGATGGCATAAAAGATTTCTCAATAAAAACAACCATCAGAGGATAAAAGGGTCAGATTAATTGATTTCAAAAGTCGAGTGAAATTTCTTCATCAAAACCATGCAATTGTTTTTCAAAACCGTACAAATGTTTTCTATTCCATTTCAAAAACATTACAATACCACATTTATTTACTCAAAAACCTAGCAAATGTTTGACAAAAACCTTTCAAATGTTCATAAATGAAATAGAATTGTACGGTTTTAATATAAGCTTAGTCTCAACTGCTCCCAAAATTACACAAAAACGCTTACTAAACTAATTAGTTTACAACTATCATTGTCCTTAAGAACCAAAATCAGATATGATCTAAAACTTTTATCCTTTGATAACAATCAATTTTAGTCTCAAAATAATTAATAAGATTTATATCTTTTTTTTCGGAATTGCCAAAGAAAAGAAATTTTTCAATTATTTCTTCTCGATTAAAGGAGAAAATTTATCATCTAGCTACGTCTATCCATTTATTCAAAAAATGGATATAAAAAATTTTTGCTACTTTTTCCCATCTCATATCATTTTGAACATTGTCCATTTTTTTTGTGTTGATGTCTCAATTTGAGCTGCGAAACAGGCACCTGTGACAGGTGAAAACCCTACAATTCCTTGATAATTTATAAGGTTTTCCTAACAAAACCATACAAATTATCAAGGAATTGAAAGGTTCTCACCTGTCACAGGTGACCTGTTTCGCAACTCTGCTCTCAAATTTGTCAAAATTTAATTAATAAAAATGGTAAAAATAAATCCTATTGTTAGTCATTGAACATGTGAGTGTTGTTTTTTTTTTCTTTTTTATGTGCGTTGAAAGGAAGGAAAGGGTTTTTTTAAAAATAAATTTTCAAGACTATTTCATAAATTTCATCTATTTTCATCATCTTGTATATTTTTGCCAAATAAGAAAATATTTACTTGTCTTGCTGCATTGCTGTAGTTCGAAGGAACGACCAATTAAATGATAGAATATGACAAGACGGTAGTTCCTTCAAAGTACGATACAATTATAGCTTCTTAGCTCCTAATTTCATTGGACCTCGTGTAGCTCTCCTCGCTTCAAGCTCTCGTTGACGTTGAAGTTTCTTTTCTTCTCGTTTCCTCCTAGCTTCGTCAAATTTAGACGTTCCTAATGAGAACTTTCACTTTTAACAAGCTATTATATGATTAAAACATGATTAAACTACCTGTACCAGTTTCCTCAATTGGCTCAAATTCATCATCATTCCACGCCGTCCCATAATTATCCCAGTTTGAATTAGCACTCGAGTTTATGTCACCATCTCCATTATTTTTTATTGGACTTATATTATTGACTGTATTATTATTGCAAACTCCACTTGACGAATGTGATTGAGAATTGGAATTACTGCGTGAGGCTGATGCATGGTTTCCATCATGATTGTTTGCTTTCTCTTCAAGCTCTTCATTAATTGGTTCTTCTTCTAAACTGCCCCAATCACATTCATTATCCCATCCGTCACGGACTTCGTTAACTATTGAATTTGCATTGAGATTGGCACTCAATGTTGATGGACCAGCCATTGGTGATGACGGATCTTGCGATGTCTACAGAATATTAAACTAGCTTTAGTATCAATTTGATAGGAGAAAAAAACTCTTATACTTACATCCATTTCACCCCAATTTTCTTGATCCCAATTTTCAGCACCATAGTCAGAAGCAGAAACTGACGTGTCATTACTTTCATGTTCCAAAGAAGTCATTGACGTAACACTTGATGTAGTCGTTGAAATGCTACTACTCGAAGGTTGTTCTGCATTAATATTTTGAAAGAAAGGAATTAAGATTAATTAAGGGATATATACAGATTAAAAATTAGTACTTAGAAAATTGATTGAAATCAATGGAATTAATCTGAGTGACTTGTGATATCTCTAATTAATTCTGTTGGTTAATTAAGCATAAGTTTTAGTTTATAGACTAAAGTCATGCATTTCAACTCTTAAAGAATTCAGTGGTCGGTTAATTCTATTGATTACATGCCAAATTTCTAAGAACTTATTAAAATAATGTTAAAATTAGCACAAAAATCTCGAGAAATACATTTTTTTGATGATTTGATGATTTGCATATAATAACATAGCTCAAAATAAGTAATAGGTAGCACATGTCAAGTCAGTAAATTATAATGATTAGTGTTTAGTATTTGAAAAAGATCTCATTACCATATGTCAAATGCATTTTAGTATAAAGTAAGAAATTTAAAAAAAAAATAAACCTATCACAGGTCTTGATAGCTTCGTGAGTCTTACAAAAAAACAAAATCACAGTCAAACTATCAAGACACACAAAAACAACGCGAGAAAGACATACACAACCATTAAACATACCCAAAGAAGCAGGTTTGCTCAAATTTTTACCCGTTAATGGCGGTCGAGGGCGAGTATCACTTTGTGATCTGTAGAACTTTGCAGACACTGCTGAGACAGCCCAACCTGCCCATGTTGCTGCCGCATTTCCAATTGTTGGTGTTGCTGTATGCACATCCGCTTCTAAAAATTCACATTAACTTAGTGACATGCTTAATAAGAGAATTTGTAAATCTTACCCATGCTTTCCCTCAATGTTGGATCCTCAGACACACGTTCCAATTTACCCAAGAACCCTCTAATAGTCTTAAATGCTGGATCTCGTACACTCTTTTCTGGATCAGCAGTTAATGGACAAAGTGCTGGCAAAATGCGATTTGCCACTTCGCTCAGCAAAAAGTACCTAGACATAGATGTTATGAGTTAATTGACGAGGTATTTTTGAAATTATAATGAACTTACTGTTGAGTCGCAGCCAATGCTAAAATTCCAGCAACACCTATAGTAAGGAATTTACACAATCATTAGTGATTAGCAGAAATAAAAAACATTAATGTATTATGACTTACGGCTTGGTGGAAATGGATCACGCATTGCTCGAATAAATGCCGACACAAGAACTCTCTGTCTGACTTGTGGATGTAAATGTTGAGCAATTTTACCTAAGCATACGGTCGTATTGGTTCTAATTCCACCCTGATCATCCCTTGATTGTAATCTGGCAAAATGTCTGAGCACCTCAACATTCAAATTATTATAATTTAATTTTGGAGCTAAATGGATAACAGCTTTAACAGTTTGCTCGCGAATCGTTGCATTCGTGTCGAGAAAACCGTGTGCGACATTTGGAAAAATCTGGTCATTTATAACAGCTGGCGTCAAATGATGAATAAACAGTTCTAATTGTTGTAATAATCTTGATCTCGTCACACGGTCTGTTGACGAAAATAGCTTTACAACACACGGTACGATTTTCTTTTGGTACTCTCCCTCGTCTAATAATCGTCCTAATTTAAACATTGGAGCTAAGACTATTGAACCTATTCCTGAATATTCATATGCATTTATTAATTGTGGTAAAATTTTATAACGACAAACATTATCCGGAAAATTATCTAATTGTTGTGTTAAAGCATTGAAAAATCTATTCTTTTCAGCCTTATCTTTGATTTGAATCTCTTCCAAGAAGAGCAATGTATCGACTAGTTCGTTTTTGAAAAACCCATTTGGCTTGCGGCACCGCGTTATAATATCTGCTGGATTTGGACGATTTGATGGATTCGCCCCAACCAACTCGCAGTACAGCGGAGCTAGCGTTTTTGGAATCTATCAGAAATACATATAATTCATTAGTTACATCTCTATTACTTTAATCACAAGTATCGCTTACATTCTCTATATCTTTCAGATTGTTTCTCATTTTTAATGGTCCGTTGAATGATTCCCAAACTGTCATGAAGAATAAGGTAATTATAGTAATTAGCACTCATTACGAATCATATTAAATTTTAACGGCTTTCTCAAATTCAAATGAACCGAGCTGACATGAACTCTGAACTACTGAACAAATATTATTAATTTAAGATTTAATTTAACGGTTATTACAAAAATTATAATATTAAGTTAAAACTTTAACAGCATGTCAGTGAGTCATTAAAAAGCGAGCATAAAGGCGCAGTTTGTTTTGGACAAGTGCAATATAGCGTAGATGATTTTCACTTGAGAATTGTACTTACTTAGACATCCCAAGCCCCACATGTCGGTTGAACTGGAAGTAGAACAATTCCTTTATATATGAGAGATTTACCTAGCTCCTCTAGTAATGCCAACTCACCATTTTGTCGTGTTTTTCACTTTCGACGGATCACTCTTTTCTGGTGGATCGTAAATTTCTAATATTGGTGGAATCTTAACTGGAATGATTACTTGATTGCTCTGGTTGTTCATATCTATCGATTGCACATATTCAAGTCCACCCAACTTCCATTCGCCACTCGAATTCACAAAAACTGACCAAATTGATACATTATTATGTCGCATATTTCCATCATTATTAAGAAACGATAAAGCTCTCTGTAAGTTCAATTAATCAGGTCATTAGAAATGAATAAGTAACAATGTGTGTGGACTTACAGTAATTTGAAAGATTCCCCATGTAAGATAAACATCCTTTTTGTTACCATCTAATTTATCTAAATGAAAACCAAGCGTTTCCACATACTCAGTTGCCACGTAAATCACTTTATCATTCTCAAAGCTGTCAAGAAATTGGAGAATCGAGGGATGTCGTAAGGTTTTTATCCTCTTGAGAGATGCTTTCGCTAGTTCCAATTTTGACTCTGTACCATTTTTAATCTCAAACGCAAAAATCGAGACCTGTTCGTCGGTGCCTTTTCTTTTACCCTTCTTTAAGCTCCATATACTTTTCTCTTCAAATCCTACAAATTAGAGTAGATTAATTGAAAAACTTGAGATCATCATTTTCCGATGGAAAACAATAAAAATATTGGAAAATTTTTTCACTTTAATTCAAATCAATTTCTTATATTCCACAACAAATACCTGTGACATTCTCGACAATCTCATAAGGAAAGTCTTTTGAAGTGTCTCGAGAAAAGAATGACCACATTATGACATTTAATCCAGATATCTGTTTTTAAACTGAAAGAAATTAAATCTTTTTCTTCCAACTTTTTTTTATAAATTTTTCTTAATGATAATCCCTTATGCTGACTTCATGCTGAACTTTTAGCGACTGACTTGATTTATACTATTTTTAATTTCTATGGACTTAGTTGTTTTATGCTGTAAGAGAATTAATATAGGTTTAATTAATGTCGCATTGAAATTTAAAAATATACTGGTCAGTTGGAATTTGAAATTCTGACGAAATTTGTGTAAAAATTGACATTGTCAGTGATTTCCTCAGTTTAACTTTCAAATTTATTTTTTCCGTTAGACATAATATAAAGTCTTGGTTCATAAATGGCAATTTAAATGCTTAAGATTCAGTTACTATTGTTTAATCCGTCACCAGTAAATAATAAAATAAGGAAGACATATAATTCTTCAATGGACGTAAAAGTGGTGCATTTAATCTATACTACCAGATTTCCTATTCCTCTCTATTCTTAATATCAGTCTACATGTCTCATACACTAAGAGTATGTCATTAGACTGACTTTGTCGAAAAAGAAAGGAACTGAAAGTTATAAAAAAAAAAGATATGTGACATAAAACATAGTTGATAATTTTTTCACACTCACACGTAATAACAAATAAAGGCATACTGGATGTTCAGTAGGAACAAAAAAAAAATTGGCATGAAAAAATCATCAATTGGATATCTTTTTTAATTTTTTTTTATAACTTTGCATTCGGAACTCTGGTGGTTAATTGTCATAAGGACGATTGCTTGTCGAATCTCAGAGTCATCGAGTTGCTATTTCCAGGCTCGTCAAAGTACCCAATACTTCTGTAAAAAGGAATGAGCTTATCCTTACATTCGAGACTCATTTTATAACATCCAAGATGTTCAGCTAGTGACGTTACAGTCACAACTATCAATTTTCCTAACTGCTTGCCACGATAAGTATCATCAACGACTACGTCTTCAAGATGGGCTCTATTGCCACACGAATGGATGAATTTCCTCTCAATCACTAATGTAGCACTTCCAATAATCTTGTTCTTCCTCAGATCTTCAATGACAGTCACATAATAATCTCCTTTTGCACGCATTTCCGCAAATCGATCTATATGCGAAATTCAAGTTTAATTAATGCTTATGCAATAAAATTTTTTCTTGATGTGTGCACTTACTTAGAAACTGCACTTCCGATATTTCACCAATACTGGTTAATTGGGAAAGGCTTTGTAGAAAGCCACGACGATAATCGCCACTCTAAATTACAGCAATTAAGTAATGGAATTTTTATTAGGAAATAGTAGGGTTTGGGGAACCTGTTAACAGAAAACAGCTATTTTCCGACAAAAATCTGTCAACAGAAAACAGGTCTCAAAAACAGATCTGTTTTCGGTTTTTCATTTTTACATATAATTTGCAGAAAAAAAAATTTCTTAATTTTTTGAAGAACTTAATATATTTTTCTAGCATTCCAAATTGAAATGTATTTACTATTTTAATATTTTTTGGATGTTTAATAGCTTTGAAATCATTGTCAAATTTATGATTAATCATTATTAATTTTGCAATCGAAATTTTAAAATTATTGAACCTTTTGTAGCATTTACTAAAGTTCAAAAATATAATCAACAATTTTACAAGATATTTTTTTATCCAGAAAGATTTTTTTGAATATTTCAAATAAAATATTAGAGTTTATGGAATTTTTGCAATGCAGCAATGCAATGTTTCTTAAAAGTATAAATATTTTTTTTTTGAATATTTATATTTCATTATATTTTATAGAGATAATTAACGAAAAATTAAGAAATAATAATGCTTAGCTCTAAAATGTATGCTTAACTGCTTATAACCACCAAAAAGTTTCATTATCTTAGAGAAACACTTAGGATAACTCAGTTTATTTTGAAATCTAGAAAAACAGGAAAACAGCTGTTTTTAAAAATCAAAAACCGAAAACAGACTGTTTTTCAAAAACAGCTGTTTTTCACAAACTCTAGCAAAAAGTATTCAACTTACTTTGAGTGGACGAACTTTCAGCCATGATTCACCTGGTGCCACGCATGAGATTTGTGGATTGAACTTTGCAGGTGACCGAAAAAAGTCAAGTTGAAGTAGCAACGACGGGTCATAAAGATAGATTTCCTGTTCCTGTTAAAATGTCAAAAAGCCGGTTTTTAAACGAAAATCAAGTTATGTATTCATGATAGTGAATGAATTTTAAATGGGACATTAATCTCTAAAATATGTGCTTCTGGGTCTTACTCAATGGTCTATTTCTTCAGAGGATTTCCAACAGCAGTGGAAATCTATTCAACTGCTGATGAAAACCAGTGTAAAATTGAAACAATTTTTTTAAAATCAGACCTTCCCAAGATCCAGTTGAGATACTTTCACAAAGAAAGTCGATTTTTCATGCCTGAATAGATCGAGGGAAGTAAGAAAAGTGCAATTGAACAATGAGTTATGTTGTCAGCATGTAGGAGAAAAAGTGAAAGGAACAGTTCTTGTGTCAAATGCATTTTAAAACAAAATTATAGAGCAAGGTCATGGTTTTTATAGTCAGGAAATGTTTGAGTGCTTTGTTTACACATACACAAGACAAAAACTTCGAGATAAGGTCAAACCAGAAAGGAGAGTTTTCAAGGAATGTCGACGTATTCAAAATATACTTGCCTCTTTACTTGCCATTCTATCAGATCCACTAATAACAGACGACTCAAATAAACCGAATACAGAATCCAGTTTAAAAAGCTTCTTTTATATCCAGCAGACTTTTAAATACTGACTGAATTCAGTATTTCTAAAACTTGTTTTGGTTCACGGCACACTTTTCTGCTTTAATTTTTTGCGAAACACTTGGTATTTTTTCACGGCACAGTCTAGTGTACAGCGGCACACAGTTTGAGAACCACTTTTTGCTCAGTTTATAGCGTATTTTCCTAAGCAAACAATCATTTAAAGGCCCATTTTGACTTGCTTGCTGCCTTTAAAAACTCGGAACTGGTAGCACTTAGACACTTTAAGCTTTTGCATTCGATACACATATTTGTTTTTCTTAATTCCTTTCTTTTGTGGTACAGATAATTGAGGTTGGATTAGGAAATGAATTTAAATTTTAAAAAAACGTTAATTTTTTGAATCAGATTACTTCTTTTATAGCTTGGATGCAGTGTTGCAAATGTAGATGTCTACACTAGAGGAAAAATGAAGATTCTTTCCTAGAATTTATGTAACGCAGACACAATCTTTAGATAGATCAATTCTTTGCGTTCTTCTTTATGTTACAACTCACAACCCCCCATCCCCCCACCCCCCCCCCCCCCCCTTAACGTTCACAATTTATTTTATTTTGATAATTTTTTAAAAAAATGTTTTTGGTGTGAATTTGTAAACAAGTTAGAACGTTACATACTTCTTGATGTATTCCTATGTTACATGTTGCTACAATTTTTCAACCCCCCACCCCCACCCCCCCAGCTTAATTCTGATTTTAATGCGCTTATTTCACATCTGCAACGGAGAATTCTTTACTTGTTTATTTTCGTGGTGAATCAAAATATTGATTAATTATAGAATTATGCAGCTGGAACTAACCGATCAAATATTAAATTACATACAAGAACATGGAAAAGCAGACACGATTGACTTAGCTGCTCAGTTCAGTGAGGATCATCAGAAAATCATCGGTAATTATAAAACACATTTTATGTTTCATCATCAAAATTAATATTACTAAATCTACAGGCGCTCTTAAGAGTATTGAGGCTCACGGTGAGATTTTGTGTTCTGAAACAACATCGACGAAAGTTTGGGAAGTTACAGGCGAAGGAAATTATGTGATTGAACATGGCTCACATGAAGTTACTGTATTTAATGCAATTCCAGCTGACGGAATTTCTCAACCTGATCTGATGAAGGTAAGTTACATGATCAAGTCCTGTAAATGCATAAAATAATATTTAATTTAATTGTAGACATCACCAAACGCAAAAGTAGGATTCAGCAAAGCAATGTCTCAAGGATGGATATTGATTGACAAGTCAGGCAAAGTTCCACTAGTTCGTAGAAAAGTTGAGACTGTTGAGGATCTTGTGCAACAGCATTTAGTTGATATTGCAGCAGGAAAAGCAGTCAGCATTCTCGACAATATTAAGAATGACTATAAGAAGAGAAAGTTACTGTCTGAAAATACGATTAAAAGCTTCATAATCACTAAAGGACCAGACTTTACGACAACTTTAAAGAAACTTGAAACGGATTTAACGACTGAAATGTTAGCTTCTGGATCATGGAAAGATCTTAAATTCAAGGAATATAATTTTGAAGCATTAGGAGCACCGCCAAATGCTGGTTTCCAACATCCGTTGCTTAAAGTTCGTTCGGAAGTTACTGACATTTTTACTCAAATGGGTTTTGTAGAAATGCCTACGAATAACTTTGTTGAAGCTTCGTTCTGGAACTTTGATGCTTTATTTCAGCCACAAATGCATCCAGCAAGAGATGCTCAAGATACATTCTTCTTGTCAGATCCTGAAAAGAGCAATAAATTCCCACTTGATTATCTCGAAAGAGTAAAATCAGCACATGAAAATGGTGGAAATGGCTCAATTGGATATAGATATAAATGGAAAATTGAGGAAGCACAAAAGAATATTTTAAGAACTCACACTACAGGTGTCAGTGCCAGAATGCTCTATAAACTTGCTAATCAAGAAGGTGGTTTTAAGCCAGTCAAGTACTTTTCAATCGATAAAGTCTTTAGAAATGAAACACTTGATGCTACACATTTAGCAGAATTCCATCAAGTTGAGGGAGTTTTAGCTGGTGTAGATATAAGTCTTGGTGGACTTAAAGGCATCATTGCAGAATTCTTTGCAAAAATGGGATTAACAGAAGTACAATTTAAGCCTGCTTATAATCCATACACTGAACCGTCAATGGAAATTTTTGCATATCACAAAGGACTTGGCAAGTGGATTGAAATTGGAAATTCAGGCATGTTCAGACGAGAAATGTTGGATCCGATGAATATTCCACAAAATGTCAATGTCTACGGTTATGGATTGTCACTCGAGAGACCTACAATGATTAAGTATGGAATTAAGAATATCCGTGAATTAATTGGACCTAAGGTTGATCTTAAAATGGTACAGGAATCTGCTTTATGTCGACTCGATAAATAAAAATATAAATGCTTGTTCCTTACTTCCACTTATCGCTCTTTTTAATTTAATGAAATAAAAAAAGCTATAAAAATTTTTTATTGGATATCTTTTAGTACAATTGACTTAAACTATCATGCTTGCAGAACTTTTACTTCTCTTCAACCTTAATTACTTCAAATGTGTATCCATTATTCTGCAATTCTTTCAATAAACTAGTATTGCTGAAAGCAGCTGCTGGAGCAAAAACACCACCATTATTAGGCATCTTATCACTTTCCTTCAAAATAGTCTTGGCAGTCAAGACTAGAGCATCGCAGGTAGCTCCATATCCAGGATCCTTAGATGTTACTTTTGTAATAATTTTCTTGTTCATTGGAGCATCAAATTGATCAGTTGGTTCGCTTAGTTTTTCCTTCCATCCTTCACCAACAAAGTACATTCCTAAAATTGAATTTGCATTCTTCTCTTCTGATGGACCTTCGTGACTTACAGCACCAAATGTAAAGAATTTTGGATGATTCAATAGTAAACGTCTGCCAAATTCAGAACGTGCCAAAATTCCAAATATAAATCCGATGAAAATGGTTGTAGTTAAGGCAAAGAAGCTTCCAAATGAGATATAAGCTTGCATTTGGACTGGTCGTTTATTTTGTTCTTCAAAAAAGAATCTTTGTGAACGAGAAACAACAGATCTATCTGATCCCATGAACTGGATGCACCATTTATCTCCAATGACTGGCTGCTTATGTGCAAAAGGTTTGTTCTTAAGAGTTGGTGTAAATTTTGGAAGTCTGTTCTTAAACAATTGTCTTCTAATTCCGCCCAATTCATTTGCATGAGCATATCCATAAACTGCAGATTCATAAGTTCCATAATGAATGCTTGCTCCTGATGGCTTATATCCTTCAGTAAATCCCCAAGTTATGAAAGTCTCGACTGAATTCACTGTACCATTAAACTGTTCTTGTAAAAAGACAGTTCCCATATCTGCTGGAATGCTGTCAAATCCACAAGCTGACACAATGTAAATGCCTTTTTCACGAGCAGCATCATTATACTTTAATTGCATTGTTTCCATGTATTGAGGCTCGCCTGATACATCTACATGACTAGTAGAAGTTTCAACGCATGCCTTAACGACTTGTTCGCCATAGAATCTATATGGTCCACAGCAGTTAACCACCACTTTAGCTTGTGATGTCATTTCTTTCAATGACTTTTCATCATTAATATCTGCGATTATTATTGGAATGCTTGATAGTTCCTGATTAGTCTTTTTCTCGACTTCCTTTAATGTATCTTGTAACTTTTGCTTATTTCTTCCTGCAACACCCCACTTGTATCCCTTTAATATATTGATTGAGCTGATGATGGCATATTTTCCTGTATATCCACTAGCACCAAAAATGACGACATCTAATCTTTCAGCCATTTCTATTATCTCTTTATTGATAGATTAATCTAGAAAAATAAATGTTCTATAGCTTAATGGAAGTGACTATAAATATTATATTATGACTAATAAGCTAGAGTTCAGATATTCCCCTGATAACATGACATTACCAATAATTTATTCATAAAAAGTCAAGCTACATAAAAGTCACAATTTTGCTTTAATTTCATTGTTTTCAATGACTTCGAAAGTCACTCCGTTATCGTCTAATTTCTGGATTAATGATGTATTTTTAAAAGCTGCTGCGGGACTAAAAACACCTCCATTGTAAGGCATCTTATCACAATCATTTAAAATAGAAACAGCTGATAACAAAACAGCCTTTGAAGCAACTCCATATAGTGGATTAATGCACGTAACTTTACATGTCATTTTCTTATTGACTGGAATGTCAATATTAGTTACTGGATCATTAAAAGTTTCATTCCATCCTTCACCAATCAGAATTAGTTCAAAGACTGTATTGGCATTTTGTTCTTCGGATGGACCTTTGCGGCTTGTAAAACCGAAAGAAAAGAGCTCTGGATAATTCAAAAGAAGTTCCTTTCCACGCTTATACTTGATCATCTTGTTAAGTAATATCCCAGCACTGACAGTCTTCAAAGCAGTAGATAATGATGCAAATGTAGTGAATGTTCTGATCTGAATCGGTCGTTGCTTGTAATTTTCATAAAAGAATCTTTGTGACCGATTTATTACTGATTGATCAGCAGATGGAATCGACAGGCACCATTTAGAATTCAAGTCATCAGCCTTATGAAGTCCACTAATATTTTCAATGATTGGTTTTAATTTTGGAAGTTTTGTCTTGAACAATTCCTTCCTGACATCTTTTAACTGATCAGCATGTGACATTCCATGAATAGCAGATTCATAAGTTGCATAATTGACTATAGGGCCAAATGCTTCATAATCATTCAAATAACGTGCTTGAATGTATATTTTAATAGAATTTACCGTTCCTTTAAAATTGTCTTGAAGACAAACAGTTCCTAAATCAGCAGGAACGCTATCGAAACCACATCCAGTGACTATATAAACCCCATTTTCAAGTGCTTTTAGATGATACTTAAGTTGCATTGATTCCATATATTGGGGCTCGCCTGATACATCTACATGATGCGTGAAAGTTTCTATACAAGCTTTAACGACTTGTTCACCAAAAAATCTGTATGGTCCACAACAATTAACAACTACTTTAGTCTGCATGGTCATATTTTTTAACGACTTTTCATCATTAATATCTGCTATGATAATTGGAATGTCTGACAAACTTTCGCAACAGTAAATTTCTGCTGCCTTAATTGCTTCAATTAATTTCTTTTCGTTTCTTCCAGATACTGCCCATTTATATCCACTTAACAGTTTAACTGCTTCCCTAATCACATACTTTCCAGTATATCCACTAGCACCAAATATAATTACATCGAATTTCTTATCCATTCTTGAAATAATTTTAATTCAATTGACTTTATGGACTTTGGATCTTTTTGGTTATCAGAAGAATGCCGAAAAACAGTAATTCTAATCAAAATTCGTGATATTTGAAGCTCTTACTTTAGTTAAACGTCTTTACTGAATGCTATAACTCACCTTAATGTTAATTATCCAGTTTTATATCACAGAAATTGTGGATTAATTGAATTGGAGATGTTTTCTGATCAAAATAGAAAATTGAAATGAAAATGCACGAAAATCCAGTTTCACTTATTTGAAATAGACCGTCCGTTACTCGAGCGTTGCAGATAAGAATTAAAAAATTCGCCTATAATTAAGCAAGTAATTCGGAATGTAATGATGTAAAGACGTCATATTTGAGTGATATATTAAGACAAGGAAGTAACTTGGCACTGACACTTCTGCATTAATTAATTATAATTAATTTAAGCTTTTTGGTTTTGACGCAACGACTTTTACACGACATACCAATGGTTCTTAATCTTTGTTTCGCGGCACACTCAAATTTTCATTAAGTAAACATTGTATTTATAAACTCTCCCTTTTCGCTCATCGTCTGCTGACTTTAGGATCCAGACTTAGTCATATTATGCTCGAAATTATAACTATAGCTTACTAAGGTGTCGTGGACCAAGGATTGAACAGCACTTTAGTAAACAAAAACTGGTTTGTTTACATGATATTGAGTAAAAATGTTGAGGAATTTAAATAAAATAATTAAAGCACAGCATTTAACAGCTATTTCAAGATGTTACAATACAAAGGCTGAACAGAGCACAGAATATACTCATTTTGGTTACGAGACAGTGGAAACAGACAAGAAAACAGGAAAAGGTAAGAATTTTAAGTTATTACTTTAATTAATTATGTAAATCAATATAATTTTAGTGCATAAAGTATTTGAGGATGTAGCTGCAAAGTATGACATTATGAATGATGCCATGTCACTAGGTATTCATCGAGTATGGAAGGACATTTTCGTAAATAATATGTATCCAACATTAGGAACTGTAAGTTTGATTCAGTTTAATTAACAGCCATCTGATCTCGATTTCCATAACAGAAACTGCTGGATGTTGCTGGAGGAACTGGTGACATTGCATTCAGGTACATTAATTACATCAACAAGCTCGCGAAATTGAATCCAGAAGCACCAAAAAAGAGTGCTGTTACAATATTGGATATTAATCAACACATGCTTGATGTTGGAATTAGCAGAGCTGAGAAGCTTAACTATAAAACAAATGATATCATGGATGTAAATTGGGTCTGTGGAAATGCCGAAGAACTTCCAATTGAGGATAATCAGTTTACGGTCTATACAATAGCTTTTGGAATAAGAAATGTTACACACATTGATAAGGCATTAAAGGAAGCATATAGAGTATTAAAACCCGGTGGAAGATTTATGTGCTTAGAGTTCAGTCATATTGAAAGCAGTCAGTTACTTCAATGGTAATGTTCTACGTTTATTTATTTAATTATGGGCTTACTAGCTATCATTGCAGGATCTACGACCAGTATTCATTTCAAGTGATTCCTCCAATGGGTCAAGTCTTGGCTGCAAATTGGGATGCATATCAGTACTTAGTTGAGAGTATTAGGAAATTCCCGAAACAACCTGATTTTAAAAGAATGATTGAAGATGCTGGATTTAAATGTGTCACTTATGAAAACCTCACCTTCGGTGTATGTGCTATACATTCAGGAATTAAGTTATAGGTATTTGTGTAGTAGAAAATGTAAAATTAACGGTCATTAAAAATTTAAAAACTGAGCACTGATTTTGTCACTAAATCATCAGAAATCCTCAGCTGGATCTGCCTAGTTAAAGAGGTGGGTAATCTTTTTTAAGACAAGACACAATTTTGTAGTAAGCCAACATAGAAACCGCACACGACATACGGTTCGTTAAATTTCTCAATATTTTTCCCGACACAGCTAGTGTGCCGTGGCACATGGGTTTTCCATCACTGGCCTAGTTGCTCACTTAATCATGATCGAAGGTAAATTTTTATAAAAATAAATTCATGTTTATCTAGTTAATTAACGATGTTACAACTTTCAGAAGTAAATGATTCGTCGACTAAGCTTCAAAATCATCTGAAACTGCTGAAGAATGAATACTCAAAGCTTCAGAAATCGCATACGGACTTGCAGAAAAAGTTTAATGAATTAGAGGCAACAAATGGAACATCTGGAAATGATAGTTCCTTCAATTCTAGACTTGTCGTTATCGTTGCATCACTTTATGGACGTAAAACATACTCAGATCTGAGTATTAAACTCAAAGATAAGACAGTTCCAGCACATAAATTCGTATTAAATGCTCGGTAAAGGAACTTGCTTACAATTTCTTATCGTGACTTAATTCTTACAAAAAATGTATATTTTAATTTCCTTAGATCAGAAGAGTGGCGTGAAGAAGTTTTAGCGAATGTCACGGAACTAGATTGGTCATTTTTAGATAGTAGTGCTGCCGATGCTCTTTTGCGATGGATTTACACAGACATTGTCGATTTGAATCAACAAGACTCATTATCTATGAACTTGTTAAAAGCCGCACATAAATTTAAGCTAAATGGACTAATGGGTATGCATTACAAGCATGTGAATATAGAAAGTGTCTTATAGAGTGATGTGTGTATATAAATTTAAATTTAATTAGGTTTATGTGAAAGAGCATTAATGGCAACAGCCAACGTTCGTTCATGTGTATCATTTTATTGTGTCGCTGAAGAAGTTGGTGCATCAAATTTAATTGAATATTGTTCATCACTCATCTCAATTCATTGGGATGAACTGCTTGCGAAAGATTTCGAGAACATGTCAGAGACATTGCTGTATAAAATGTTGAAATCCAAAACGAAATTCCCACTACATTCAGCGATTCGACTAAAGCGTGAAGATGTCGTGTTTTTGTGCTTAGTGGATAATGAAGGAACGGTAAGTGCCATTAAAATTACAAACTATGTATGTAGTTATTTTATTTTTTTATGATTTATGTTACGTACTCTTCGTAAAATGAATCAAACTTAACGTTTTTTATTTTATATATATCACAAAAATTTCTTCATACATTTAAAATGTGTGTGTTTTTGGGAGTATTCTTCTTGTTTTGACGCATATCCATAAATTTGCATACTTAAATAGGAAAAAATTTAATTAAATTACATTTATAATTTTTGGACTGAACCTGTAAAAACTAAGTTATAAATAATCCATGCTACGAAAATATTTCACTAAATTATATACAACGATGATACTCATCGTGTCAATTCCACTAATAAGGTATGGATTTGTCTCTAGTTTTCCTACTGAATTACACAGATTTCCACGGCAGTGACAATATTCTGATCCTTCTTTCTGCTTTAAACAGCCTTCAGTGTACGGTTCTTCTACAGTCACTTCTTTCACCCACTTATTTTGAACGTAGTTCTAAAGGAAGTGATGTTTATAATTAAATTTTCTGTTTAGACATAAAATCATAAAAAAATGAGACCAACCATATAGTCGTATTTCTGCTGAGCACATCCTCTCTCAGTCGTTTCTTGTATTGTTCCGTCCAATAACTGAAGACGGTATGTCTTTTTCATGCACATTGTTGAATATGGACAGTCCACTTCATAGTCTCTAGACTCGTCAAATCTCGTACATGGCTTGTCTATTGTTCTATTTGCTGTTCGCTTTGGTTGCACGAAACATTCGTAGCACTTGATTGCACCATTTGTTTTATCTGGAAGGGATTCATATGTTATAATTTTTGGGTCATAAATGATGCACAACTTGTTCTGATAATCGTTTTCATACAAAAAATACACTTTTGTGACAGAAACAAAAGTTCTTACAAGTAATTCCATTACGGATCATATATGCTGCAGTTAAGTGCTAGTAACATCAAAACTCAATTTCCAATAATCCAGAACTAAAAGAACAGTCGAGCCAATGACTCATTTAGCATAAATCAAAGCTTTTCTCATTTCCTCAATTCCTTCCGTCATTCATAATCGAAGAGCATTGTAGAAATTATGCATTAATCATGTGCAATGATAACGTGAGAGTATGAATAACGTCTACGATAAAATGATTGTACAATGGCCATAGATAATGCAATATTGTGAGAGTAACAGCATTAAAACAAAAAAGGATAGCGGAAATCACTTATCAGACCTATTCTAATAAGATTTTATTAAGTGCACTTGACGTTTACAATTTATTGGATATGAATGTAAAGATGAATGAATGCACAATGTAACAATAACCGAGCGCTTAAACGGTTTACTCGTAATTTTCAATAATCATCGCTTAAATTACGCCCATTTTACTAAATTATATTCAACAAAGATATTTAACGCTATTGCTACATGCTTGTATATTTTCAATGATCCGTAGAACGGCACTTTTTGAGGAAAACACTTTAAAATGCTCTCATTCATCTTCCATATGAGTCATGACTGCTTGCGGCATTAAAACATGTGTTCCAATCCATTCATCTCGCAAAAATGTGTGATTTTTTAATTCTCTTCCTCACAAAGGCACTTTCGCCTTAAAGGTTTTCCGTTCATTCAGTTCATTGACCACCAACGCGCGTTAGAACTTATTTCCTTCAAAATCTATTTTAATATTCTTAACGGAAAGCTTTAAAGTGCATTGAAAATATAAATTTAAATCAAGTGTGACAGCAATCAGCTTATAAAGACTTTTGGATGACAAGAAAAAACTTGAATGCAAATTATTATTGTTGGATAGACGATAAATATTGATTTTTTAGCAGCAAACAATATTTGAGTAAAGTGCTGTGGAAATGAGAGAAAAATGTATATATTTGTTGACGATAGATAGATTCGAGAGTATGGGGTGAGAATCTGGGTAACAAGGTCGTTTGTCTTGTTGCACTTTCGATTAAATTGTATGCTTCATACTCCTTACTTTCAATTTAATTTGTTTCAAATGAGAGCAAATAAAAAACGCATAAACAGCACTTTTTTTAATCGTTTAAATCCGCTAAATCTGATTTACAGCTTTTCCATGAATAATCCACAACAACATCATCTAAGTAGCAACAACTCGAAAGAAAATGAATATGAGTGATATTTTTAATTTAACACAGAAGATAAAAGATGTGATTGAGTCTGACGATGTTTCTTTGAACATGAAAATAAGTGATAATTAATTGAATGGCGACGATGAGCAACACGCTTTTCTCGGAATTTTATCAAAAGATATAAGAATCGGTGTGTTGCTTGAAATTCTTGTGAATGATTTTTTAACGGTTGGTTGAGATTTGCTAAACTGAAATGAAACAAACTGTCAAAATTGCTGTACAGAATTTTCAAAAAATTCGTTAATCAACAGCTAAATTTGTCACTCGAAAGCTTGTCAAATTACTCAAAAGGTATCCATGGTTCAACAAAAAAATTCACACAAATTCTTATCAAAACACAGTCATGACTCATGACTCAAAATAAAATCCATCGATCGAATGTTGCCAAAAAAAAAAAATTCAGTAATTTCCAGAAATATCATTAAATCAGTCACGGAAAGATTTAAACTTTCTAAATAGCAGACTCAATTCGATCTTAAACACTTCTTACTGCATTGCAAAAAAAAATATAAAGATTGTTTAAAAAATTTGTGAAAAAAATGTTAACAAAAATATAAAAAAGAGAGGAAGAGAGACTTGGATATACACTTAACATACTTAAGTGCGTTCATATTGCGATTGAGATGAGCAGTGTGTGGCAGAATTGAACCATGAAAAATAAAAAGAAAAAGACGATCGCAAAGAAAATATTCAAGTTTAACGGGTCAACAGGTAGAAAGAAGCTTCAAATATGTGAATATAGTTTTCGGAAGTTTGCAGCTATTCATACCAACGACTGTCATTTTAAAAATAAAAACCAAGAACGTCTTCTTTTTATTTTGCACGACTCTGTTCTGCATATTTAATTTAATTTACCTATTAAAATAACGATGAATGTTAACCATATCGATAAGATTGTCAGCAACTTGTTCATTTTTGTACGCGATGTTAATACTCTTGTGTATGACAAAAAATAAGTATGGGGCGTCAAAAATCCTTTATCCTCTTTTTTTTTTTGTATTACTTGGGTGGATGAATCATGTGAAGTGTAATAAAATTTACTCGAAAGTACGGAGTGGCTCGTCGTAGAAATACCAGCGTGTGTCACTGAGTTTCTATCACACGAATATCACAATTTTATTAATTTATTCCTTTCTCGCTAATTTTACTTTTTTACTAATGAAAAATTTTTCTACGAACTTAATTGACTAACTTTGAGTCGCTTTATCAGGTTGTGACTGTTAATAATCAACTCATAACGTAGTTTTGGAATTGAACAATATTATTGTGAAACACGATTCTATTATCTTTGATGCCATTTAGGACTAATTAATATTAAATTTAATTAAAGCTATCTTGCTTGTACAATGTCCGAAATACAACTGACTGGATGGATGAGAAAATTTTTATTTATTTACACAGAGATTCTCTCGATTTGCGGAATTGAATCTCTGAGAAATTGAAAAATGCGAGCATAAAAGTATTTTTCATAATTTTATTTCTCTTTTCTTTTCTCGCATTACTTAGGATATCGTTAACAGCTTATCGCCGCAAGGTAAGTGTCTACATACTTGAAATGCCATGGGTTACTCGTGATCAGCTAAAGCGCTTTATTCTAAGGGATTTTGAAATTTGTGGGATAAAAAAATTATAATTTAAACTTTAAAACATGATGACCTATTTATAGCAACTGACATCAGACAAATAGTAGACAATGACCTTCATTCCCTTTAGAATCGTGCGCTGAAAATAATAGTGAAATATGAATATTTCGTCAAGTTAAAGTTATTTTTATAATTTATGGTGCAAAGGTGTTCTGCCACTTCAATTAGCATTGATCGAGCAAAATGTAGGAATAGCGAATACATTAATCAACGGAAATGCCAACATTAATGCTACTAATGCTGAGGGATCTACACTTTTAATTGATGCTGTTAAAAGAAGTGATGGATTTTCTGCAAAGTTCCTTTTGGAACAAAATTGTGATGTCAATTTAACGACGAAAGATACTGGCGATATGGCTTTACACATAATTTGTACGTACTCAAAAGACACAGCATCAAATTTGACATACAAGGAGATGCTTGATATTGGAAAGAGCATTTTAAATAGAAAGGATCTTGAAGTTAACAAGCAGAATGTGCGAGGATATTCGCCATTACATTTAGCAATCATTTCCGGACATCTCGATATGATTGATGAATTAATGAAGAATGAAGGAATTGACCTTAATTTGTTAACAAATGATGGCAAGTGTGCCTTACTTCTTGCACTTTTATCTCATCAGTTTACTGACTTTACTGTTGCAAAGCGTCTTATTGACAATGGTGCACAGACAAATAATATCGACGAAAATGGGGACAATATTTTACAGTTTTTGATAAAAGCTGGCAAGGGAGATGTTGCCGTTTTCATATGCGAATATGTTGATTTGAATTATAAGAACTACGATAATTTATCAGCATTGCATTTAGCTGCTAAATTAGATTTAGTTAATGTCGTCAAGAAACTCCTTTCGTGCGGTGCTTCACCAAATTTACAAACAGGAATTGAGGAAATGAAGACATCTCTTCATTATGCCATCGAATCTAATAACATGGATATCGTTCAAGCCTTTGTTGACTTTAAACCTAATGACCATGCTGAAAAGCCTGATTTTAATATTCGATGTTTTAATGGAGACACACCTTTGAGTCTAGCATTAAGCTTGAAACATAACGACTTGGTTCCCGTTCTCATTAAAGGTAAATATTTACTATGCTGTCTTTTATGCATGTCAATGCTGGGGGTCCTCGATTTGAGTGGTTGTTTTGTTTCAAAAAATTTCTACTCAAATCGAGGCAAAGAATCCATACAAAATCGAATGTTTTGTTCCAGAGTCGAAAAAAAGTATCAAAACAATGAAAATTTTGATAATTATTTTGCAAACTTTCCCTCGTTTCTTAACTTTTCTTTTGTGATTTTAATAGAAATTCACAAAAAAATGTTTTTTAAACAAAATAAAAATATGAGAACCTTGCAAATGTTATTTCACTGAACAATTTGTAAGGTTTTTGAATTTGAACTTTTTAAAACCGTTAATTTTATATCGATTTTGTAAGTTTTTATCAAAAATATTTGTTTTGTAAATAATTCAAATCGAAAAAAAAGAAAGAAATCTACTCAAATCGAATATTCTGGTGGGTAAAAAATTTTCTATTCAAATCGAATCTACTCAAATCGAGGACCCCCCAGTAGCTTGATTAATACTGAAGGTCCTCGATTTGAGTAGATTCGATTTGAATAGAAATATTTTTACCTCCCAAAATTTTCAAATTGAGTAGATTTCTTGTTTTCTTCAAATTGAATTGTTTACAAAACAAATGTTTTTGACAAAAACTTTTCAGAAAATATTTTTAAACATAAATTTTAATGCAATAATCGTGAACTAATCATATTGATAGAAAAATCAATAATAAAATTACAAAATCGGTATAAAAATAACGGTTTTAAAAAGTTCAAATTTCAAAACCTTACCAATTGTTCGGTTGAAATAACATTTGTAAGGTTCTCATATTTTTGATTTGTTGAAAAAACCAGAGCTGCGAAACAGGCACCTGTGACAGGTGAGAACCCTACAATTCCTTGATAATTTATAAGGTTTTTCTAACAAAACCATACAAATTACCAAGGAATTGAAAGGTTCTCACCTGTCACAGGTGACCTGTTTCGCAACTCTGGAAAAAACATATTTTTTAGTGAATTTCTGTTAAAATTACATATGAATATGCTTTAAAATAAATTAAGTTATCTAAAACACAAAAGAAAAGTTAAGAAAAAAGGTAAAATTTGCAAAAAATTATAAAAATTTTCATTGTTTTGATACATTTTTTGGACTCTGGAACAAAACATGTGATTTTGTATGGATTCCTTGCCTCGATTTGAATAGATTCGATTTGAGTAGAAAATTTTCGGAACAAAATAGCTACTCAAATCGAGGACCCCCAGTAGCTTGATTAAAGAGTAAATTCTAGACTTCATTTCAATTCAGTTCAGTTTGAATCTTTAAAAAGAGTTATAATTTGAATTTTTTAAATCAGTTAAAATTTAATTTATTCTAAATTTCCATCAATTTAGGTGGAAGTGACGTAAATGCGAGAAACGGAGAATTAACACTTTTGCATCAAGCCATCCTTAAAGAATCAGCTGAGACAGCAATATTCCTGCTGGAACAAGGAGCTGATTTCAATGCGTTAACAGGGGAACAAGAATGTCCACTGGAATTAGCAATTCACTGTAGATTAGAGTCAGTAGTCGAGGCATTGTGTGCAAAAGGAGTTGCATTATCGTCACCAAATATTTTATGGTCAGCACTGGAGACAGAGCAAGAGAATATTGCAAGTATTTTAGTTAAACATGGAATTGACACAGATTGTTGGGCAATTGGAAATGATGGAATGCTTCAAACACTTTTACATCGTGCAATAGATGAACAGAATGAATATGCTGCAATATTTTTGATAAGAAGCGGATGTGATTTAGATTCGTCGCGTCAACCACCCAATAGTGACGTATCACCGACAACAAAAGAATCTCCTTTACACATGTGCTGTATACATGGCTTATCAAAAGTCGTTCAGACATTAATCGAACATGGTGCAAATATAAATTCAATAACTCATGAAAATAAGACCCCATTACATTTAGCCATAGAGAATCAGCACGAACAAATTATTACGATACTTTTAAGACATCCAAATATCGATATGAAGATCAGAGATAAGCTTGGAAATACACCGTTCGCAACGGCATTAACAGTTAGGAATCATAAAGCAGCAGAAAAAATTCTCGATCGTATGCCTACTGCTGCAGAGCAAACTGATTCTAGAGGACGTAATTTCCTTCATTTAGCCATTATGAGAGAAGATTTAGAGTCTGTGCTGTTTTTATTGTCTATTCAAGTTGATGTAAATAGTCGTGTCCATGATGTCAATCAAATAACGCCTTTAATGTTAGCTTCTCAGTCTGAGAATGAGATGCTTATTAGGAATTTAATATTAGCTGGAGCTCGCCTTAATGATAAGGATTCGACACAAAAAACAGCGCTTCACATTGCTGCCGAACGTGGAAAATTATGTGCAGTACAAGCTTTAATTCAAAATGGATGCGATTATGATGTCGTTGATGTTGAAGGAAATAATGCCTTGCACATTTCAATGCGCGAATGCATGTTGCCAATTGTTCGTGAGCTTTTAACAGAATCGAGGATTAATGCTGAAGTTTTAAACATGAAAGGACGAAATCCTTTACATGAACTTTGTCGTTGTGGACGTGAGGCTGTTGCAGCTTCAATTTGTGAGCTATTTGTTGAATGTATGCCAAATTATCCAATTAATCAGCCTGATATTCTTGGAAATACACCATTATTGTTGGCTTATATGAGAGGCGAGACACAGTTATGTCGAGTATTAGTAAAAAGTGGCGCATGCTTAGGTGCTGAAAATAAGGATGGTGTATCAATCTTTAATTATAAATTGGCAACAAATCAGCTTTTGTATCGTCTGCTTGATGAGCTTTCTGTTGAGTCGCCTTGGGCCTCGTCTGATTTTTGTCAAGAATGCGCAACTAAGTTCTCATTGACCATGAGGAAGCACCATTGGTAAGCTATATGCAGGACATATTAATTAGTACTTATTTTATATTTTATTCCTTAGTCGCCACTGTGGACGACAGATTTGCTCACAATGTAGTAACAATGATGTTCCGATAATTAAATTCGGAATTAATAAGCCTGTTCGTGTTTGCCGTATTTGTTTCGATGTCCTGCAAGTTGGAAGTAATTGATCATTCATGGATTAAACACAATTCCTTCATTATTAATTATATTATCTAAGCTATTAGATGTGCTATTTTCTACATACATACATACTTGTAATGACTTTAAGAATTTATTTTATTCAATCATTTACTATGTGATTTAATTACAATATATTTTATTGCATTACACCAACAAACTGGATATATATTGTTTTTTTTTGTTATGTAGACGAGAGAAATAAAACATTAATTAACTTTCGTTTTTAACACTAAACTGTTTTTATTTAACCAATTGATTTTCAAGCTTCATAATTCCCAATTAATGAATCGGATCTTCTTTAATTTAAAGGAATTTACTTTAAGTGAGACAAAAGAGTCTTGGAGACGCAATGATCAAGATGATGCAAGTAGTCGAATAATTCTTCAGTGCATGTTTCTGCTGTCTTGCTTCTAGAATTGACACGATCATTGCAATCTTGGTATCTCTTGAACAGGTGAGCAGTATGATGTTCTTGCTGGCATTTTTCCTACAATTAAGCAAGCAGAACAAGAGTTTAATCAGACAGGTTTCTGGACCTTTCAGTCGGTTCCAAAATTATTTACTGGATCATTTAGAAACCACTTAATTCTCATTGTAGCTTATACTTTAATTTACAGTTAAGCTAATGAATAGCTAATCACAAGGAATTCTTTAATAATGAGACGACACAAAAGGTTGTCATACGATTTTCACAAAAAATGAAGGAACGAACCAAAAAACGACGTTTTTCTACTTACTCTAAGGACAGTTTGTGGATCAACCAAGTCCTCCTCTTGGGCGTTGACTTTAGGAAGTAAAGACTTGAAGAATTTTAATGCCATTGCGTCTAAATAGCTGATTTAATTAGAATTTTCCGATAAATAAATTGTGTAACAATCCAAAAAAGTCAGTTCAGTAATCTCGACTTCATTTCAGTTCAGTAGTCTCGACTTCATTTCCAGTCAGTTCAATTTGAATTAAAATGAAACCGTTAAAATTAAGGTTTGTTAATAATTTTATTTTTCATTTTTAAAGCGTTTAAACATGAGCTGCTGTATTCCAGCCTAATAAATGTATTGTTGAGAAGTTGACTTCCTTTGTATTTTGACGGATGGTTTCAATGCTCTGAATGTATGAATACCATCTTGAAAGATTGAGATATGATTCCTTTTCCAATGGGCTTAATTGTAGCATAATATCGTTTAATGAATAAAAGACGACCAAGTCAGCGAGTGATATTCTTTGTCCGATAAGGTATGAGCGACTTTCCAAGTATGAATTCAATTCAAGGCATGCAGCGTCTGAAAAAATCGATAAACTTAATGAATAGATTTTGGTTAATTAAGGTATTTGCCTTACATTTATCTCTCTTTGACGTACTTCTAATGAACAAGTTTGCAAAATCAAAGAATTGCTTTGTCTGATAAAAGTCCTGGACATGCTGATTGTCTTTCTTTTGCACTTCATTATGAAAATAGTTTAAAATTGATGAAAATCCAATAATCTTTTCATTTGCATTGATATTCATCTGAATTATGTTATCCTCAGTATAGCTAAGCTTTCCTTTAATTGGGAACTTGAGGTAATTAGCTACTCTAGTGATCTCCGTTTCCACCGTCATTTTTAAAGACTTTTATTTAATTTATTTTCAATTTTTTCCAAAATTGTCTCTACACACGGCAATATTTCAAGCTAATAGAGCACATCAAATGCCGACACATCGATCAAATAGCGTTTCTAAAGTTCCAGTTCGGTAAACTCACTAGAAATTCACGGTATGAAAATGTTTACTGGATCTTTAGAAACCCTAAAAGAGAGAGGATAGAGAGCATATGAAAAAGTCATTTTTTAATTTTTAATAGAAACAGTAAACGAATTTAATTAAATATTTTATAAATGGGTTCCTGGGAAGATTTTTACGCATCTCACCTGCCACCTACTGATTTTGAGGATAATAGACAGCTGTAAGATGAACAAAGCTTTATATACCAATTTTGGGTCCTATAATAAAATTAATTAAATATTTAAAATGTACAGGTTGAAGCAATTTTGCGAACATCATATAAAAGATGAGAATCAGAACATCGTCCTTGTAACATCAGGAGGTAAGTGGACATTAGAATCATCATAAAAATCAATTTACGTTCTTATAAGAAATTCAGAGCTAAAAGTCCATAGCAATAATAATCAATATTCTTCTTTGGGGCTACCTACACCTTGTTACGTCTGTGGTTGTTGGGGGGGGGGGTCAATAATCGATACTAATCAATATCCTTTATTTTCTACCCCTTTTAGGTACAATTGCACCTCTAGAGCACAACACAGTCCGATTTGTCGATAATTTCTCTGCAGGAAGTCGAGGAAGTAGTTCAGCCGAGTATTTCCTTCAAAACAATTATGCTGTCATTTTTCTCTTCCGTACTAAATCCCTTGAACCGTTTACAAGACACTTTAGTGGCCAACAATTTCTGGACATGCTCGAAATAAGCGATAATAACGAGAATTCCAATATCAACGTGAGTACTTCAATTACTTCATGCTCTGGATCTCATAATAGCTTATTGTTTTACAGGTCCGACCAGATTCAGTTGACGTGCTCCTTCCGATTCTAACGAAATACAAAACCGCACAAGAATCCAACCGTTTATTGTACATCAACTTTACAAGTGTTAGTGACTACTTATGGCTGCTTCGAGCAGCATGTGAAGCTTTAGCTCCATTCGAGAGACGTGCATTATTGTACTTAGCAGCGGCTGTATCCGATTTTTACGTGCCACAAGATGACATGCCAAAGCACAAGATTCAGTCAGGCGCTACACCAAAAATATCCTTACAATTAGTACCAAAAATCTTGAAGCCATTAGTTTCCACTTGGGTAAGTTTGTGGAATTCCCCAAAATAATCTATGACTCATGGACATTTTTTTAGGTACCGAATGCATTTGTGGTTTCATTCAAATTAGAGACTGACGATTCGTTGCTCATTGCCAAGTCGAGAGAGAGTCTAATGAAATATAATCATAAGCTGGTCATTGCGAATATTTTGCAGACAAGACGACATCGAGTTGTTCTTGTCACGCCAACCACTTCTGAAGAAATACTTATGACAAAGGAACAAGCACATTCAGGTTTGGAGATTGAGGAACCGATTGTCAGTGAAGTCTGCAAGAGACATGAAGAATTCTTAGCTGGTGCTGAACAATGACAGTTTGATATGAGACAACGTCCTAGTTTTCAAGTAGATTGTCCAACACAAAAACCTCATTTTTGTAAGCTTTTAAAACCACGTGGATTTTCTGGCCGTAAATATTCATAAGGTGGAACTCTGTTGAGGGGTGGAGCCAGTGTTAGTATCCAAATTTTAAACCCCTCATTTTTCTGGCTCTACCACTACTCCTATTTTAGATTCATTCCAAAGCACAAGAATATGCTCATTATTATACTTTTTTTTTGGCATGACTGTATACTGATTAGCTTATAAATTATTTTAAATACGAGATTTGTGTCTTCATAATGTCCTCCAAAGAATTAAAGCAAATGTTAACATTTAGAGAAACCAGAACAATAGATAAACGTTGTAAAAGTATCGAGCTTGTTGTTAGATAACAAAAGCACATAATTTCCTGTTCCTCAATTTCTTGCCAATTTATATTGATACTTAATCGACATTTAGACACCGGTTTTAGAAGATATTTATTGTGTAAAAGGCTTTCATCAATGAAAAACATTCTAAACTAGTACGAAAACTAATTTTACAAGAAAAAAAGAATAATTATATATTGAAGACGAAAAAACCGACATATCCCATAAAGAATTATACATACTTATCTTTTGGACCAATAATTAACAATTTGAAAGTATTTATGTAGTATAGGAAAAATTGACTCATTCTGTCTCTTGTAATCTTAATGGTAGATGCTTTTAAAAAAAAACCTTTTGACATTTTAATGGTATTGTTACTTTTGTAGCGACTCTCTCAACTCTATTTCTTCTTATACTTAATATATACTTAATAACTTTTCACATTGAGTGACATTTAGCTTTATGCATTTTTAGCAAACAAAGACTTTTTGATGGGAAAATTATATCGTAATTGATAAAGGCTTGTTATTTTTTGTGTGGGAGCTCAATTGAAATTGATTGAAATTCAATTATTGATTATGCTGAAAATTGATTATTAATTCAATATTTTTGATTGCGGTGATCAACATAAATTTATCTGGTTGTGTTCCTCTGTAAAAACATTTGTACGGTTTTGAAATAAGAAACATTTGAGATGTTTGTAAAATTAAATGGTTGAAAACCATACGACAGTACTAAAACATTTATAAAGTTTTATTTTAAGAACTTTAAATGTTTGAGAACCACACAACAGCATTTTCAAAATAAATTGGATGGTTTCCAATCCAAGAAAAATTTCAATCAGTTCTATAAGCTTCCCACAAAAAAAAAAGCCAGAGATATCGCGTGCACAGAATTTAATAGTTTTAAAGACAAGACAGAAAAAAAACGCTGATATGACTTAATGATGGTACTCAAAAAAAAGAAAAAGGAAGCTCAATGTTATGAATAATTTTGAACGATTTAAGGGAAACATATTTTTGTAATACTGTTGATGGTGATGGATATTTTCCATTTGGAGAAGACGTGGTTATTAAATATTTAATGGGGTATATGGAAAATGGAATATAAAGGAACAAATGAATATTGATGTTAAGCTTTATAGAGAACGGTGTATTTGAAACATAAATGCCAACGAATACGGTGCTCACAACATAATATGATGAGTTATGATGATTAATTAAACAATTTTGATCTATATGCATCTTATAAAATTATATATATATATTATATACTTATATTAAATATTATTTCATGTTATCTAGATATGTTACTGTAGAATTGGATTCAAAGAGAAAGTAAATGGAATAGTAATATAATAAAAATGTAGAGGAAATGAATAACGTAATGTTTATTTATCTAAATTAATTTAAGATTGTGAAAGTGTTTTATGATCCAGTGTAATTAAAATTGTTTTTAGAGATACTGTAAAGTATGGTAAGTTAGAATAGATATACATATTTTTTTAAATACATTATGCGATAATTTGTTAGATCCTTAGCTTCATTGACTTTACTTCTCCAAGTCGTTGTATGATGACTTTCCATCACATGCCACAATCTTTATTTTATCCACTTTTGCAAACTCGTGAACTTCTCGGAACTCTACATCGTTAAGCCTATAAAACAGTAGGGATTATGAATTTTTAAACAGCTTTAAAGTTATTGATTTATAGTTAAGAGCTATCAGGTACGTAACACACTACTTTTTATATTTGATGGCAAGCTTGGAATAAATGTTGCCACATAAAAATCCGATAATTGACAACAATGATCCAGTGTAATTTTAGACCTGGATCTTATCATTCATACTTTATGTGACTAAGTTATCAATATAGTTGTTTAACAAATTTACAGACTCAAGGATCAAAATCAATAGGAATGATTCTTGGAATTTTCCACTGGATGTTACTTACATTAACGTCCAAACATTATCACAAAATCTGTAGGTATTTAACTTGGATGCTTTGAACGAGATACGTGACTTTACTTTATTCGATAATGCTGAATTGATTGATTTGTCAAACTGAACTAAAACTATGGAAATAAAGGTTTTTCAATAAATAATTAAGCATTTCAAAATGAGTGAAATAAAAAATGTTGAAATTACCTTTAAGAGCTAGCTGTGGTGTGATTTGTCCATAAGATATCAGTTCGTCTAAGCTTTCCTGCAATGTATTGCCGATTGTTGTGTTTCTATATAGCTGATAAGACATCTTTTTCGCGAATTTAATTAATTATTGAAATTTTGTTTGTTTTGGTGAGAGCGAGTTACAAATGTTTTCCCCTTGAAAATCATAGCTTTTCCCCTCAAAATTTCAAATATAAATCGACAGTTACGTTTTTAAAAATCATTTTAACCTCATCCGAAAAGTTTTAATAAAAATTAAATTAATAAGAAATGTATTTTGAACAATATAGTGATGAGGATCAATTTGTAGAATAAGTATCTAAATATCTGCATTCAAAATAATCCAAAATAATTGCTAAAATAGTTGTAATTTAATAAATTACTTTTTGTCTAGCACAGATCAACTTTTATTAATGCTGACATCCCATAAGAAACTTAAAAGGATATGGAATAATAGTAAGTCAATAGCAATTTACCCAAATCCATTGCTTGAAGAGATTATTGAAGACAGAATATCGCATGCTGACTCTTTAGGAATATCTTTAGTCTTTACATGGAGCCTTTATGGATATCAAAGCGGAACCTTTGAGTTTAATTTGAATGTATACAGGATGATAAATCAACAATTGAACGCTTGTATGTACCTAAACCTCAACAGTTATTTTAAATCATTTAAACATTTTACTTTAATTCCCTAGATATTAAAGAGTACTTAATTACTGCATGCCAACGTCCTGACTTGATAGCTTTGTTTGCAAATTTGTCGCTGTATTAGCAGCAGCAATAAGATAGTAAAACGACAATCTAGCATAGATGAATTGTGACAATGCACAGAAGTTAACGAGAATGTATACTTTATTTCAAAACCATACAATTCCAATAAAATTCAAAAACATTTGTGTGGTTTTCAAAACATTTGCATGGTTAATTTCTCGATCGACATTTTAATAGCACCTTGTTCTACTGAAAATAATTATTTCGACTGTGTTAGACATGGAAAATGGACCTGTAAATGATGCAGTAGCAGCTTTAAGATAAGTATTTAATAAGATTTAATAGAAATTTTGGAATGAAGCTACAAAAACACGAGTAATTATCAAAAAACTTATTTTTTTCAGCACGAATGATCTTTTGAAGCTGCTATCATTTCATAGAGAACGCAAAAGACTGTGGGAAACAATCAAATCTACCGCCATTCTTCCAAATAAAGCTGAACATAAGAAAATTGACGCAAAGTTTCTGGAAATTGAATTCTTTATGATAGCATTAACAAATCGATTGAATCTTACTGGAACTATTGACGTAGTGTTTAAGTTGATGTTTGATGACTTTGTAAGTAAAATAGAGTATCCATCAGTAGTATTTCGCAAAGCACAGTAATCAACAATAGATTTAATGCAAATGTCTTATTATTGTCAATTATTTTTTTAATAAAGAAGGTCTGGTCAGATCTAGTCTAATGAAACACTAATTCATGCTATTCAATTTATCAGCAAATAACGGTTTTTGGAAATTTGAAATGTTTGGGGCTGATTACAAAGAAGGTTTTTAAAAAATACGATAAATTTAAAACCCCTCCCTTCATCAACCCTTGTCAGTACTATTTTCTTATACGATCAAAAAAATGTATCTTTTCCCCTTATAATAAATGGGTGACGTAATTTATAAAGGACCCATTTGTGTTTATAACAAAACTGCGCAAAAAGATAATTCTAATGTAATTCACAAATATTTAAGAAACAATGAATCCTGACATAAAACTACAGACTCAAACAGAGAAACCAAATCACTATATGTAAGTATATCATGAAATGCACGAGTTTTGAGCTGGATTTGATGGTGAAAATTGATAAAAATTGTTTTTGTTTCAGGTATTTGAAAGAATTTCGTGTCGAGCAATGTCTCTCGTTTTTGCAGCATAAATGCAACCAGCATAAGCCATTTGTGTGTTTTAATTGGCATTTTGATAATCAAAGACGAAGACGTCCAGTAAGAAGACGTGATGGAACATTTAATTATTCGGCAGATAATTATTGCACAAAATACGATGAAACAAAAGGAAAATGCCCCGATGGAGACGAGTGAGTATAATTAATGTTTGTCAGACTCATTTTTATGCTAATTCGTGAGTTAATGAAAAGATCCAGTGAATGAATTAATGAAAAAAAAGTAAAAGTGATGAATAACATTAGATTCTGTAAGAATTAGTAAACGCGGGAAGTACAGCACTAAGAATATCCAAAATGGCGGGGCTTCGGGATAAGTCCTTCAATTATTATGGATATATATATCTTCGCAATTTGTAATTTTAATAATGTATGTGGATTAATTATGCTATAAAATGGATTTTAGAACTGAAATAACTGTGATCAGTGTATGTGAATTGAATAAAAGTCATTAAATATGATCTAGCTACGCAATATATTTATACTCTGTTTGTTCTGTCCAAAAAAAAAATGCTAAAGTTAATGATTTTAAATGCCACGTAAATTTGATAATAGCAGCATATACACCACCATAATATAGTATAAGCAATATGATTCAGAGAAATTCCCCGTTCATCACTTTGAATGTGTTCCTGCATACATTCGAGCATATTAAGTAATTCCTGCTTGCAAAAAAAAAAAGAATTCAAAGATTAACAACATCTTCGTAATATTATTATTATTATATTCTTCACGTATGTAATCGCGCGCGTATATACGTCTATACACAACATTTCATACAAGCAAGCAAGCAGTAGGCAAGCGTATTTTTGAGAATGTATTGCATTGACAATGACCTTGAATGAACGAGAAACGAACATTATTGTGAGTTTATGCTTCTCTCACGGTATTCGGTATATTTGTGGAAATACTAAGAATATCAACAGACATCATCATCACAATCATCTTCTTACCGGTCACTTTTATTTTCATTTATTCGTTGGTTCCAATGATAATGAAATCGCTTCTCTACTCATCTATTTATCGGCTTACTCTCAATTCACACAACTTAACTAACGCTCTCTTTCTCTATTTTTTTATAATAATAATTTGTGAATGAAAAAAAGGTGTCCGTTTTTGCATAGAACAGCCGGTGACACTGAACGACGTTATCACCTTAGATACTATAAAACATGCATGTGCGTTCATGATACTGATTCGCGTGGATTTTGCGTAAAAAATGGTCAACATTGTGCATTTGCACATGGAGTACATGATCAGCGTCCACCGGTTTATGATGTAAAGGAATTGGAAGCAATGCAAGCAGCCGAGAATGCAGTAGAAGCAGCAAATGGAGGTGGACCAAATGCATTAGATAAGGAAAGAAATTTAATGAATGAAGATCCAAAATGGCAAGATACAAATTATGTACTAGCAAACTATAAGACGGAACCTTGTAAACGACCACCGCGTTTGTGTCGTCAAGGATACGCGTGCCCACAATATCATAATAGCAAAGATAAGAGACGTAGTCCTCGAAAATATAAATATCGTTCAACACCATGTCCGAATGTTAAGCACGGCGAAGAATGGGGCGAACCGGATAATTGTGAGCAAGGTGATAACTGCCAATATTGTCACACCAGAACAGAACAACAATTTCATCCAGAAATATACAAATCTACAAAATGCAATGATGTTCAACAACAAGGCTATTGCCCACGATCTGTATTCTGTGCTTTTGCTCATGTCCAATGTGAGTTTATCCCACTAAGTTCTATTTCATTTTAAGATAACTGAATTAACACTTGTAGCATACTTCTTAGGTGACGAATTACAACAACTTAATCCTGATGGAAATCCATCGATATTATCAGACATGATCAACAATGCATTGCCTCCACCGATGGTCAAGGACGCAAAAACTAACGAATTAGCTGTAAGTCACATATAAATTCAATTCTTATAAGATTCTTAATGTTCCTCTTTCTCTATGTCTGCAGTACTTTTCAAAAGTATTACAAAATGGTAGCGCTGAAAGTTCAGAATCAGCAAGTACAAGCAGTATAGGATCGAATAATAGCTCACATAATAAAGCGCCTGGTTCACAGTTGCAACCAAAGTCAATACATGGTTTGGCCCATAGCAATACATTAAATTCCAATATTAACGGTAGCGCAATTAGTAGCTTACAATCAACTATAAATAGCAATTCGAACAATTCCAATTTATTATCAAATCCATTTCAAGAATTTTCACCAGAAGTATCGAAACAAGTGAGTAGCCACAGAATAATATACTTTTATTGTAAGCTAATATTGTAAGCTAATGAATGCTGTGCGTTTTGTTTTAGATATTGGCTATTGAGAATGATCCGTCATTGTCTCCAATCGAGAAAGAAACTAGAAAGAGATTCTGTTTATTTGGTCAGTTATGTAAGTTTATATTTATGTTCCTTGTGCCCACTAAACTGTATGTTTTTTCTACATTTCTGTAGCTTCTCAATTCGATCTTGAAAATTCTATATCGGCTGGAATATCTTCAAGTATACTTCATCCACAATCAGCTCCTGTCAACATTCCTAATTCACCATTGACGAATTCATTAGGTAATTATCGCAGTAAGTAAATTTTCTCAATCACAATTGGCAAATCTGTTTGAGATTTTTTAAAATTGCACACATTTCGGTGTATTACTCTATTGTTGATGGTGTATAATACTGGGGGTCCTCGATTTGAGTAGTTATTTTGTTCCAAAAATTTTCTACTCAAATCGAATCTATTCAAATCGAGGCAAGAAATCCATACAAAATCACATGTTTTGTTCCAGAGTCCAAAAAAATGTATCAAAACAATGAAAATTTTTGTAATTTTTTGCACATTTTACCTCGTTTCTTAACTTTTCTTTTGTGTTTTAGATAACTTAATTTATTTTAAAGCATATTCATATCTAATTTTAACAGAAATTCACAAAAAAATATGTTTTTTCAACAAATCAAAAATATGAGAACCTTACAAATGTTATTTCAACCGAACAATTTGTAAGGTTTTGAAATTTGAACTTTTTAAAACCGTTATTTTTATATCGATTTTGTAATTTTATTATTGATTTTTCTATCAATATGATTAGTTCACGATTAATTTATTAAATTTATGTTTTAAAAATATTTTTTGAAAAGTTTTTGTCAAAAACATTTGTTTTGTAAACAACTCAAATCGAAGAAAACAAGAAGAAATCTACTCAATTTGAATATTTTGGTGGGTAAAAATATTTCTATTCAAATCGAATCTACTCAAATCGAGGACCCCCAGTAATTCTTTCTGTTCCTTAATCGCTGTGATTGGTCGATGGATCCTCTGGCTGTTGTAAGGTTTTAATAATAATAACAAAAGCCAACGGTTTTCAGCCATTGTCCGATCACAGCATAAGTGTCACAAAATTTTTAACATATTCCAAATGTCTAACAGAATCAATTCTCGCAGGACTTTTACACGGTACTAACTCAAAGCCAGTGAATATTCCAGGGAACTATAGTCCATCATCTCATCCAAATATGTTTATGGGTGCAAACGATCCATTCATTCCTAATTTAAGCGGTAGTGCTGGGTCTGCAAAAATCAATAGTAATTCATTCGGACATAACGAAAATATTCTTTTTCAACCATCATCTCATTTGGTATCATCATTAAACGATGGATTAGGATCATCAATTAGCCCCGACTTAAGGTAGTTTCTTATAAGATTCTTAAATGACACTTGATACGATTGTGCTTCTCTAGCGAAAATTTTAAATTAATCCACAGGATGAATTTTGACTCTAGAATATCAGAAATGAATCAGCTCAATAGTGATCAGCAATTACTCAATAATTCAACAAATCCATCAAATAGTTTATTCGATGGACACATTCAAAAATATCCATTATCTCCAATGATTAATTCCAACTATAATAACAACGTTCATGACGATACAATCAGAAAGAATTTCGAATTATGGAAATTAGAACTTGATGAAAATAATAGAAAGGTAAGGAATCGAGAATTGAGCACCTAAACAATTGATTATTCTAACGTCTCTCAGTTTAATAATCGACAGGTTCTTATAGCAGAGAAACAACGCGACGAGGCACTAGGAACGGTTAAAGCCCTCACCGAAAAAGTAGAACAGCTAGCACTATCATCATTCAAATCCAATGAGCTACGCGGGATGCCGATACAAAAGTTAAAAACATTACAGGTAAGTGAATATAGACTTTAAGCTCTAAATGGATCATTCATTCTCAATATTCCTCATTTCATACAGTCAAAATTAAGAAGCGATTTAGAAGAAGTTGATAATGTCCTTTATTCATTAACGGCAACAAAATGTATGAAATGTGAAGAGAATAATCGTTCGGTAACACTAGCACCATGTAATCATTATGTGCTATGTGAAGTTTGTGTGACAACTCAACGCGAATGTCCTTATTGCCAAACTCCAATTGAACGAACGAGTACAACATAAATAATTTGACAACAACAAAGAATAAGGCATCTTAGTTTATTACCTTTTAGATGGACACATAATGCATTTAATAATTAAGATTCATAGAATATAAAGGCAGAGAAAGAGGAACCGAAAATAAGCAGGAAAATCCAAAACAAAACAGATATTTTTTTTTTGACATATTTAAGAAGAAAAAAGTTTATATTGCATTTTTTTTTATTAAAAATTAAGAACAACTTCACATAGTGTCAGGCATTAAATTCAACAGAATCTCCACTCTTTTTAGACACAAAACAATTCTATTGTTTTAAGACTTTAACAATAAGATTATTAAGTAAGATTCAATTGGAGTACAAAAAGCACAATAAGAATGCATGTGTCCATCGACTATGTATGTTTGGTAATCAGTAATCAATTTCAAAAACTAGGAACCTGTTGAATTCTCTCTCTCACTCTTTCTCTTTCTCATACATTTATTAGTATTTAACAAATTTTTTCCTACAATCCAATGTGTTTTTTCTTCGTAATAAATAATATTAATAATAATTAAATGATTATAATAATATGTGTGAAACAAGAAAAATTGATGATTAATTATATATTTGAAGAAAATTGATTACAAAAAAAAAATAATTAATTAAATGAGAGCAAAAAAAAAGTGTTTGAAAATTAATAAAATCATTTTGAATAAAAAAAGGATTTAGAGTAGAAATACATTTATATAGGTAGAATAACAAATTATTGTGAGACATACAAGAAATTGCTATAGAACAGTTTAATTAATTAATTGATTTAGCACTGGATTGTGAAAAATGGAAGTGGAAATTTTTTTTGTCAATATTTGATCAATCAATCGACCTGATAAACATTTAAAAAAAGAAACCAGAAACACAAGAGAATGTACTTCTATATTATATTAAAAATACTAGAGGAGCCCAGTGCTGATTATATATTTCTAATTGAATTAAACGGGCATTAATAAATATACAATATGATAAAGAAAAAGAAAAAGAAATTGATAACCTACCACCCGATAAATACCTCGATACGACTTTACAACATACTTATACTATTGTAATAGTTATGATAACGATGATAATTATACATTACATAGCTTCAACAAATTTAATTCTCCTTTGTATCCTATTCCCTTTACAACTCCACTCTACTATCCCTTCTTATTCTTATTCGGAATGGGAAATTTCTCGCAAAGTTGCACGCTTTAAACAGTTTATAATCAGGTGCTAATTAGTATCGTATGATTTTCGAATGATGAATAGTTTTCTTTATGACCATGAAAAAGGGAATTTTTAAACGGTTTTTTGAAATTCAAATCAACCGAAATTAAATGAGATTTTGAACGGTTTTTTGAAATTCAAACGATCTGAAATGAAATGAACTTTCTAACTTGTTTTCCATATTAAAATGAACCGACATGAAACGAACTTTGAAACAATTTTAGAATTCGAAAGATCTGAAATGAAACGAACTTAAGACTTCTGAACGAAAATTATTTTAAAATCCAAAAAACCGTTAAAATTTTAATTAAAGCCCATGGATCATATAATAAAGCGTAGAATATTAGTTTAATTTTAGTTCCTACACAGCACAATCCATAGAATGATTACAGCTTCCGAATTTAAGTTTTGTCAGCATTGCTTTAATTTTTGCAGACTCACAGAAATACAGGCAATATCAAAATACCTCCAAAATTATCAATAATATCTTCCAAATGAAGATCCAGAGGCCTAGCTTAGTAACTTTGCCGATCCTTTGAATTTCCCTCATCCATCCCCTCAAAAAAAAAAATCTCTCATTCACATTCCAGTAGAACTACCAAAAATGAACTCTGTCAATGCCTCCTTTCCGTATATACGTCATATACAATTTACATAAGAAATACTTAGAATGCAATGCTTTAAAATTTCATTAGCAATCAACAATTTTTCATAATATTGTATGTGTTTAATTAGTTTATATTCAGCCAAAAAAATAAGATATAATTTCATCTATGTCGCTGGATTGAAAATCACAATAATAAATCAAGATGAAATTACTTACAAAAAAATTAAAAGTAAAGTTTGGTCGCATACGTAGAATACAAGATGAATAATAAGCAAGAGAAGAGATTAATGTGTATAAAAAAAAAAATTGCATTAAAATAGAAAACTAATTCAAAATATATTTAAAAATGAGAATGATAAACATTGTGAGAAAAAAAAAAATTAATAATTGATAGCGTTTATACATATTATTGAAGATATTATATTTATTAGAAAACTTTTGAAAATTTTATTGTTCTTTTTAAAAAAAATCATCATCAACTTTTAAAAAATGAAATTTCATCCCTCAACTTTCGAACCCTCCATGTCCAAAAAAAAAACTTTAAATGTGAACTGGGTACCTCCCAAAAATTTCAAAAACTATATTTACTACCCCATACCCGATTATAGTCGGTTTTGCGTCATGCTGTAAATACTACCCACATATACATAACAGTAAGCATATTTAATCCTTTTGCAAACTTTGAATGGATGTGGAAATTTCCAAATTATTTTTACGAGATAATTGGTTCCCAAAGCTCTTAATATCTCACAATATGTGAAAATATAATGGCAATTGTTATAAGGAAGTGAAAAAAGATACTCACCACTATAATACCGAGGAATTTGATTTGGAAACGTTTATGAATGACGTCTTTCGTTGACTACTCGATGTCTGACTGCAATATGCTGACTTTTTGTAGGAAAACGAAGTGTGAAAATCAGGGAGCTCGTTATTGTCAGTTGGTTAATAATCATGTAAATTTATAGATGACATTCTTTAAAGTACATTGACAGGACTTCTTGATCTATGATCTTCATTTATTGTAGACAATAGCAGTATTTGTAGCTTAGAGTATGTCTGTAAAGAGATTTGGGGTTCAGAATACGGAATATCAGTCATAAATCCAATTTCTTAATAGACATCATTAAAGGAACGACTCCAAACTCAAAACAAAGCAATTTATTCACCCGCATTTTACAAATTATATCCAAGAGTAATAAAAAGTGATATACCCACCACTATAATACCGAGGAATTCCTGAGAAATCAAGGCTATGTACTTGCAATTTCAACTTTCATGGTCAACTTTGTTTACAACTTTTTCTTTTGTATGGGAGTCAGATCATATGATTTGACCTGAAATGCAATAAAGTGTAAATAAAGACAACCTTGAAACCATCACTGCCATTACGTTACTAAAATATTTATGAATATTTTTACTTTAGAAGTCATTTATTCAGCCTTAATTCTACGGATAGCACTCGTGTGGGGTAGCAAAGTAAAACTTCCAAGTAAATCCTTTAAGCATCTTAAAAAAACTCATGGCAACGAAACCCAGTTCCAATTGATAATAAATATTTCAGAATTTAAATTCTATGTCGTGAAAAACTTTTTCACTTAATTTTCCCAATTAAAAAAATATTAAAACTATGAAAATTTATTAAAAAAGGAGAAAAAAGTTGTTAAACGAGAAAATAATGTTACGGATAGATGACTTTTTATTTTTTATATGAGGACACTTAAAAAGAAGATGATAAAGCTATTTGGCATGATGATAAAAAATTATTATGGAAATGGTGAGGAGAATGACGACAATTTCACAAGTTTTTGACATTTCTCGCATAAGAATTCAGTCCAATTCAGCATAATATTCAATGATTTTTCGTGTGTAGGATGGATACGTAGATTATCCAAAAATGAGAAAATGTCTACAAAATTACTTATTTAATTTATTATTTAAAGTTCTGATCGAAAAAGAGTAAACCAAAATGTACTAAATTATTATATAGTTGGCATCACAATAGACTGAGACTGTTGTGTTTTTGTGGCAAGACGCTTTTTTAGAAATTTTTTATAGTATTTTGAAATATCCTTTGAATTTTAATTAAGATCAAGACGAGAGAGTGAGGCTGATGTCCTTTATATAGACAGAAACCTTGCTCTAAGAGTTAATTCAACATTACAACTATTGAATCTTCTTAGTCTTTTTTTTTTTTTTTTTTTTTTCAAATAGTTTCCTTCAAAGAAATATCAAACAACCTCCCAAAAATAGTCTCCGTAGCTAGAAATTTACACAAAAAACAGTAATACAGTCTGACCCATTTCCATCAAAATCAAGATTCTTCATTTCTCATTTCTCACAAACAAAACAAGTACCTAAATCTTTTTTGTTTTCTTTTCATTTGCTTCACAACGGAAGCTAAATTTGACTTGATTATTTCTTAACGCTTTTTAAAATAATATTTAAAGTCGGAACTAGATGGTGAGAAGGACGGAAAGGAAAAGGAAAAGAATTTTCTTTATCAATGTTTTAAAAAGCAAAAATAAAAATAATAAAAAATTAGGACAACAAATTCATTAAAAAGTAATAAATTTGAAAAAAATTATTATAAATTGAAAAAAAAAAAATATCTTCTTGATATGTTAATGTAGACGTGATGAAGACGTATGGCGAGCATTTTAGAAAATTTATATTTTCCGCTTTAATATTTAGCCATTGTTTGTAGGTATTTATCAAAAAAAGTATATTATGAAATTATTTAAAATATACAATGACACACGAATAGAATGAGAACGAGACATACCAAGTAAATAATATTCTTCGACATGTCAGGATTTAATCAAAGCATATAAAGAGATTTGAGTGAAAGTTTAAGTAATAATGCGGCATTTATAAACAAAAAAAAAAAATAATAATAATTAATAATTGCATTGTTGTGAATTTAAACATGAAAAAAACAAAAAAAAATTGTCATCAACGCGCTATAATAAGTAGTGAACAAAAAAAAAATATATTAAAAAATTTTTATTATGGACAGAAGAAGGAGAGTTTTGCATCGCAGAAATAAAAAATAATTCATCAACAGCATAAATAATATAAAAAAAAATGGAAAAAAAATGAAGAACAAAATAATATATACATAATAAAATAATGAATAAAAATGTGAAATAAATAATAAAAAAAATTTTATTCTAAAATATACGAGAAAAAAAAATTAAATTATGCCTTAATTTCCAATATTTCAGTCTGAAGTAGGAATTATTTGATAGTTGGATTCTTATAAGAATTTTATAGGGATGTCAATTTAAAGAACAATCTATAGAGGCTGATTTTGACTAAGAATCTACGAAGATCAAAACGTAAACACTCGGAATTAATTTAAAAAATCTCAGCATTTCTTGATGTCAAACTTCGAATCCCACTTGAAATCCCCAACTTGGAAACGTGAAGTTCAAAGTTTGATGTCAAAAATTTTTGACAAGACGTGGAAAGTCAGGATTAATCCTTAAAAATCCCTGAGCCAATAAACATGAAAATGTGAAATCTCTTTTAAATCCCCGATGCATTTGATGAATAATTTCTTAGGATTTTTTAGAATTAATCATGAGTTTCCACGCCTTGATTTTTGAGAATTTGTGGATTAATTACAAACCCCTTGACCAATATTGTCTTTACTAAAATTCTTAGTAGCTTTTACGAATTACCACAATCGATTCCTAGTCAAGGGTACACACTTAGACTGTATTTATAGTTTACAGGTAACAATCGCGTATTCAAGGGTGTGGAACTGATCATTTGACTTTTCACTGATCAAAATAAGGTTCTAACAACACACTTAAATAGAACTGCCCTAAGCATATCTTACATTCCCTTAAAAGTAAGCTGTATCCAATCGTATGTACAAAAACCACACCAAGAACACCAAATTTTCATTCTCAACCTTCAATTTTTCATTACATTACATGTGTTTATCCGAGTAAGTTTAAATGTATCTCTGTTAATTTTAATGAACATTCTACAACAATAAAAAAAAACAGATGCATTTAAGAATAGGAATAAAGAAGAAGGAAAAGAAAAAGAAGTGAACACTCGAGAATATTCTAAAGTATCCAAGAAAAATCATGTTTTTTAATAATTCTTTGAATTCTTTGACTATGAGTCAGATTCATATGCATACA